GGCGTCTTTAATTTCCCGTTCCAAGGGGGATTAGGCTTCAAATAAGTGCATGCGGATAGAATCACAAAGCCCGCCGTAAAAGCTGCTTCGAATATTTTGCAAGGTGCATTGAGCATCAAAGCAGGTAGAGTTATCCAGATAAGAAAAGATGGCAGACGTACTCAGCACTAAGGATTTGATGATTTCAGTCCCCAAAATGGATCCTGTTTTTCGACCAAGTATTCGACGGATACAGTCATCGCCATCAATAAGTAAGTGGAGAGTTTTTACTTAACATTAGAATTGTTCTTGCTTGTCAAGCTTGGGAACTGAACTTCCACCCGTTTCAAACTAATGCAATCTTCACCAATAAGCTAATGTTTTAAAGAAAGAAAAAAGTTCAAATTTCTTATATAAAATTGTAAATGAAACATTGGAATTTGAAACTTTTCATTTGAAAATGGATGGAGTGCTTATTCAGTAGCAATGAGTCTTTCTTGAATTTCTTATCAAAACGGCTGAAATTCAGACCCAACCAATTTCATTCGAATTTAATTTTCTTTCTCATCGATAACTTGCTTTATGAGCTCTGATTTCGCAGCAAAGCTTTGCCGGTTTCTGGCTAGTTGTTGATCAATTAATTTTATATCTAGTCATCAATGACCTTTGAAAAATCAAGCTTATGGTTCCCCTGATGAAAAATTACACAAAGGCTATTTATCCTTAGTAATATTCCATCACTGAAAATTTTTTGTCAACATTTGGCCTAATAATTAGCTTTCTACGGTTTCTTTCGCGGTTTTTTCCAAGGAAACGCCAGATGTTTGATATTAAGGATTCCACGTGAATGGAATCTTCTAACCGTTAGTTGACAGCTTTGCCGTGTTGCAAGATTGATCTCTTGATAATTTTCATATGTATTGCGAATCAGGGTATATCTCATTGACATAACATGGCTTATTTCAACCTGTATCTTGTAACTATGTTCTTGGATCGCAGTCATTATATTTGAATTTAGAATTTCAATTAAATGTAGAACAAAAACTTTTCCTCAGAACACGTTGCTATAGGTATATTGCACTGACGCCCCTACCTTCACCAAACTTCCAATATGTTCTTTTCTTCATATTCTTTAATATTTTTGGTTTTGGTCCATTGCCTTCAAGGGCTGCTCTTGACCATAGTTTTTATTAGGATTAAGCAGCTTCTTCTTTGAGATATTCCTTGTGACTTTTCCGAGCAAAGGGCGTGCCATTAGGTGTGGCAAGAGTGTTTAAGGTGTTTTTAAACAAATTCTGTTTAAGGTGTTTTTATAAATAAATAAGAGCCCGTGGTTTTTTGGGTGGCTCTGTGCTAAGTTTCTAATAGCATACGCGGTACATCGTATTATAAGAAAGCAAGTTAAAGACTGGACAATAAAAACTGAATTTTTTTACCTTCATATTATCTTTGGAAAGCGAAGATACTGATGTTGGCTATAATGAAAGTATGGCAGAGATGTGTCGATGTGGTCCCTTATGGACATTATCGCTAGAAAATTCTTTTGTTTAGTTGACTTGTTCCGATTATTGTGCCACTGTTGTTATGAGTCCCACTTCATTGAAAAAACCTACTGAAATAGATATAGACGATTCACGATAAAGGCACGCATAAAAAACTAGCTTTACGAATTTTTCCAAGATAGATTAATTCGTGGTTAACTGTAAAATTATATATTGGCTACATATTGGCTTCTGATGGTTACATATTTCAGATTTTTGATTGGGAGAGGCACATGCCACTGGGGATCATCGTCAAATGTTTGCATCAATGGCTTGTTTTTTGGTGAGCCTGACCCTGGGTAATGAATTCTGTAGAGCCTGGTAATAGTATTGACTGACAATAACCTCGAATGCAATGAAAACAGTCAAAATCAGACTCGTTTAGATGGGCCATGTAATTTTGGTAGAAAAAATGCGAACCTATTGGACCCTCAGTTTTATTTGAACAATTCGTCAATGTGATAATCCTTCGTATCGGAAAGACCTTTTAAGATTCAATCTAGTTTGGGGTTTTCTTCAAATAGTAACTCAACCCAGGAATAGCAATTATAAAGTAAGCTTAGTTTTTCTAGAATTTATATCCAATAAGTAGATGGTTTTCTGAGATACACTTAATGGTGTCTAACTGATTTTGTCCTAAACAGAGCTTGAGGAGGATCAGAAATCACCAAGGGAAAGTAAAAGGCCACTCGTACGAAAGAAGAGTGGATCAGGATCAAAATCGTTTGCCTTCATGGGTGAGTCACTTTAATGTTTATAATTCTTCTAATAATGGACGCACATTTACATATAGCGGGCAAAATTTCATACTTGATCCAGAGAGAACGTTTAAAAGAGATTTTGCTGCACATCTTAAAAAAATTGTTCGGGCTGTCAGAGAATCGTTTAGTTTTGGAAAAGACATTCCCAAAACCAAAGCAAAGAAGATCGATGCAAAAAAGGACCAAGTGAATCTGGGCTGGGTTTTTTAAAGATGTATCAGAGATGGTAAACCCCTAGCCAGACTGAAAATGGGCCTGCAAGCAGCTGTACGTCCCTGTGCTCAAGAGGCTACTTGAAATAATCATCCACAGTTAAAATAAAACGCTAAATGATAAAAATCAATTAATTGTGACCATTGGTGAGCAGATAAGTAAGAGACATTATAGAAACAAGAAAACCAGTTTATAGAAACAACAACAAAACTATAAAAATCAGATATCAATCAGCATTTAATCTGACAAAACAACGCCTAAAATTATTACAAGACATTCCTTAAAAACATAACTTTGATAGTGAGCGGTTTCTGGACTTTATTTGCAGTCCATGTTCTGCAAGTAGATGCAAAGTACCTCTGGGGGTTCTTTAGTCCGATTTCTTATGGGTTCCTTAGGGTTGCTTTTGATACACAGAAAATAAAGCATAAGACATCCAATCGTGATACTTCAGGTTTACCCATAGAAATATCGTGTAGGAAGGTAATTTTTCACGTAAAAGGTAAAAGGAAGATAATTTTTCACCTAAAAGTAGAAATTTCCTTGTCGAGCCTGTATAACAAGAGTGAATTTTCACAACGTAGCCCGGTACGCAATTCAAACCAATTGCACCCTAACCTCTTTTTATACCACTTCTCTCTCTATAAGAGTCTTTCAACTTTTCTTTAGCACGTCAGTATACCAGCGTAAGCTCCCTTTGCACCTTTTTTGCAAAACCAATTTGAAAAGACGATTATCAAAGCTGATACGATTCCAGGTTTGAGCAGTTTTTTTGGGTGGCACAAGGGATTGAATTAGAAGAGGCCTAAAATTCGAAAACAAATTAAAGGCCTCTGGTAATATCCTTATAGCCAATTTATATATTGACAAATTTTATTACAATCTGTCTTTTTGTTGAAAAGGCACCAAATCCGCTCAACATTATCAATACTTTTCGAGCTCATCATCTAAGCTATAATTAGCTTTTGCAAAATCAGTTTTTATCTGACAGGCGCTGTTCTTTTGATTCGATTAGGCCTCTATTGATGAGATATCACCTAGATTAAAATCACCCATGGCAGTTTGAAAAGAATAGTTAACTAACAGTGTTTGCCTTCGCTGAAAACAGTTGCAAGCTCTTTTTACTATGTTTTTCAGTCTCGTGCATATATGAATTCGCATGCTTTCAATCCATTCATGATAAAATATATTTCCTAGCTAATTAAACAATCAGTCTTAACTCGTTGATACAGCAGATTTTGAGAGAAATTTCTTCCTTATTATGCCTAGCTTTGATGAAAAATCCCCTACAGCTGCAAGCTGCGTCGCATCCAAAGAGAGGATCTTAGCTATAATGAGAAGGAAGTCTTTTCTTGTGGCTTTTTGAGGCTAATTTAGATTGCTTTTCCTTTAGCCAATGAATACTCCTCTGATCAAGCCATTTGACACACCCTTCCCAAAATGTCTCCATTCAAGCAAAGAAATCTTTTAAATCCAGAAGTTGAAAGACCACCTAGGAAACTCCCTTAGGCCAGTATGAATCACAAAGAAATGAATGATTGTCGCTAGAATTTGATAATTGTCTTAGCGATATTAGTTCATGCATATATTCAGATATGTTTCTATGTGAAGAGGAAGAATGGCCTGAAATGCGACAAGAAACTTCATTTTTAAAAATAGGTACCATTGGAAGAAAAACCTTCTAACCTTGCAGTTATATGAAAGGAAATCTATTTGAGTGACTCCAATACATACAACATTTTACATCTTGAATAATTCAAAACATTTAGGCCAAATATTTTATCTGGCCATCGAATCAAACAAAAAGTAGCTTCTCACATTGCAAACGGAATTTTGTTAAGTTTTGTCTGAAATTTATTATATGTTTACATCAATATTGGCACTTGCTTTATGCATACAATTTTCAACATCAGTGCCTCATAAGAATCTTTTCGTATGATCGTAGTAGGGGCCTGGACCAAAAGGTAGAAATCTTGCGAGAGTCTCCGTGTTTGGTGCTCAGTAAATTTAACATATGCCATATGATTTTCTTCAGCATAGATAAAACCTCACTACTAGATACCATGTCCCGCTTTTAATGGAATATTTTGCTTCAAAATTGCCCAGACCTGTCTAATAACTGGCTATATTTGTGCGCAATAAGGAATCAGATAACATTAATGCTCATCTTTTCGTCAAATGATGGCGCGTGTTCCTTTTTACTTGGAACCAAGGATTTCAGTGGTCTCTTGAAAAAACTCCTCCCTTCAAAGAATTCGCTTTTTTCATTCAGCGTATGCTTTTCTTCCTTTGTAATGCAGTCAATGTTTTTTGCAGTTCCAATTAACGAGGAAGAAAATAGCCCTAAATACCCTGTTGCATCTCCAAAGATTGTCAGAAGATCAAGCCTACAAGGTAAGTTCTCTTGTTTGAAATGTCAGGACAGAGCTGTCAAATAAAGATGACCTGAAGTAGAAATTTTCTAACAGAAAACTTCTGCAAGAGATAAATAAAATAAAATATCCTGAGAAGGGTTGGGGGGGGGTGCTGTCTCGCTTTCATGTTGCAATAAAAGTCTCCTAAATAGAAAAATTTCCTGAATATATAATTATATTTAAAAGAGGCTTTGTTGTTTAAAAACGCATTAAATTGCATGTAAAAAAGTTCCTAAAACTATACACTGAATTTTGACTGCAAGATAAGAGGTTGGGAGCAAGGCCTTGTATCTTATCAAATGATCTCTTTGGTACAGAGCACAATAGTATCAAGAAACTAAGTTATAACATGCAAAGGAGGTATTGTGTAGATATGATGCAACTTTGAAAACTTGTTTAATCAACCTGTTTATCTTATTTTGTTTGTTTGGTAGATTTTTTACGTTTGATCAGACAGATAAAAGCACAATGAATTATGAACTTGAAAAGTGTCACTCAATATCCTTACATTCCTTTCAAACACAACAAGAATAACCTCGAGATATTTTCCGTTGCACGATTGGTGCGCAGCTTCCTACCCTAGGGGCCAAAGCCACAGTAAAAGAGTGGGTTAGTAAAAGAGCGGGTATCTCTTTCACAAAACAAATTAACCTGTATAGATTTTGTCACCATGGGCTCAAATATCTGTAGAACAAGTCAACTCATTATGAACTCGCATGTTCCTGTCCTTCGAAAATTAATGTTTCTGAATCCTCTTACACTCAGCTTTTGTTTGCCTCGCACAAATAAAGTTCATGTTCCATTTACACACAATTTCTCTTTTCATGTTAAATTTTATTCATTTGGCGAATCGCGGGTTTCTTGAAAATGATTTTAGTAATACAGTATTCTCTCCAATCAGCGGACACCGTCGGAGCCAGAGCAGGGTATCCGCTAATTGGAAGTGTCTGCCTTTTGGAAAGTTTTGCAATATAAGTCCCAAAGTTGAAAATAGACCCTAGTTTTGTATTTAAAAGGTGTAATCAGTGGTGGCGCCAGGGGAGGGCTAGGGGGCTACAGCCCTTCCGTCGAAAGCACCTAGCCCCCCCCCCCATCGGAGAAAATTTTAGGTTTTTGTGGGAGCAAATTTGACAAAGTAACGTACGAAAACAAAGCATTTTAGCCCCCTGTCGGAAGCTCTAACCCCTCTGTCGGAAAATTTCTGGCGCCACCTGTGGGTGTAGTCTGGGTAATTAGTGGCTATCGGGTTGAACTTAGACACTAAAAAAATAACCAAATGGAGCGTAACACAACACTTTCATGGATAAAAAAGTTTGTCAATTGTCAAAGTGTTTGAAGTAAATATTCATTTGTCTCATTTTTTGTTCGCTTGCTCCTAAATTTTTTTTGAACTGTCCGCTAATTGAAAAGAAAAATAAGCAAATTGACTATCTTGAGCAAACAATATTGCCTGTTAGTTAGAGCGTCCGCTAATTAAGTGTCCGCTTTTTAGAAAGTTTTTTATGAGACTTTGACCAGAAAACGATCGGGGAAAAAATTTGTCCGCTAATCAGAGGTGTCCGCCTTTTAGAGTGTCCGTTAATTGGAAAGAATTCTGTAATAGAAGGACTGACAGAGGACTAGCGATAATCAGTTAAGTCAAGCGTTTCTTCATAATTGTTTTGGCCACGTGGCAGTATCAGCAAAAAGAAAGCAGAAATGATGTTATCAAATTGGTCTTGAAAAAATATTCTATGCCTCTCAATTGCAAAAAGCATCATGCGGCATTGTTCATTGGAAAATGGCATAGTGTATTGCAACAAACAATCGCATAGAAATTGTCTTATATTTGCGCGGTTGGTTTATATTCAGAAAGAAGTGATATTGTAGTGACGTACGTTTCGTCATCGTTGGTGGAAAGGGAACGTTTTTATAAGAGATAAACTTTATCAGGGGAGTCATTTGTTGTAATTAAGAGGCTGCTTATAGGAATGGGTGAAAAAGAGGGAGGATGAAAGGGAGGCACGGTTTTATAGCCAGATGCGTTTATAATAGCAACATAAAATCAGGAAGGTTATTTTATAGATTAGGTGCCGTTCGTCATGCAGGCTGGCTGTATTATTTAGACAAAGATCTAGGCCAAAAGCTCAACTTCAGCATTTCGTCATTAGCCATAAGTGTGAATGGAGAGCCTTGAAGCAGCCTTTTGTAGCTAAGGTACTTTATTGAAAAATGCGTATAGGCACCTTTGAGAATATCTTTCGCATTGACTATAGAAAAATGTAAAACAAAATTGAAATCAAAAAGCAAAATTTTTGGCATAGTTTTTCCTTCAACTTCTCTTGTATTCTGCAAAATAAGATTTTTCAATATTTCTTCCTTTTGTTTTTTTACGTCCCAAGCTGTATGGGGATTACTGAATCGAAACAGCTTTTTGTGCTTTTTAGGCCCATTGGTAATGTTATTCTCTTATCCTATCCCGGGGAGATTGGACCACAATGGCCTAATTGTGTGCTTGTTAATTTATTTTGCTTTGGATTATGTTTGCTTTGTTTTCTGATGAAATAACTGTGCATTCTTGCATGGATTGATAATAGTACGTGAGGACTGCGTCATGCTCCAAGTCTGTATTTATCTGTGTAGGATTATAATTGCTTGTTAATAATCAAGTATGGTTGACTCTCAAAAAGGCAAGTCTTTTCTTATGTTTAAATTTAAATTCATTAAGCCTGATAAGCTTTTATTTCAAGAGGTCTCGATCTTGACAGACCCACGACCACACAGATCAATACCTGTACAATTTTCAGTTTACCTACATACATTCCTAAACCAATTGCATCATATTTATCTTAATGCATAAATACATGTATTAAACGCATCACTTTCAAGTTATCTTTTTCTTTCTTTTTTTCTGAACTAATTATATTTTGAGAAATATTGCACATTTAATTTTGCACTGATTATGGGCAAAAAGGAGTTAAAACTTCCGTGTGGGCTCAAAGTGCCAAGAAAAGCAAGGCCACGCGATATATTTTCTATCATGCTTGCGTGCAAAATAAGCTTGTTGACAAAAGCCTTTCTCTTGTACTTGGCTTTTAGTGCGCATGTTCTCATTGGCAACCTGGTGTTATTGTGAATGATTTTAACACCATCTTACAATGTTTATCTACACTGTGTCCTTCCAGTTTCAATAAGATTTGTCATTTTCTTTGTCAATTTAACATGTTGTTGACCTGTTGTGTTAGTCCTAGTTGTTATCCTCATCCACGTTGCCACGAGAAAATTGTGTTTGAACAGGAATTCGAGAGGGCTTTCTCCGAGGGGCAAATCACTCTAAGAAAATCTCGTACACCTTTGTGAAAATCGTATTGTTTTTCAGAAAATCCCCAGAAATTCTTTTGTTTTAGGCAAAATCTTGTACGCTATTTGCAAGAGTGAATCGCCCCTCGGCTTTCTCCAGTAGCCTTCAATAGATTTTACTTTTTGTTGCATATCAATAAATATTTTATCGATAAGATCTTTATTTTATCTAAAATCAGTTTTATTGACTAGTATCATATCTCTGATTTTACATCAGGCGTCTTAAAAATGGAAGTTTCGCTTGCTAAATAATAATAATAATAATAAAGTAATAATACAAATATTTACAGAGGAAGGCCTCAGTCACTCGAGGGTGCTTTTCATGAGAGTCCTCTAAAACCTGTCTCTTGCCCCTCTTAGATTAAACTAGAAATCTTTATTCGTAAAAAGGATGCGATGTTTCCCCTGAATTCATGTCAATTGTCAGTAGATGCTCATTATAATTCCGCCATTCATCATCTACATGAAATCTAGAATTAATCAGCAAGCTTAACTGAAGTAAATTTACTCTCAAAATATTTACTGTTTTAACAGGTTGCTCTTTTCATCACACAATTTATATTTTGCGCATGCGCTAGAATTGGTTCTTTCCCGCATAATTTCCTTATCCACTGCTGCCTTACACACGAAAAGTTTACATATTAATTTGCTAAGCATTAATATTTGATGGTTTCTAATTAAGTAATTTTCCAAACTGAACGCACTTTTTCAACACCAAAATATCTGTTTATTTGCTCTTCGATTAATATTTGTTGAACATGGAACTGCGCAGGAGAAAAGCTTATCTTAATTCAACTTGGCGCGGCTTGTCCAAACTGTTTGAAATTTGAGTGCAAAGAAGCTTGTTTGTTCAGCAAACGTCCAAGTCTTATCTTTGTTATGCGAATTAGTTGTCAATTGAGGAGAAAGGTCAGCGAGTTTGTTACGGAGTCAAGTTTCACTGTTCATTTCGTAAATGTTTTGGCGGCACAGGCGAAGAAGTTGCGTGCAAATTGTTTAGGCCTTTGTAGTTTGCTGGAGAAACCGGAACCCTGTCAGCATGGCAACACCAGGTAAATGTTTCGCAATAACTGTTAACGGTAGATGGCGGTAAGCCGAGATGCTGAATCAACACGACTCTCTAACCTGGAAGGCAACGAATAAATTATTTTAAGGCCACTCTCCCATGTGCTTGTTATTGAAGTTGTAATTTATCAGAGAATGAAATGGAATGAAAAAATTTTCAACCGTCATGAACTTGGGTGAATTTATGTTTTCCAAAATTTTGATGAATTTCTAACGTGACCGCAGCTTATCGTAGGTCTTCAACGAAAGTTATATGATACCTCCAACTTATCAGCCGCCAAAAAGGGCAGGCGCTTCACGAAAGCAAAAGTAACAAGTAATTGTTGTCTAATATAATATTTTTGTAACCTCGTCTTTAAGTTATGCTCGTCTGTCGACTAATTTTCAGTTCAAAATTTGTCGATAATCAAGACTTTGCTTTACTTTTTTCTAGAAAATGTAAACAATGGCGGTTATGAGAGGTAAGCTCTGTCGACAAAATTTTCTTATATGATAACAGTGTAATCCACTTTTCACATGCTAAAGAACCCAGTACCTAAATCCTGACAGGATTTGTTGTGACAAACTATGCTATTTCATGTAATCATCTCAACGGTGAAATGTAAAATACAATTTGATAACTGCAGTTGGTTTAATTCCAATATATAACCTTTTCCCTATCCTTTTGAAAAATAATTAGATTGTTTTGATATGGGATTGGAAGTAATTTGAGTAAGGGAACGAATGTAGTTTTTTTGGTTTTAACCTGTCTTAACAGCATAGTAAAAAGCTTGCAAGATTAGAATGAAGCATATGTCTTTCATATATGAGCTGTAAAGTGGAGATCCACCAATAGAAACCCCAACAGCACATATTATTCATAGTCCTATAGTTTATTAGGTTTTGTGTAATGGCAGTTTCATGACTTTTTCAAAAGTTTAAGCTAGGCTTCAGGAGGTTGGCATTCCTGAAAAATTTGTGGAGAGATGTGCTGCCCTTTGAACTTACATCTAACACCAAAAATTCTTAGGTGATGAAAATGGATTTGTGGATTATTAAAAAGGATATGCTTTGTTGCCCAAAAAAAGGTATCAAATTTTCAGAGCTCTGTTGTGACTCTAGATATGAAAACATGTTTTAACTTGCTCTTCCTGCTCTAGTCAAGTTTATTGCCATTTTAGCATGGAAGGTGATAGCATCAAAGTATTTGTAAGGGTGAGACCACCTGCAAAAACTCTTGAGCAAGATGTGGACCATAGTCTTTGTCTGGAAGTCACATCGTCTAAGTCACTGGTGCTATTTTCCAAGCCAGAGCCAAAGCAGTTCAGCTATGATCATGTCGCAGACATGAATACAACCCAAGTAAGCCATTGCATTTTATTCATTTGCCATATTTCAAGATACTTAAGTAGGGCTTTGTGAAGTGGGAGGGATGTGGCTCCCCCTTGGAAAATGCAGATTAAAAAAGGGGTTTTTGCCACCAATGGGTGCTTTGTTGGAAAATTGTTAAGCTTGTTGACAAATGAAGGATCTTTGTCAGCCCTTGAGCACAATAGCTAGTGATTGCTCTGCACACAACTAGCATTTTTCTATCACTCATAACCAAAGAATGGATTCTATGGGTTGCAGATGTAAACCCCTTTGCGCTTGAATATTGAATGATCTCATATGACTACAAAATGTCATCAACAGTACTTCTGATATTGACATAAACAGGTTGCTATTTGCTGAGCAAAGATTCCTTCAGGAAATCCTATCACTTGTTTTATGATCCAATGACTGTCTAGTTTTTTTCTATAAGATCATTCTTTTGTGAAAATGTTTTTGAATTGAATTCAAGGACCTCGACACAAAGTTTTTGCTACTATTTCTGATTGAAATTGTGACAGATAAAAAAAAGAACAATAAGGGAATTATTTCTTTAGAGAAAAAGGTGTCTGAAAAGGAATTATATTTAGCATAAATTGTTGCATATGATGTACAAGTTTTCATGTGGAATATGAAAAAGGACTATTTTGTTAGCAAACTAAATTATATTTGTTATTATTGTTACTTGAAAAAAGCTGAAAAAATAATTTTGCTAATTTATAAACAATTAACTGTAGTTTAAATTCAAGTAGTGTTGTGGGTTTAAGAAGTTTTGAAAGGGGCTATGGATAGTAAATAAGTCAATACTGAATTTTACTTAAGTGCTATACATCTAGCCCTAGATGGGTTTTAAAATTAATCCAAGCCTACTGAACAGTAACTTGAATTATTCCTGAAAGTGTTATTTTAAAGAAATGATTGGAGCTTTGAGAATCTAACTACCGTGAGTGAAATATGAAATGTAAGGATAACATTCAAGTTAATTTTTCATTAACTTTGTTAGACAACTGTAATTCAAAGATAAAGTTTGTTTATTTTATCTATAAAGGAAAATATTAATATTTTAAAAGTATTTTTTAATAATGTTTAGCTTGTTTATCTTTTCAAATGTAATGTTTAGAAAGAGCTCTCGTCCAATTACCTTATTTGCTATTTTAAGAGCTTAAAACCCGTAGGCAAACAGCGAAACACTGCTTTTCAGTTACAAGCTGAAACTGTTATAGTCTCTGCCAAAGCGGATGCTTGACGAATTTGACGTTATGTCCTTAATCCAAGCTGAGCATGACTGCATTCTTTCTCGAATTTTTAGATTACATCATTTACTAGGAGAAAATCGTTTTAAGCCTGTTCTTGTCAAAGATTTCCTTTGTCCTATTCAATAGCCTTATATGCCTGCAACCGATTGATCACATTTAATCACTGGATGCAAAAGACTGCTTTGTTATGTTGTATTAATATTGACACAGTTTGTGTGGGCACTTCTCAGACACTCGCCTCTTCAATGACTGAAAAACAGTTTACAGATTTAAGCCTGTTATTTTGCATCTTTGCACGTTTTTGCTTGACCTGGTTTTTTGCAGGAATGTTTGATTTTTGGAATGGAAAACATTCGGATTTGCTAGGGGTTCTAAAAGCCAAGTGCCTTGTGCCTTTCTACCGTGCACGAGACTCTTTCAATTTCTTCAACACACAAATAAGCAAAATTTTAAAATCATTTTTCTAAATCTAAAAATACAACTGAATCCTTCAAAGAACTGCTGGTGCACGATTTGCTTTCATTCTCATAGGTTCACAAAGCTGTTGCAAACATAATCTGCCACAAAGTATTTTGATTTTTTCGGAAATAATTATTTTATTTAATAGTTAAATAAGTTTTTCGGAGATTTTCTTCATCAACAGGCCAAAGAGATCAATCTTTAAGAATAAGAGCCTTGAGAGGAGAACGTTATTTTACAATAAGAGAACTGGAATTGTCAGCCAATTTGTTATCACTTTCGTTGCTGTGAAGGGGTCAAATACTTTAGATTCTAACACTCACGACCTCATTCATAACGAAGTGCAAACCGCACGTATTTTAGGACGTGCGACCGCAGTTGACAGTTGCTATGGAACAAGGGATTTTATTGTGTTTATGATGACAATAGCGGGGGCAGGCAGGGTTTACTCCTTGTTATAGCAAGCGATTAACACACTCATCAGCAATTTTATCGATGTAAGATTTATTGCAAATTACTTTCCCGGGCTCAAACATCTCTATGGGTTCAAAATAGCGCCCTAGCAGCTTTTAAAATTTGGCTAATTATCTTATTCGGTCTGCACAGATTCCCACTGTTGCACAAACAACCTTCCTTTGCTTGAAACTTTGAAGGACCAGTTTCATAGGTTAAATTTACGAAGGACCAATTTTATAGGTTAAATTTACGATATTTTGCAAGTTCAGCCAAGCAGATGCAATTGCTGTCTGACCCCGTGTCGAAAGCTGTTTTGCTGTTTTCCGAAGAAAGCAACTTGCGACTTTCATGGCGGATAATGATAAAATGAATATCATATATTGTTCTTTCTTATCAGATCTATATTGCATTTTCTCTTTGGAATTTAAAGCTCGATCGTATCTGATCTTGTCTCGGGTCATGCCATTTTACAAAGCCAGCGCGAGATTTAGTTCTCAAGGATAAGGTCTTCCCAAAGCAGATGCTGAAATTTAAGTATGTCTCACAAGAACCGAAAAGATCAATTTGGGAATTGAGAGTATTTTTGAAAGCCTCAAGAGATAAAGCGATTGGTTAAGGAACGTTCTCATGGGAAATATTGAAAAACTAACTGTTGTTACCTTGGTTAGGTGGCGTATCCAGGAACAGGTCCATTAGAAGCTATCTTTACTCTTAAAAAGCTTTAACCAAAGTTTCCAGCATACCAAACCCTTGCTTTTTGTAACAAGACACTTCTCCTTTATTCCCCCTTTCTCTACTGTCAGGAACCCAGAGTAATAGCCATGTTGAACCATAGGAATCCATTTGTTGAAGCATAGGGACCCATTTGTTGAACCATAAGGACCCATTTATTGCCAGAACGAATGAGCTGGTGACCAGGATGGCTCTAAGCGTGGGTTTATTATTTTGACGGGATGAAAGCTTTAGTACCCTACCCTCTTTGGCTGTTTTAGCCTTTTAAGAATCTCATTTCTTCGCTGAAATTTATGATCTCATAAAATTTATGTGCCACACCTTGATTGAATTATGTTGTTTAAAACTCCTACGACTTTGCAGTTTTATGTATTTTTCTGAAAGGTCCCCAATTCTTGTTATAATTCTATTTTTTTTATTTACTATTAAGTAATTGAAAAACTGTTATGTTTAGTGCTAAGGTGTTTCAGTTTTCAAACTTTTGCGAGTTTCCTGATCTCATTAGTAAACCCATGAAGCCACGTAACTGTCTTGTATGGCTCAGTATGGCAGAGTTAGCAATTCATTGGGTGGTCGGACGACGACACAGCTTTGTCAACAAAAGAAAATCTCAGCTGCAATTGCTAGACAGAATCTTCAAGAAGAAAGTTGATCTTGCAGTCGTGTTATTCATATACCCATATTTCCCTACATTTGCAATAATTCCATTCCACCTGTTGAATATTGTCTCTATTATGTTGAATTTATCGAATTTTGTAGCCTAACAGCACCGTTTGTTTCGTTTGCAGGAAGAGGTTTTTTCTACCGTTGGAAAGAAGATAATCGAAGGTTGTGTTTATGGTTACAATGGCACCATTTTTGCATAGTAAGTCGTCTTATCACATTATATTTGGGCAGCTGCTGTCTGTTATCTCATACCCAACACTTTGCTAATCTTGCTCTTTACTCTCTATGAATGCAATTCTGTAATCAAGTTACTCCTCCTATTGATAATTCTTCACCCGTATAATGTTTATATAATTGGGAATAAAGATTTTTTGGTAAGTTTTGTAATATCTCCAATATAAATTTGTTTCCTACAAAAGTTCTTCCCTGTATTTAAGCGTGTCCTTATAATTGTGAAGGGGTGTAGTCCAAAAGAAATATCAACGAGGTATGGCCTTGGTGAATTTCCACTTCACTACAAATAAGGTAATTATGTAGAAATGAGGAGTGTTATTCTATTCCAATTCATAGTTTTAGTAACAATTTAAGGATTCATAGTAACAGTAGACTTCGCGGCATGTCTACTCATTTATTCAAACATTGGAAAACACCGTATGAGATTTGTGAGATTTCAAGACCGTTTCCAAGTTTATCTTTCCGTACCCCTAACTGATCACCTGATTCCCAAGTGACTCGGCTAGTCTTTTTCACTGCCAGTTTAACTGCCAAGAGATTGTATTGAGGTGTCCCGGGGGATTAATGTATGAAATTAGGCAGCCTATGTTGCTGCGGCATCCTTTGTTGTCGTCTTATTACCAGTTAGAGACTGCTTAAATGTTTCATTCCACATGCCAGTGAAACACTCGCCGAATTCGTAATACCCATATTCTTACTGACCTGGCGTATCTTAGTCCCATATTGAACAGTTTTATTAGCATTTGTTTCGTATAAACCGTGAATGAAACTCTAAACATTGGATTAGTCTGTGTGAATGAATGGCTCTGAGGAAAATTGTTTATGAAAATCATTGACCGTAATCTCAGCGGCTTTGATTTTTTAAATATCCATTAAGGCAGGATAATGGCGTTTAAAATAGAATCAAAAACAGCCTATGCGAGATCATAACACCCAAACCAGATTTGTTTTCTGCCGGAAAAAACACACAATTCAAGGATTTGTAGTTTTTAGGTAAATAATAAACAAAAGATGTGTTTGTATATGATATGTCAGCATTGCCTTTTTTAAAATGCGAAGGTTTAGTTGTTTAAAGTTCTTTGTTCTATATTACTTATTTTCATCTCAGTTCTAGGAGGCTAAAAACATGATTATTAAGGGGTCATCGTTTGTCTGCAGGATTTGTTTTGACTTACATAACTTTACAAATTTCTTAGGCCTTGAAATCAGCTATGTTTCTTCTTGGTCTAGATATGTGAAGTTTTGTCACTGGTATATCATGGTCACCAATTATTGCGTCACGAATCTATGTTCTTCCCAGGACTGGATTATGGACAAAATTCTTGGATCGGCCTGAAAAGCCTGGATTAAATCTTTAAAGCTCATCAGTTTGTTATTCTCGACACTCAATAAAGTACCTTGCCCGCATTGGCTGTTTTTAATGCTTCAGGAATTTTCAACTCTGTAAGCTCCAGTGATTTCCCAATCTAGTCAATGAAACAGGCTTCCTTTCTCGAAAACTTTGCTCTAGCCGCTTTGCTACTGAATGAAAATGCACTATCAGAATCTCTACACTGTTTTGAAGTTCGAAGAAAAAAAATACATTGGTGTTACCGTAATTCTGTTTTTGCTATGGTGTCTGAAGCACCCCCATATACTTTTCTTTCTAATCAAAGACTATAATTTTTAGTCTCTTTTCATCCTTTTAGCGGGCAAACTGGCTCTGGTAAAACATTTACAATGCTAGGTTGGTCTTTGGTACATTTTTTTGAATCTCTAATTAATCCTGATATTCATTACCTTTTAAAGCTGTTTAGAAACCAATATTAAGTATAGGCCTATTTAAAATTGTTAGATGTAAATAGAAATTTCGTTTCAAGATTTGCCCTTACGAATTTTGCATTAACCTCATTGTCAATTGTGCCTGCAACCATTGTCTGCTGTTTCGCATTTTTATACTCTATGAAACTACTCTAAACAGGCTGAAACCGTTAACACGATAGACTACTTTCACAGTTCATGCAAGAGTTGAACTTTTTAAACACAATTCCGTCATTGTTATCCGTTCCAGACTACAGTCTTACAATCCTTCATTATCAACCATCGATCATCGCCTTTTCTTCCATTATTTCATTTTTATGTAACCTTTCTTAAAGGACCTCCCGATGATTCAGACAATTTTTCACACGAGCTGCGTGGTGTAATTCCCAGAGGATTCGAGTATATGTTCAGCCTTATTAATCGGGAACAAGAAAAGGTGTGTGTGGATCTTTTGCTCTACCGATTCTTTTTGTTCATAAAGCTAAGATCAGGAAGCAAAAAGTAAATGAAGAAAAAAGCAAAAATTCTAGGCTGTTTCTAAAAGCATCACATTAAGTATTGTTATATCGTTTAATTCATTTTTAGTTCAATTCAGTTTAATTTCTATCTTGTTTAAGAGTTAGTGAGAAGAATAGGTAATTTTATTTAACTTCAGACTAGCTTCATATCTAAATAAAATTTGTACTTCTTATTTATAGCAATGTTTAGTGGAGCTAGTCTCATTGGAATCTGAAATTGAGAACAATCAACGCCCAGTCTTACACGATGCATCTCGTACAGGTCGTGTTTTAGATAGAAGAAAATTTGAAGAAAAAACAGTCATCTATAGCTTTTGCTTATGTTTTTAGCACGGAGATCGCAAAGAATTCATCTGTAAGTGTTCTTTTCTGGAGATCTACAATGAACAAATATTCGATCTTTTGGATCCAGCCTCTGTTGGCTTGCACCTAAGAGAAGACATCAAAAAGGGCGTTTTTGTTGAAGGACTGCAAGAAAGAGATATTATCTCAGCAAAAGATGCATATAAAGTGAGTATTTAAATCTCTTTGATATTTATTTATGAAATCTTGAATATTTGAATTGTTAGAATTGATCACTGTATTGCGCACAAAATTCTTAACCTTTGTACTTATTGGTAACTTATTTATCAATGCTATCCGTGCCAATTTAATAAAATATGGTGATTGTAAGTATAGTTTAGTAATTTTTGTCACTTTTTTAAAGCACTCTTGAATAAACTTTTAAATTCGAAAAAAGTGAACGGGGTTCTCAAATACCAAACAAATGCTTGCCTTTGCGTTAAGACTTGTTTCATGTCCACCAAGCATTGTATGGCAACTTGTGTTTATCCAATATCGACTTTCTATAGATGCCCCTTACAGGCATCACCTTTGTGGAAATATATTCTATAAGGTCACGTTTTTTATCTTGTGTTCCTGAAACGAGTATATTTTTCAGAGATTTTAATCGATTCACGACTTTTTTTGTAGGTACTGACTTCTGGATGGATGAACCGACGAGTGGCGTCGACATCGATGAACAGGGAGAGCAGTCGAAGCCATGCTGTCTTCACTGTCTCAATACAATCGAAAGAAAAAAAGGGAGGCATTGCAAATATCAAGGTCTCACGGCTTCATTTGGTCGACCTTGCTGGATCGGAAAGACAGAAAGACACTCGTACGGAGGGTGTGCGATTAAAAGAAGCAGGCAACATCAACCGATCGTTATCTGCTCTTGGTAATGTCATAATGGCCCTTGTGGACATAGCACATGGGAAAACTAGACACGTGCATTACCGAGATTCCAAACTGACTTTCATTCTCAGGGTGAGATTGTCTTTAATATGGGCTTTAGACTTTCATGTTCCTTGTACTTTTCGATCAATGCATATACGATTTTTGCGTTTTAAGATACTTTTTATCATGTGAATACGCTCCAGGCTCAGGTTTGACTAGCAGCCTCGTAAAGGTTATTTTCTTCTACATTTTCAGCCAAGTGGCCAATTTTCAGCCAGCCAAGATATTGAAGATTTCTGTACTTCGATGTTGCTTTCGTCTTTATATACATTATTAAGTATTCGTTAGCTTTGAAAGTGAACGATAAAGAGTTTGTATCGAACAAAACGGAAAAATAGCGGAAACATGAATGTCTTGATTTAAATTTTGTATCTTTTTGCAACATCAGATGTCAATTAATGATTTCATAAGCATAGATTGAAATTTTCGACTTTATTTCGTAGTATTTGACTTGATCAAGTTTTAGCTCTTGATATTAGCTATTTTTGTTCTTGACATTGTTCAAAATTGTATCTTGTTCATTTTTCAGGATTCACTTGGCGGCAATGCGAAAACTTATATTATTGCAAATATTCATCCGTCTGCAAAGTACGTTAAAAATTTTTCAAGCAACGTCTCACAGATCTTGCTTTATCACTCCTGTTTATACTTTGCTCTTTTTGCTTTAGTTTCAGCTATGATCTGTAGTGGTTAAACATTCTGGTTTAAACAGACTTCTGTTAGTCCCCCTTCGATATATAAACTAGGGCTCAATGTTTCTCTTGTAAAAATTGCTATGGATTTTTCTTTTCATGGGGTTTTCCCTTCTTTTATACAAGGGGTTGATTTTTTTTGCCGTACCACGCAAAATTCTATTGATCCTGACTTGCCACTCGATTTGCTTGTGCTTTTCTTTTCAACCATTTTGTCATGATGTACACCCAATTGTAATGAACTTTTATTTTCTTTTTCCGTTTATGGTTTAAAAGATAAGTGTTTCTGAAGCATGTTTAATATTAAAAAGTCCTCTCCCTCGTTCTTTTATAATTCAGTCTGGAAAAACTTGTTTTCGATTTCGGTTGTTTTTTGATCTTTTTATCATTCCCTCACACAAAAGGTGTTTTGGAGAAACTTTATCGACTTTAAACTTTGCAAGAAGAGCCAAGATGATAAAAAACAAGGTATTTTTGAGTTATATGGTCATTTTTGAATCCCTCAGATTCAACCTTTTGTAAATCATATCATTGGATAACCATCATCTCCTATCTTTTTTATACATTTTATTTGATTTTATTATCTCTCTGCCTTTTCTCATTCAACTAGTTTCAATGTTCCAATATAATTATCAACGACGTTAGATTGAACATATACCCAAACTGTTCTTTTCAAAGTATATAAAGAAAGTTCAATGTTCTTGAGAACAAGTATTTACAGCTTATATGTTATCCTTTTATTAGGCCATCATCAATGAAGATATAACAGGAAATGTCACCGAATTACAAATGGAGATAAAAAAGTTGAAAGATATTATTTCTCAACTAAAAGGTATTTGCTTCATTGTACTTTTTATCTTTTGCTATTAAAAGCCAAAGATCGAAACTATTCCACAATCAAGTTCATTTTGTTTTTCACAACCTTTTTCATATTTCAGCTGGCGTTGTACCAGAAGGCGGGCTAAAAGAAGGTAGATATTAGAGAAATATTTCTCTTTGTTTTTTCAATTTCCAAAATTTTCTTTACTCACAGTTTTGGAAGGATATTAAATATTTTTATTGAATTTCACGTGTGAATATATTTGCCGTGATTCTGCATCTTATGTGAATTTAAAGCAGAAAAAATTCAATTTGTTACGTTTTAAAGAATTTGTAAAAAATGATGACTTGAATCGATACTATAATATTAATTAAAAAAAATGGAAGTGATTTCCAAAACTCATACACTTTTTTTAAGAAACCATACCCGGAATTCGGGTCCCTCTTTTATGAAATATTAGGTCAAAATAGAAGTTGTTGGTCAAATAAACTTCCTATGCGATGTACCCCACTAATCGAATGAGTGAACAGGGTCTGCTCGTGTGAAATAAGAGTTCTCTTTTGGATCAAGAAGCATGTGTTTTTAATTCGAACCCTAAACATGATTATGTGATGATATTCAAAAAAGTAAACGTCATTTTTGGATTGTATTTGTTTTTTTCAAACCAAAGATTCAGAAGAGGCTGAAACCCAAGAAGGGAAACCTTATGCAGAGAAGAGGAAAACTGGCTCAGACGAAAAGGCACAGCAGTGGAAGGAACTGATGCTGAATGCTGTCTCGGAGAGGGAGAAGGCTGAACAAGAAAAACAGGTTGGTCTGAAGTGCTTCTGCTGGCCCTATTTATGAGTGGGGCGATCTGTTTCCGGCCATGTATTGGAAGCAATGTTTAGGAACTTTCTCTTGTGCATATCCGACTAATTTATGTTGAAAAAGATCCATTTTGTTACTTGTTTATGTTTAACAACTCACAGAAATTAAAAGTTCAATAAGATTTTAGACCGAGTGCCTCACAAGTTTTTTGTCACTTTTTGATTTTGTTATTTTTTTAATCACCAGGTTTTACAAGATAAAGTCCAGAAACTTGAAGAAATGTGCAGTAGAAAAGACAAATTTCTTCAAGTAAGTTCTCAAACTTAGATGTTATCACAATTAAATTCACTAATGATTTAATTCAAATGTGTATTAAATGTAAATATAAATCATAAAATTTTTAACAAGACGGGTTTTATACAGCGCTCCCCCTTTCTTTGTGTATGTTTGTATTTCTTCATGTTGCTGAACTGTAATGTAGCATGGTAAGTGCCGTATGTAGTGAGACCAGATGACGTAATGTATTTTCGTGCTGCATGCGGCATAAAAAGATGTATTATTTTTCTTGTGGTAGTTATATTTTATTGCTATAAATAAAAGGTTTATATGAATTTAAATAGTATATACAATTTATCCCTGAAAGTGGGTACTTGAAATATGACCCTTTATACGAATTCATTGAAATTTTTTCTAGGAATAATAAATAATGAATATGATCAAAAATAATGATAAAAAAATAATAAATATATTTTTTGAAGCAAAAAATTCGTGAAAATTAATCCCAGTTCTCATGTTTTCACTTAGTTTAAGAACTTAACAGTTATATCACAGTTGTCTTGAAGTTAATCCTAGTATCTTGATTGCAGTCGACAAAAATGATTGTAAAATTGAGAGAAAGCTACATCGCCAAATTAGAAAGAATGAGAAAAAAAGAAAAGGGTGCCGAGGGAGAAGAAGAGGACACTAAAGATCGGGAAATGGTTTGTCATGATTTGATTTTTAATTATTTTTATTACCATGTATTTTTTTTTGTTTCTTTTATAAATGGATTTGAATAACGATTTTACATTTTGGCTGGTTCTTGTTAAAAATATTGGGCTATTTATTTGGGTTATTAAGAGTTGAAAGAATTTTAGGGGAGCTGAGATGTTTGTGAAAGTTGACGAGATAGATAAAGATTGGAGGATTGAATCGCCTTACTACATTGCACATTTGTTTATACGACGAAGCAGTTGCTTTCTGTTGCTTATTTTAGTCACGTTAAGTCTTTAAGCACATTAAGAGTGGAAATGCGGTTTTTTGTAGAAATTACTAAGAGAGGAAATCAAGATATTGCAGGATAAAATCGAACATCATCCTGAAGTGACAAGATTTGCGTTAGAAAACCTAGAGCTTCGAGGTGAGGTTTCTTGTTGTACTGTTATTCCGCCTTAACCACCTAGTGTTTAAGAATAATTAGGATTGAATTGGTGGGGAGGATTACATCCAAGCCAATAAATGGGGGCTGCATTGAGTTATGCGGGCGGGATTGATTTGTCGTGTGTTTATCCGGCATATTATATTTGTGGTTAACATGGATTAGGTGGTTGTAGAAACTAAGAAAGGAACTAATGGCCATAAATCTGCAGAGCTCCATCACCTTTTGCAGACTTCTTTTAATACACCTTAAAGATTTCTTTCAGATCATATATACAGAAGAAATTATTGGGGGCGGGGATGGTTGCAACTAGGGGTTAAATTTTTCCAGCAACTTTTTAATTGGGGTTTGACACCTTTTCTATACTGATTTGAACGGAGCACAGTAGCAAAATATTTTATTCAGTTTCAACTTTTTGAGGTCGCCAGAACCCGTTAGTGGTGATAGAAATTCTTAGTTGCCATTTTAAAATTTTTATGGTGCAAGTGTGGGTATTGTAATTGAAAAAGACTGAAGTTCACATGACATACAAAGTTAGTGCAGTTGTTTTGAGAAAAATTGTCATAAAATTTTTTAACTTTTTTTAAAGCATATTTTATAGCACAAATTATTCATGAATGCTGATTGCTTTTAGTAAAAATAAATATTATTTGAATTAAGATGATCGGGTCGCTCAAGAAAGTTTTGTTTTGATATGATTTTAACAAGAGAAAGAAAAAAGCTTTTCTGCCATTGGTATTTGATACAATTCACTTCATTTTCAGCTGAATTAAAAAAGCTAAAAACGATGGCTGCCGACAATGCTTTTAATGATAGCAACAACAACGAGATGGTGAAAGCCCATCGATATACTCTGCAGTTAGAAAGGCAAATTCGAGATCTCATGGCTTCATCGCACGGAAATGGTAAGCCTGGAAACATATGTGATTGGTGCCAGGGAAATACTTCTCGCACATGTTACCTTTGAATAAGTCATTAAAATTCTTCATACATCATAGATTAAAGCCACAGTTCAAGACTGCTAGAAAGTTGTTAACCTCTCTCCTGTCAATGAGCTAAAACTTGAAACCCATCTTAAAAACCAATGGACATAACACATCATCAACAATAATAACCATGCCATGTAAGAGCTTATGACAGTTGACCGGCAGAGATTGATTTTTGGTAGCCCTAGAAAGGCGAAGGGGGGGGGCTAGAAACGAGTATTATCTGGATGAACGAAAGGCACATGCTTCTATGTTAACTATTTATTTCTGAAATATCAATTAAAGATTGATTGCAGGAAAATATATATCAATTTAAGGGTCAGTGCTACGTAACCTTCAGTGTCATATACAGGCGTATCTACGGGGGAAGGGTAAGCTCTTTAGAGTCCCCAGGGCTGGTATGTTGAAGGGCTTTCGGGTAATCTACTCCTTTAAAGTATAATTCATATCTGCTATCCATCTCAAATCTAAACCTGGGTCCCGAGCTGATCACTGGCGGTCCCCTTACATATACGGTGGGTACATCAACGCTTAATGAAATTACTTTTTTAAGGAAAATTTTTATTGATTATATTGAGCTGAAACTACCGAAAATGTTTCGTTGCAGATTCCGAGAAAAGTTTATCAAGTTCTTTGCAAAGTCTAGAAGCTTCAAACGCGGAAGTAGATCGACTGAAGGCGTCTTGTACACAATTCCAAACAAAGTACGAAGCATCTCAGCAGGATTTGGCTCAAAGCCGTCAGGAAATTCAACAGGCGCGAGAAGAACTCATTGAGCAATCGGAAAAGGCGAGGCGGAAAGAATTAGAGCTTCAGTCAGATCTGGTTGCTGCAAAAAAGTCTATTTCAGAATTAGAGGTACTTAATTGAAAATAGATTATTGATTGAAATCTGTTAGCAAGACTGTATTTTTAATTTAAATAAAGGCGAAAAAGCAATAAGGAAAAATATTAGAGTTTTTTATTCAATTTTGTTATGATATTATTATTTTTGCATATGCCTTGCTAAATGTTCTTAAACAGAGTTCTAAATTTTGATCATTTTTACTATTAGCTGTCTCTGTGTTGTTAAGACGTATGATTTTCTTGAGTAGCTTTAAAGTCATTGTTACAGGATCCTGAGTACCCTGTGTTTTATCTTCATTTAGAGAGCACTAGAATCCTTCCAGCTGAAGACTGCCGTTGAAAGAACAACGATGAACGACATCCATATGCAAACGATTAAGGTATAATTTTGTATGCCAGGCCAGGCTTGCTTTGTATGTTGCCGAGGTTGCTGTTGTTGTTGTCATTGTTGTGTTGTTGTAACTGTTGTTTTTGTTGTTGCTGTTGCTTTTGTTGTTGCTGTCGCTCTTGTTGTTGTTGTTGCTGTTATAGTTACTATTGTTGGACAAAGAAAATCATTTTTAGTTTCTGATAATAGGTTCGGAATTCATTAAAAAACATTTGTGTGTAAGTAACTCGAAATATAGAAGCTAACTAATGTTTTTTGACTGCTAAATAGTTTTTATTATTTGTCAAATGTATTCAGAAATTAATAAGAAAATGCTTGTTGTATTCATATCAGCATAATGAACTATATGATATTTCTTTTTGCTTTGGTTTGATTTTGTTTTTCATTTGTTTAAGACTCTAACCTCGCCCCAAAGACTTGGAACACCGATTAGATTTGGCAGTACACACAAGTCCACGCCCTTGAGGACCAAAGACCTAAAGAATGCGAGCATGAATGGAACGCCTAAAAAGAACTTATTTAACAACGATTCAACCGAAAATACTGATTCAAATATTATTGACACATCAAAATCTACAACGTGTCAGTCAGGGACGAAGCAAAATGGCACACTTCCTCGGCGCGATAGCCTTAATGATATAGAAGACGAGGATGAAGAGAACCCCTTTTTTGATTTTCATTCTGAGACGAAAGATGCGGAGGAGATCTATACAGAAGCTATGATGGAAGAGTTGAAACAGTTGCAGGTTAGTATAACTTGTGAGCTTGGAAAGGTTGACTGGTAAGAGACTTATATTTGCCATCCATTGTTGCGATTGCTTGCTGTTATCAATGCGTTTGGTTTTATAAAAAGGAAATGGTACTCTACGGAATATTCGTAAAGAGTTGAAAAGTGATGACGTCATGGAGATCTATTTTTAGAATTATGGAATTTTGATCATGTGATCTGAAAGAAAATCATAAAATAATCCTTTAGATGATAAAGTAAGTCGAATATTACTAATTGTTGACCGAGAAATAGTCCAAAGGACTCATTCGCTTTCCAGTGGAATCAGCAAGGAATACTACAAAACCCTTGAGTTAACTTAAGCTCTTTCAATTGTCATATCTCCAACAATCTCAAACATAGTTGACTGATTTTTCATATTCAATAACATTTCTTTTTATATGGTGCAAATTCAATAATTCGAAAAAACGTTTCATGGAATCTTCAGTTTTAATTTCTGTAGATCTTGAATCCTACTATGTGTATAAGGGGTACTGTATGGGAAAATGAGCTGCAGCAAAACAGTCAAGAGTGGATTAACATTGTTTTCACAAGTTACAAACCAAAGCCATTCGCTTGGAAAATAGAGAGGTTGAAGCTGTGTTTCTTTCAAGAATGTTAAAGTCAAAAACCTTGGTTATTCACCTGTGAGAAGGGTAACATCAGAAGTTGTAAGTTAATTTACAATAAAACACACCACAAATGGGTATAATACTATAACGGGCTCTGAATTTCTCTTCCCTTTTAAAATTGTTCAATTTGTCAGATCAATGTGCAATCAATAAAAGAAGCTGTAACCCCGCTGATTATTGAACGACTATCTAGTACTCGGAACACCACGAGCAATTTTTTCCTCTTGTAATTTCAGGCAGTCATTGATGAGCATCACGAAAACCTGAAGAACGAGAAATCAAAAGTTGTCAAAGTTAATCAAATAAACGCGAAATTGCAGCATCAAGTCAACGAATTAAACGAGGTACGTTAATTTTTTTCTGAAAAATGGCTTCATCCACACTAGTTACTAGTACTCCCCTCAATCAAGGGAGATGTCTACTTGAGACTTTTATTAATCGTTCCTTGAAAAATACCATGATTCTTTTTATCTAATTTCAGAACATGTTAGAGTTGTATAATTGCATTTATAGGTTCCTATTTACGCATTACGACTTAATTAAGTATGTGTATTTTCAGCCATTAGTTGCTCCCTCAAACTACAATTGATAGAAGAGGAAGCCCAGTTGTATTTTGCAAAGCCCAGTAGTACGTTGCTTTTCAAACGTTTCTTCTTGCTAGTTAGTTTAAACTTGCCAAATGACCTAAGCTGAAACAAATTCTGCTTGACAGCTGTTATCAAAAGAACGATCTTCATGGAATACCAAAGAGTTTGAAATCAATTCACAAATCACAGGTTTATCGAGACAGTTCAAAGAAGAACAGGATGAGAAACAATGTGAGTGTCTTCTTCATGCGTCGTTCGCAATATCGTCCAGTCTTCATTGTGAACAAGGGCACGAATAGACCGATTCTTGTAGCATTCGTTCGTCTTTCTTCTCCATATTGTCTGATTAAGAGGAACATTTAGCCGAATGGTTATGCCAAACGGTGTTCACCTGATATGTACTTTAGATGAGACATTATAATACACGGGCGTGTTTGGACTCATCTTCCCTGTCTGAATAGAGCCTTACTAACGCGCAAGTACTTTAGGTAGCTTATGCAAGGCTGTCTAATTGCATCTTCAAGAGAATTAGCCTATGTTTGTATAAAGCCGAAATGAGTGTTTTTCAAGTGAATTTTCCGCACTTTTAAATCCCAGAGATATTATGGTTTTAAGGGCAATAGGCCGCTCTTTGATGATATTAGGACTTGACGCTAGTGACAAGGGCACATATCCTATTGCTTTCTTTATGGGTCACCGTTAAAGCAGGGAATTAACGATTAGTATTGGGATCTACATAGCTTTCAAGGATCCTTTTACATCTGTGATTTCTCTCGTTTCCAAGGAATGTTAAGGGTTGCCAAAGGGTTTATAAGGCCTTGGGGTAGGGATTAATATTCATCAACTTGGTTTTAATGTCATTCTAAAAAAGCCACATCCTCACAATGTAGCCAACTCAAACCTTCTGTAGTAAGCATCTTATGGTCGCAATATATGTTGACATATTTTAACTCCCAACTCGTTCATCTCCTTCATAACCCTCCCTCTACTTTGAACTCGGTAGCATCGACAATTTTTTGTAGGCTAGTTATTAAAACTATCTGATAAATAATTGCTGTAATTTGATTTAGTGCTGAAGAGCGAAGTGGAAGATTTGAGGATTCTGATACAGGCTGCCGACAAAGAAGTCGATTCTTTAAAACGAGCACGAAATAATGACGCAATCGAAGGCGGTAGAAGATATGCAGGTCTGGAAAGCAAGGTAAATACGCCAAACTAGTTATAAATATTTTCTTAAAATAGGTCTTGTTACGAAAATTATTTTAAGATATAAGCTTATTTTGGGTACAAGTTTTACTATCAAATATAAGTTTTGAATTATGCCTCATTATTATGGTAATAAGAAACAAATGAGTTTGGTTTATTTTTTATGATCCCTCATGTCTCATGTTTGAGTTTTACCCCTGCAGAGGAAAGTGAATTTTTTGTTCTCATATTAAGATTCGTCTGATCAATGGACTTGTTTTGTTTTGCAGTTGGTGAAAATAGAGTCAAATTATTATAACTTACAGAATGAGCTCGATGAAACTGCTCAACTAAACCAACAATTACAGGTAACTTTCTTTCTAGAATTTGATTTGTGCGAAGCTGATTTTTTCTTTTAATTTTAAAACTAAATTCCAGTTCTCACTTAGTGGAGATATTTTCATAGGACTACCGTCATTTTATCAATGGCTTCTTTTTCATGAACTTTTTGACGTCTCCTATGCATTATAAGTAAATTTCTGCAGTTTTACCCTGTTTCTAATGAAGGACATTGCATTTTTTAAATAGAGTGATTTGGAAACCTGCAGAGAAGAGCTACAGTTTACGAATCATAAGAACAGAGAACTGGAAATAATTGTTTCTGTCGAAAGAGAAAAAGTTAAAAATCTAGATGGCAAGCTCAAGGTACAGTCTTTCCTTTTTTCCTTGTCATAAAAATTTCTATTTTTTCCTTGGTTTTTTCTATTTTAAAGTTAATGCAGTTTATCTATTTAAGATTTAGTATATGATGTGTCTTTGGCAATTGAAGGGTTGCTCGACAACTTTTGTGGAGTTCACGCAATTTATCATCCACCCTCGCATGTATTGCGCTTTAATGAAAAGCAATAAGGACGCCAGGAGTTTTTATTTATTAAAAAGATCGACAAGTAAGAAATATAGAAATACACCTATGTACCTACCATATGAAGAGAAAGCAAAAAAATTTTTTATTTCTCTTATTTAATTTCTGATCGTCTGTTCCACATTGTTTATGATAAATAATATTTATTTACAGAATGCACTGGAAAGGTTGGAAATTGAAATTGAGACAAACTTAAAACTAACACAAGAAGATAAGCAAACGGTACGATCCTAATTTTGAAATTTTTCTTGCCACAAAGAATTTGTTTCTGATTGCAAATTTAAGATGTTTTTCGATTTGATGCAATGTCGATCGTATGGCTCAGCATTTTTTCAAAGCTGTAAGGACAGCGAAAGCAATTAAAGATACCAAGAGTATGGAAATAACTTTGGATACAATGGTATTTTCAGTTTGCAAAAGATATTCCCACCTTGGAAGGGCTAATAAAGTTATAATTGTGAGATAGGAAATTTTGCTGCTTAGGGCCCAACGGAAAAGTTTTGAATTGACCAAAAGAAATTGCTATAAAGGTGACGTAAGTGTTTGAGTAAGCTTTCACCTTAGAATAAGCCTCCCCCTCAAATAAGCCCCAAACCCTAAAGTAATTTTTGTGAGAAAAGTCCCCACCTCGAAAAAGCCCCTGAGATATTGTCTCGAAAACAATGGGTTTATCTGCATTTTAAGCAGCCTCATATACAACGAGAACATTTACCCTGGTAATATTTATAGCTAATTCTAAAGAAGCCCCCTCTTTCGAATTGCCCCCCCCCTCGTATATGCCCCCACTCCAAAATATTTTTTTGCGAAATAATCCCCCGGAGGCTTATTCGAAGACTTGCGGTACATAATGCCTAAATAATTGGTTTTTTAATCTAGAGACATCGTTTGGATGGTTAAGTTGGAAGGGCCAAGCTTAGTTTGCATCCTGAGTTTGCAGTGGAAAACTTAAATGGAAATCTTATGATTGAATTATAGGGCGTAGTTTCGTGTCAAATTTAGCGCTTCTCTTAACAATTTCTTTTGTTGGTTTAGGAAGTGATGCGAGCTCTTGAAGAATCTAAAGAACTCAGGGACCAACTGGATCAACTGAACAGTAAATGTAAATTGCAGGTAAGAAATTATGTCCATAAAGAGCCAATCGAGATTTCAGCTTTCCTTTTTGTATCTTTTATTCTCCATCTAATATGCTCTCTGTTGCAAGAAAATTTCACCTTTCTGATTTGCATTTCAGGAAACAACAATGGCGAAGATTGGTAAAGAGCGTGACGAGCAGATTGCAGAGGTCGTGCGTCTAAGTAGAGTCAATGAATCTGAAAACGAGGCTGTTAGCAACTTACGTAAATGCGTGCAAGACCTTCGAGGCTCGTTATCGGCAAAAGAAAACGAACTAGAACAAATGTCGAGCCAGCTAGACGAATCGAAACGAATGTTTAACGAGTTAACCGCAGCATATGACGAAAAGGTGTTGTTTTATCTCCCAATAATCTTTGGTTTTGTTAGCTGTATCCACAGAGTACAAAGAAATAAGTTTCCTTGTAGCCCATGAAGCAGGGTCTTTTTATATTTGCTTTAAGTCTCCCAGACTTTGAAAATACGTCGATAGTAACAAGCTACGTTTATACTAAATAAATAAAGAAGGGGAAATTTTTATTGTTATCAATATTGATTGTGTAATATCAGCCTTAGTTAATATTTAATATATAGCGATGAGCCAAGAAAAAGTACTTTGAAGAGTTCTCATCCCCATTTCCTGGCATCTCTACCCTCACTTCATACCCTTCAGCTCACTTTTAGTGCCTATTCTCGTACCAGGATGCACCACTTTTGTTTTCTTTATTTTGTAAACAATTGAAATCCCAACGCAAGCAATATCATTTATGTATTTCACTCTATGCAAAAAATGTACGGGCATGTATAACGATGACTTGAAAATTTTGAATCAGAATAGTTTAATGTAGCATACCAGTTCCCTATTCTTTAGAGAACTATCTTATCCTAACTGGATAGTGTCCTTCATTGGGCAATCGACCAGAATCTTAGAAACTGTCCTAAATCGACAGTTTTCTAAGGATGAGGTCAGGATGTCTTACTTTTTCCAATTTCTCATTCATTGTTCCAACTTCTTGAATGCTACAGCTCTGGGTCTCGATTGTGGGTTACGCGCCCGTGTTTGCAATAATTTCTAGTGTTTCATATGAATGCAAACACTAGCCAAGTTATAAGTGTGTTAGGTCAAAATTATGATTTATCAGAGGTTTTATCTGAAGTAGGTTATAATTACATTTTGGCCTAGTTGCCATGACATGTACCCGCCCACCTCCTTGATCTTTAGTTTTTAAACAGAAAATAATTTGGTTTTCTCATAGACACTTTTAGACTGGAATGCCCACGTCTCGCTGTTAGGAAATTGCATATAAGCTGTGGGTGTTTAACAAGATTACTCTAGGATTCAAGTTACGGTTATCTTAGACTAATGGATTTGATAATCTGAGTCAGGTCGTAGGCAGGAACCGCAATATTATCAAATGCTTATTTCTTGTTTGGTGACGAATTCCAGCTTCTTATGCTTTTGGATTGATTTAATCTTCAAAAATAGTTGATCTTGTACGTTTTGTAGTACCTTTTATTGTTTATGCAGAGATCCTTCTATGCAATGACAAGGTACAGCGCCATGCCTATTTCTTGTAGAATGAATGCTTTTTCTCAATGGCTTTTACTTTTCTTGCAGAAAAAGAAAATCTCTAGATTAAATGAAGCCTTAAAACAAGAATCAAATATGTTAGAAAAAGAGAGGTCGGAAAAAGATGTTGAGGTAAATTTATACTTTTTAGTTACATTCGACATTGAGTAGAAACCTCGCATTATATTTTAGAAATTTTGCTGTTATGAGCCATAGATTCATTAGCTTAGAATTTCATTGAATGTAAAAATGGATTTGCATTGAAAGATATTCTAGAAAGGGACTCAGTTGACGAGCAATCATGTCGAAAAGGGCGTCTAAAGAAGACTGGATTTCTTCTTAGTTGAAAACAGTTTGAAATAGAGGTTAACAGTTTCAAATAGAGGTTGACAGTTTCAAATAGAGATTGACAGTTTGAAATAAGAGGTTAACGACTACGGACCTATTATGTAAATGTATATTAATATCTGCCTCATTTTCCCATTTTCTTTAAGCCAGGAAGCATTAAAATAGATTTTCATTTGAAATGAGTAATTCCAGATTTGTTGTTATGAATGCTACTGACCCGATTCAGCTTATACAAACATATTCTTTGTAATCGTTCCAAAATAAAACTATTAATATTTCTAAGCTTTCCTTTTATGTGTTTTATAGGAAGTTGTCGTATTCAAGATTAATGACTTCATATAAAGCCTATTTTTGTTTTCATTGTAAATATCCTTATAGGAATTATATATTTAGATTATATTTGTTTCAGCTTAAACTTCTAAGGGAAGAGCTGCAAGTAGCAAATGATCAGTACAAAGAGCTGTCTGTTGCTCTAGAACAACAGCAGTCCCAACTAACACCGATACAGGTAAATCCCTTTTCTTAATTCATCCATTTGTGAATTAGCTTTGTACATGAAATAAGGCTTGTGTTATGATGAAAACATATCCTCTAGAAGAACTTTCGATGTGATGTGTGCGCAAAACAGACGATGGCATGTACCACGAAATATATTGAAGTACATTGTCACTTGATTAAACTTTGAGTTTTGTATTGCATTCATTTGCACGTCAAATTGTCAATTTGCAGTCCATGTATCAGAAAAATTTAGGTCAGCATCAGCTCTATGGGTGAATATTTTTAACCTAATTAACTAAATTTGTGAACTTCCGTGAAATCCTGGTGTTTACTCTCCAGAAACTGTGGATGGAGTTTCTTTATGGGTTGGTTGTGGGAAGAGAAATTCCAAAAAAATCCTTAAGATTGAGAACTCGAAAAGGTCGTTTATATGATTTGACCCCCAGTACCCGACGCCTACTACCAGAAATGTAATTTATTGGGCCAGATAACGACTTTTTTAATTGGTTGGTTTTTTTATTGACATGCGACCAGTCCTTATCAGCTTAATCACATTTTCGCATTATTCAGAATTTTTAGTTGACATGTTCTACTTTAAGGCGGGTGTGATAGTTGCTTTCTGTTAAGTTAATATCCTTAAAGATAATTGATTATCAACTGGTTAACGCTGCTTTCGGGAAAAGAAGCAAAAGAAATAAATATCAAGAAAAATCATGTCATATCAAAATATCCAATGCCGTGTTGTTCACAAGATCCGATTTTTTGTCATGGCTAGCCTTACTGATGTTTGTACGGTCTTCTTGAGATTTGCGCCATTACCAGATAGATTTCACAAGGAAAATTTGCTACCATCACGTTTATAATTCTGGATATATGGATTCTTCCGTATAACCAACCATCTTATGTACAAATTGCAATTGAATCCTGTTAAGTCGTACCTTCAAGAGATGGGGGGATGAGGAAATGATCAGACTTAGTGAATGTCCGGCTCATTCGGGCTACCATTTTCACTTCATTAAGATAGAAATATCTTATGGAAATTGAAAATTCAGTCCGACTTAAATTTAGGTCTGATTTATCCGGGCTACAATTTAAGGGGATTCAACTGTACTTCTATTTCAAATATTAAATGTCCCCAACATATTTGAGAGAATTAAACCTAAACTTAAACCTGGTTTGAACAGAATTTCCCCGTTATATCTGTCCTCTTCTTAGATTTTGGCCCTCCAACGGCCTCGCTAATACGAAGGGTGTTTTTCAACACCAGACGTCTTCGTAATTCGTTCACAAATGCCTTTACTTAAAGGCCCAAATATGCGAAGAGTGTTTATCAACGCTTATTGACTTTGCATAAACTACACTGCCGCAGTAACTTGTTGTCAGGCTATGAGCATTAAGTCAGGGGTAGTAATTGATTCCCTGAATCTTTAATGTTTATATTGGCTAACTTTTGCAAGGGTTAACTCATGCCACGTTGAAACATCTCAGAATCGCTTGCCTTTTCGGAGCTTTGGTTTGGTTGCAGAGAGCCATTTGTAAACCTTGAAAATTATTCAATCAAAATCACAATAATTCTAAGTTCTCCGTTTGTGTTTTTCATAAGTAATGGTCTTTTCAACTTAGTTGAAGTTTAAAAGCAAATAGATCTATGCCCTCTTCCTTGTAAAACGTGTACCAATAGTTAAAGCCTGCCAACAAGTTGCACGCAGTTTTGCTCAAAGCATCTTCATGAATCTCTTTGTCTGTTTCTTTTTAAGGCCATTTCATGACGCAACGAATTCGGCGTAACAGTTTCTTCGCATCTCGGATTCACACAGACTCCTTCTCTATATTTATTTCTACTCTGCACGGCAATATATAATCGTACGCATAATTGTAAATTTGTTTCAGAAAGGGTTTGTAAATAGCCAATATATTTAATATGTATTCCATACTTCTTATAACTTTTTACATGTAAATATTAAGGAAAGGTTTTGCATTTTACCGAATTATGGGTTTTGTAGTCCCACTATGAAATATTTTACGAGAAGCTCCTTTATAACCATTGTAGTAGTTTTAATGTAATTTATTTGATTACGATGGAATGTTTATAGACAAGTTTTATATGAAATGAAATTTTATGATGATGTAACAACCAAGTCTCGGTTTTTCTTCATTCTTTGGGAGGACTGGGAACTAGGGTTTCTGTCTGTCGCCAAGACGAACTTATATGATTAGGACCGTAGTTTCTGTCAATGGTCTTTTGGTGGTTTTGGGGAGGCCTAAGGCCGTCTTAGATAAGAATGGCTGGGCTGGTTTTGCTGTGATACTGTGAGTGTGTCTAAAATGTGTTAAGGGGCTTGCATATTTAAACCAAGCCTCTTGTTAAAAGTTAGTTTGTTTTCTTTTTTCAAGTACAGGATTATTTCAGTGGCAGAATACTACGAGAGGTCTGCAGTCATGAATTTGATAAACCAGAACTTTCTCTGTGACTGTTTCATAAGCTTTGGACTGCTTAGATCTGTATAACTAACGCACATAAAAGTAGAAGCTGTTTTATAGAAGAAATTTTATAAGGAACTATTTTTAAGTTCATCAAACAGATACATAAGGTAGCATTCAAGGAAATAGTCGAATTACCCATGTTCGCTGGCCGTAAACTACCTAAGTTGCGTTATAGTGTTTCAAAAAATTACCAGCATTGGTATGTTCAGGGAACAGTGCCCTTATACCTGAGACACTATTGCCAGGATTTGTTTTAGAGCAGCACAAAGCTTGGCAATGACTTGCCAATGTCCTCCGATGATTTTATTTTCATAAGATCACGTACAATAATTTTATCCTCAAAGATCCTACAATAATTGTGTTGTCATAAAATCGGTTGTTCTGAATCAGGGTCTGAAATGGAATATTTTAAAGACCATATCAGCAATTTCAACCTTAGAAAATTTTTATACTGTATGCTGCAGATTCTAGTTTGTACAGAAAGATTTTGAAACAGTTGGTTGGGCGTTAACGAGATAATAGGCGTTATTTCAAAAGAATATTTGCTGAACGATGTTTCTTGTACTTTTTTTATTCCAAACTTTAAATCAACACTGTCAGAGATATAAGAAACTCTGAAGTTATTAGAAATTTAAAGTTCCTCTGAAAGATATTATTCTCCTTAAAACATATTCTTGCTTTCATTGCTCACCATTCTCCTCAAAACACGAAAATGACGTAGTTTTCTTCTTTGTTTTGTTTTTTGCTACTTTTTATTTTCTCAACACATTTTGACTCTCACTTTAATTTATCAAGACCGAATTAGCTGATGAAAGACAGCGTGTGAAGAACTTAGAGGAACAGGTGAGAAACGCTCAATTTCTTTGTTATTCTTTATCTTAAGAAAACTTACATTTTCTCATTTTCTCAAATATTTCTGCTTGATTTTAATTTTTATTGTTTGTTTATAAATGGTAAGAAGTTTGGAAAATGCTATGTTATACTGGCAATAATTCTTAATCTTTGATTCACACACCCGGTATTCCTTCGAAAAAAATTGAACTTTTGATCAAGCTATTCAATACTCTTTTGTCCATTCCCAATAAATGTGTATGAACTGTCCTTTTTTGCAAAAAGGGTCTTTTCTCTTCCATTCCATTAATCGCAATTTAGAAACATTGCAGTTGATGTCATAACGTTTTGTACGGCCTGTTTTTCTTTGCCTACCATTCTCTTGAATCTATGAAGTAGTATAGGGTTTCAATAAAATCAAACTAAATCAACGTTAAATTGTGAGTTAATCCAGAAAATGTAGGATGCTCTAACTGTGACAAACATATCCTCATATTTGGCTGTTATTTTTTTATATTTAAGAATGTTAATGATTGAATATCCTTCTTGTATTTGGAGTGATTTCGGGTAAAACGTTTTTTTTAATTAGTTCATGCCAAAGGTTTTGATGCTTTCGACATTTTTGCGTTCTGTAACAATAATCATGATGTTTAGATTTTAGATGAAAATATTTTCTTTTAATAAATGTATTGCAGATTGAAGAATTTAATGAGATGCACAAAGAATCGATTGTGCAGTATGAGAAGCGTCTAACAGACATTCATGACCTAGTCGATCCTAAGGACTTGTCAGTTGTCGATTCACAAGCTGAAGAGATGGGACGCATGAAAGTCAAATTAACAGAATTCGTCAAGCTGTCTGAGAACTGGGAGAATGACAGACAGGATAAGAATGTCATTATTGCGGAGCTCAAAGAACAGATCGTTGGGTATGAAGACTGGAAAAGTGAGAAACTGCTTTACGAAGAGAAGCACAAATTGCTGGAAGATGAGATAGAAATGGAGAAGAAGGCACGAAGTGAAAGGTGCAATTTACTTAATTATAAATCCTTTTGTCAGTAGAGTTGGTGTAGGGGTAAATATTGAAGTTTTCACTAAAATTAAAGGGGCTGGATGAACATGGAAATGATGAAGAGACCATGTGAAAGAAGGGAATGGTTTAAGCGAAATGGAGAAGATAAGAAAAGCGCTGTACACAGGGCAGGATAGTCAAAGTTTGCAAATAAGGGAGGAACCATGATCTTTCCGCCCTAGTAAATAATGATATGATATTTTTTGAAAACAATTTTTTGGTGGTACAAAACTTGAAAATGGAATCTATTAGAATCTATCTGCACGAAAAACCGCTACTGTGTAGAGAAAAGGAGTTCGTTTTCACCTTAGGACTCCATTGGTAACATTATCAATAGGCAAGCGGCACTGATTGGTCAACCTCAACAGTCATGTGCTCGTGTTTCTGATTGCCTATTTCAATCCACAACTGGGTATATATATTTCCTAGCGTAGAGTTTTCGGTCTATGTTCTGACGTTTTAAACTCTGAAGAGTGTCAGACGAAAAGCATTAGTTTACAAAATGTTTGATTTTTTCAAAGCCATTATCGATATCTTATGAAGTTGTTTGGACAATACGCCCCGGTAAGCACATGCTAGCTAGCATGCATTGCAATACGAGGTATCGCCTCCTTCCCAATTCAAGGTATGCATTTTAATAGAAATAGGGATTTGAATAGAATACTGAATAATGTAAGAAAATTATAAAAAAGTTTAATTTTAGCTACCCTTTCATGGTTAATCAACGTATTTGAATATAAGTAACGACCATAAACCATTTTGTTGAAAATTGACTTTGTTACAGAGAGGCAAGTCTTAACGCTGAACTTGGCATCTTGAAGAAAAATGTTGAAGCTAAGAATGAACAGTACATGGTCGCTGCGGCCGAGTTGGTAAGTAAAAGCATATTGATTCAACCACCAATTACGTCACAAGATACTCAGTTTAGAACATAATGAAAATAACTGTTTACCGGTCTGTCATAAAGTGCTCGATCCGTATAGGCAGAGCTGTACACGCTATTTGGTGTATAGAACTGGGCGGTATTAAGTTGCTACTCCGAGTTTTACGCTTAAAGCGATCATCAGGAGACTGAGAGTGAAACTCGGAGTAGCAACCGTCCAGTTCTATACACCAAATGTCATAACATAGTGACACAAAAATTGGTTTTCTTTGATTGACTTGTCGCTTTTTTAAGGTTGATTCGTGTAGCTTTTTGTTTTACTTTGTTTGTACTGTGTTGATGATAATGTTTGGCGAAGTGGGAGCGTCCGACGTATGAACAGTCGCTTAAAGAATTGAGAGTGCTAACGCTTGATTTATACTCCCCCCTACCCTATCGAATAATTAATCCTTCACGTAAAAATCCGCTTTTGTTCATATGTCAGCTCTATGAGTGATCTGTATTATATATCATCATATGTTATTTTGATAGCGGTTTACAGGGTGCGGAACTGTCAATAGCTTTTCGATGTAGTACAATCTAGTGCTGCAGTATTTTGAATTCAACCGTCATTCTATAAATCTTTATAACCATAGCTTTTCATCTAAGCTAGGTTTATAGCTTTTTTATCCCGCCAATTCCTGAAAACTGAAACACCCTTCCTTCATAGTTCACTTTTACGGATGGACGCTTTTTTAGGGGACATTAAAGGAATCCAGGCAAGAAAACAGCGTAGGAATTCCTCTAATATGTATTACTTGATGGCATCGTATATCAATGGAGTTTCTTTCATCTTTAGGAGCAATGCAAGGAAATGAAGAAGAAGGTGGATATAGAGTATGTATCTCGTCTTCGTTACCCACGAGAAATTCGCAAGAATACTTGCACAAGAGTGTTGTGTAGGACTTGCCTGTATTGTTATGCATCAAGGCTATAGTTTGTAAGTACAAAAGCACAATCTGATGGTCATCGTGAACAGTGTCCTGGTCCTTCCTCTCGATGTGACCACACCTCGTGATACCTATGCCTGGAATTGCAGAGAGCTGGTGACTCTACTCACTCTAAATGAAAATTCGGTCATGTCAGGGGCTCGATCCCCAGACCTCTGGATCTGTTATCTGCAACCCTAACAACTGGTTCCTTGGCTTCACGATCGCGGGCCTTGCCTCTTTTTAATTAATAGTGGGAAACTCTGATACCCTACTTTATATTCTACTCCAAGCCTGTTTCTATTGCCTTGATATCTTTGACAGTTAACCTCGATTATTTATACCACATTTCAGACTAGCAATGTTAAAAGGAAACTTGGATAACGCACAGGAAGACATTGATTACATGCAAGGAGAGCTGGAGCGGTAAGAAGTCTGCTTATTAAAAATTATATTTAAGTTGAAAAATATGTCATCTGAACGTTATGGTATTTTTAAAAAACATGCCATCTTCTACTGTTCTTTTCCAACTATATTTGCTAGTTTTTGAATTGTTTTTTGAATGACAATCAATTTAGGCCATTCTAGCCCTGTCCATTAATTACGCGATGTACGCGATTGGCTTTTTCTCCATTTCGACGATCTCAAATTATGCTGTCTCGAGACAATTTTAAAAGGGAAATATTGTTAAACATAAATATCTAGTTTCAAATGCATGAAAATACGTATAAGTGACATGGAATGTTATCTTTTCATTGTTTTCTTTATAGCACTAGGAAACACGAGGAAAAAGTGTTTGAAGAAAAAGAGGAGTTGAAATCACAGCTTTCTGTGGTGATGGAAGAAAAGACAAAATTGTCTCAGGTGCGCTTTTTTAAGAGGACAATGGGAATTAATCGCTTAATTCGAGTTAATACCCGCAGGGAAAGTGCGCAGATCCCCCTTTTCTAGAATCGGGTGGTCCCACACGTATATCCTTAGTAGGCTGTGAGTATCAAGTTACCTTAGCTATTTGCTAATCACCTTGTGGTGTTTTCTAGGTGGTTTTGCCCTAGCATATTTGTTTAAGTACAGTGATGCAGCTAGGGTCACGTCATATTTTGCAGCACGACTCACGCGTTGTTGCATGCGTTTTCCCCTCCCATCCCTGTCCCCTTGTACTCGCTTCTCCTCCTGCCTATACCCCGTTACATACTTCCTCCTGCCTTCTCCTGTCTCACTTCTTCCCACACAGTCATTCGATTGTGTGACAGGTGTATCAGTCTGTTATCGGGGTAAAAAACTGAGGCAGTTTTTTCCCTGGAATCAAACACCGACCATAAAATTGCGTCATTGCTTAGGCAAGACAACGGCTGATGCACCAAAAGCCCAAATTGTTTTTCCTGAGATTGGGGTGTTGTTTATCATAACTAAGGGGCCCCCGCGATGGAATTAATTTTAATTCTTTACGAATGGTGATAATTTTGATCACATATTATATTGCTTGGGATATCATATTGCTCATTACTATTGCTTTTTATATGTTCACAGACCAATGATGAGCTGACGGAAAGAGCCAAGACTTTAGAAGCAGAAAATGCGAAGCTTGCTAGTCATCAGAACCTAAACCAAAAGATAAAACATCATTTGAATCTAAAGAAGGAAAATAATCAGCTGAAAGAGGTTTGCATCTACCAAGCTTAATCGATCCGTCTTTCATAATATGTGGTCCTTTCCTTGGCATTTTTCTATTTGATATTTTACAGTCATAAATTATGGTGATTCTACGGACTCTTTTCTTTGCTAAATTTGTTTTGTTTATCGAAAATCTCTCTTTTACTTAGATTTGCTGAAAAACATTTCATTAATTGTGTCATGCACTTCTTGCTTTAAAAGATGGAAATATTTTTGCATAAATCTCACCTTGCTGTATGTAATGATTTTTCCCTTTTCTGGTGTCATGTTTGAAGTTTGCCTTTATCTTTTAGCCGTCCACAATTTTTTGCTGTCTCATCAAACATAATAATCTGAATTGTCTTTCAGCAAATTTCAAAACTCAGCATCGAGGTTGTTCATTGGAAGAATAAAGCTCCGAAGACCTAATTCTGCATTCAGATTTTGTAACATAGTTTATGTCCGTGGGAACAATTTTTGTGGAGTAAAAGAAGAATAAAATCACATATTGTTATCGATTTTGACAACCAGCCCGACAACAATGTACAGAAATTCTCACTTGTATCTTGAGTGATTACCCTTTTCCCATATAGGACATTTGAAACCCGTAAATCTATTCAACTTTCTGCTGGCTATAGCCGTAAATTTTATGCATTTAAATGGTTTTTAAGTTATCTGATACGTATCATGTTCTCTAAAAAATTTATGTTTTCATATAAGCAGTTTATAGCCGTTATTTTATGCTGGAATTTCTGCTTGAATCTCTATGCATTTTACCACTGAGAGAGAAACCCTTAAGTTTCCCTTCAACTAAATTCATTTCTGAGAAAACCAGTCGAGTCTGTGCACAGGCTTTTATGTATAAGCTTCAGCTGTTGGCCCTGTTGATTGGCCTGCATAGACAAGATTGTCACTTCTTCACAGCGCATTTTACATGCAAAGCTGATGAAACTGAGATTATGACACGCTTATCACGTCACAGGCAATCGTCACGGGAGTACCAGAATGATTTGACCAAAACAGACCAGATGTGTGACCAGAGCAAGCAAAATAGGCCCAACATATTGCCTAATTTGTTAATTTTACACGCTTATCACGTCACAGGCAGTCGTCACGGGAGTACAAGAATGATTTGACCAAAATAGACCAGATGTGTGACCAGGGCAAGCAAAATAGGCCCAGCATATTGCCTATATTTGTTATTTTCCATAATTGTAACTTATATATGAAACACTTTCTCGTATTTGTGTGGTTATGTTGTTTGATAAGATAATTCGAACAGATTTTGTTAACTCCAATAACATTAATCGTTTTTTTTAAATTCTTAAAAAATAAATATTTAAAGAAAAAACTTGATGCGATGCAAAGGTCCTTTTTGAAATCTGAACAAATTTTCTTACAAGTTTAGCACAGCCAAACGTATTTTTGTTGAAAAGAAAAAAGTAAAGATGAAAACCTGATCTACAAGTGCTGTTATCTTTAACAAAGTAAGGTATCATAAACAAGGGTGGTTGGTTGCTGGCCAGAGAAGGAAAATGCTCAAATGACCGAATCCAACCAAAAGAATATCGGTGAAGATTGCCACTTCAAGACGGCCGTGCAATATCAATTTTAAACATCTCATTTTTATTTATGCTGATATCAGCCCTGTACAAACAGCTAAATAATATGCATTCACTTTTTCGAGCATTTGAAACGATTAAAACTTTTTTTGAGCAAAATTGTTTCAGTTTATTCAGAAACAACGATCATTGTAGGAACGATCAGTCGATTTCTATCTTTTGAAAGAATTCAAACTTGCATATTGTTTATCTCTTAAAGTGCTAAATGTTCTTTGATTAGTTTGTGAAAAAAAAGAGATGAAGGCAACTGCTATGATGAATTTGTACAAACACTAATTTGTAGGGTATAATATTCTATTTTTTCCGCTTTACGTTGGTTAGGGGGCCCCTTAGTTATGATAAACAACACCCTAATCTCAGGAAAACATTTTGGGCTTTTGGTGCATCAGCCCTTGTCTTTCCTGAGCAATGACGCAATTTTATGGTCGGTGTTTGATTCCAGGGAAAAAACTGCTTTAGTTTTTTACCCCGATAATCAGACTGATACACCTGTCACACAATCGAATGACTGTGTGGGAAGAAGTGAGACAGGAGAAGGCAGGAGGAAGTGTGTAACGGGATATAAGCAGGTGGAGAAACGAGTACCAGGGGACAGGGATGGGAGGGGAAAACGCATACAACAACGCGTGAGTCGTGCTGCAAAATATGGCGTGAATCGAGCTGCATCACTGTACTTAAACAAATATGCTAGGGCAAACCACCTAGAAAACACCACAAGGTGATTAGCAAATAGCTAAGGTAACTTTATACTCACAGCCTACTAAGGATATTCGTGTGGGACCACCCGATTCTAGAAAAGGGGGATCTGCGCACTTTCCCCGCGGGTATTAACTCGAATTAAGCGATTAATTCCCATTTTATTTCTTTGATGGTGAATTTTTTCCAAAAAAATGAATTTACATCACTGATCTAAAAAAAACTGGATCGCGCATCCTATTGTTCTCAAACCTTAGAAAGTGCGGCCGGCGAATTTCAATCGGCGCCATGCGCTTGTGACCACTTCAGCGGGAAAATGAATAGCTAGGATGCTGGAGAATAAGGTATTCGCTGCATTTATTTTGCCTGTAAGAAATGCGAAATAGGGAACTGACGATGAAAAGGGAATAAATGACAACAAGGACCATGAGAATCAAGGATTGCAAATAAAAAGGAAGCTAAGTTCCACTTTTTCACCGTGTGAGTACACTACTATTTTTATTTTAGTAGGCCAAGATCGTTGTATTTCTTAGGTACAGTTATGCCCCCTTTAAACTGGGTTTTCACGAGTCTGGACCATTTCAAATCCTTTTGCTAAAAGGATCAAAAGTGATACGGTTAGCCGTATCAGTTTTGCTACGGATAGCTTGGAGTGGTGTAAACGGGAGGCCAATCCGTATCACTTTTGATACGGATCAACAAGTCATCTGTGGCAGTGTAAACGGGGCCTTAGTTTCCCAAATAGATTGCTACAGTTAGTTACTTTGAAGTAGGTAGCTATTTGGAAAGTCTTGCCTGGTTTTAGATACCCAAATAGATTGCTATAGTTAATGTTTATGAATTCAGTAATAATTTTTTACATGGCACTAGGCCTAATCTTTGTTTCCCCATGGAAAAATTGAAATGTGGGACTGCCTCATAGAAGAATGTATCAGATCTATAAAGGCGCAGGCTAATAGATACACGAAAAATACTTTTATATTTTATTTTCTAGGTAGAGCAACTTGTGTGCATCTTTGACTTGGTGGATTGACAAAGACATGTGCCTTCACCACTTGTTTTGAAATGAAATAAACATCTGTTTATAAAACCATAAAGGTTTTCCATTTTCAAGTTTTGGAAAGGAACCAATCACTGAGATGTTATGATGTGACTAAGCAATGGAAGTTGTTGCTAGCAGCTGAATCTTACTAAAGCAAAACAAACTGCAATATTCATAACATTAATTTTGGAGTGGAAACAGTAATTTAGATTGTTTCAGGAGGTTCTTCAACCATATTTTACAAATTCAAATGTTTGCTACAAAAATTGCATATATGTTTAGAACATTTAGCAGTAAAATGAATTTATTTTGTGAGCTTTATGCAGTAATCTACGATTATTTCTGGAACAAAATTACCAATGTAATCAAATGTTTTGCTGTAGTAAGCCTTTTTTATGAACCGTATTAGTCTTCAGTTCATAAAAGTGTTGTCACTCATAGCTTTTGTCTCAGGGCAGAAGGATTTATCTCTCAAATATGAAGGATTTATCTCTCAATATCTCTCAAAGAGCTGTATACATAACAAATTCAAAAACCTCAAATTTTTAAATCACAATCTTAAAATTCATTTGAAACAAAGTCACAATCTTTTAATTACTATTCATTGTAATATCTGTTACTTATGAAGTTCTAGCTCAGTAAACTATATATGATTGTATCCCTCAATAGCTGTCAAGCCATTCCATTGCACTTTATTCTGCAAAATAAAGAAATGCTTTGTCAGAGGTAATATTAAAATTTTGATTCAAAAGTACAACCAGGCATATTCTTTAAGGCTTATTTTTTCAGAGGAATATGATATCACTCTTCAATTAGTCCTAAGTCACATAAGTCACAAACATAGTACAAGCGGTGATTCACTTGAATGTAAGCATGTTTCATATCACATCATTTCAATGTAAAATGTATTGCTTAAACAATGTAGAGGGGCACAAAAAGCTAGAGGTTTGAAATCACGGCTAGACTTGTCTGGAAAGAGCAGCTACACAAATTAAACATATTTTCTATCTACAAGAAACTTAGTACTACACTGGGGTTGCTCCCAAGATGTTTTTGGGGGTTATTATATCCTATCAGAGAAACAACTAAAATTAACTTTTACATATGAAAGCTACTTATATTCTATGTAATTATCGCTGCTACGTGGCTTTTTCATGGCAATTTACGGCTCTAATTTGATCAAATAAGTAAAAGGTAGCTAGTCATATAGTCACTTGCCTGCTGATTCGAATAAATATATTTGCATCGTTGGACTCTCCGTGGAGACTTGAGTTTAGGAAACAGTCTAATTACTGTTTTTGAGTGCCAACAACGAAAGAAAAATGTTTATTTAGATTTACCTTAGTTTGATTTCTGTTTTCGAATTTCAATCCACCTACTAATAATAGGCCTAAAAGTGTAGGCTATCCGTAAAGCAACAAGAAATAGAGAACCAAGATGCCTTACCCTCCATAAAATGGAACATTTAATAATTTGATGGTCCTTTACGCTCATATATATTTAGATTTACCCACCTTTGCCACTATTTGACGACAGAAACTTCGACTTTACTTGTCCGAACCGGCATTTCCTCGTAGTAAACAAGACCACAAGTCTGCAAAAGTGGTCACAAGAGCATGGCCGCTGCGATTTCTCAGCGGCCGCACTTTTAGAACAATAGATGCGCGATCCAGTTTTTTTTAGATCAGTGATTTACATCCCATCCACTGCATTGCTACCAATGTTGCCTCGTTTTGGATCTCTAGGGAGAAGTTTTATGGTTGTGATCAAACAGCAAGCAAGATTTGCAGCTGGTGGCCCATGAAGAAGAGGAAATAGCACATCTGAGGATGGAAACTTGTCTACTGGGGTTGTTAATTATTGTCTTTTAGATCTTCCATATCTACTTGCAGAATCTGTGTACGGGGGAGATGATTTCTTCACGTTTGAGCCGCCTGTCAAAGTTACGGTCGCCTTTGCTGCACAGTCGACCGTGGTCTGGGAAGGCTTTTGCAGATGGCTTTGTAAACAAAGGTTGGCAAGCGAAAGTGGCTGGGGCAGTAGTTGGCGCAAGTGGGATTCTTATTGCTGCGTTTGGGCTCAAAAATGCTTTTGCAAAAGAAGAGAAGAAGAAAAGAGTGGTTGTTCTTGGATCTGGGTGGGGAGCTGTCAGTTTTTTGAAGAATCTCAAACCTGGTTTATATGAAGTTGTTGTGGTCTCACCCACCAATTATTTCATATTTACACCTTTCCTGGCTAGTGTCACAGTAGGGACGGTAGAAGCAAGGACAATATGTGAGCCTATCCGAAAAATTCTCTGCAGAAGGCACCACAACAATTCACAGTTTTATGAAGCTGAATGCACAGATATTGACGTGGAGAAAAAACAAATTGTTTGTGTGAAAGAGAACGAAGGTATCTTTTTAATTAAAAGGGCAACTGTTGAATAGCTTCGAGTATTTTTGATAGATAGGAATGTCTCTTGAATGCACCAAGACGTTTTCTTTTAAAGGTCACTGGGACAGTTAATTGCTGATACTGTGCACAACATTTACTGGGAAATGTTTTGGTTTGTTCCAAAAAGGAATTGCATCAGTGATCTTTTGTGCAGATCATCTGCACAGACAATTATGACAAATTCTCAACATGCTACATGCAAAATGCTCAAAACTGGCACACCAAAGCTTTCTTCAAAACATCAACTTCTGCAATGTAGCTAAAATGTTATCACTCACTTTTGTCAAAACCAGTTTTAAAGATTACCAATAACTTAAAATGTTATAGTAAGAGTTTTTACAGCTTAGCTGCTACCTCTGCATTTTATTAGGGCTTTGCATGTTTATACATCGCGCAAATGATTTCTAGAAAGCTGATCAATCAAGTTGAACTGTGTATAAACTTGAGATTTCTTTATCTCTTAGGTCTGGTGTTTTTATTAGGAAATGCTAAAATTTTGGAAACACTTCTGCACTAAATGTCTAGGAATCTGTCGCAAATCTATAAGGGTTCATCATTAAATATGAAACAAGGATTAACCTTCAAAATTTAATCACATCAAACCACCTCCTTGTCCTTCCATTTTCAGGTCGTGTTAAGACTGCCTTTCTTCCACAATATTCTGCCATTAAGCTTCAAAAAATGTAGCATGCATTTAGTTTTGTGCCAAAATTTGCAGCTCATTATTGCCACTTGATGCTGATCTTTCATGTCACCAATCTTTATTAACGTTCTTCTGATAACTTATAAATGTTCTAGTATTATGAAAATCCTGGAGAAAAAATCTCTACTTTGGTGTTTTAGATGAAAAGTCCACATTTACGATTGATTATGATGCCCTCATTATTGCTGTTGGAGCTGAAACAAGCACATTTAATATCAAAGGAGTAAAGGAGCATACACATGCATTGAAGGAAATATTTGATGCCCAGATGATAAGAAGAAATATTATAAATTCGTTTGAAAATGCTTCATACCCAGGAAGAACTGAGGAAGAAATAAAGAAACTTTTGCATTTTGTTGTGGTTGGGGGAGGACCAACTGGTAAGTTTCAATATTTCATTAAGTGGCAAAATTTGCAAAAATGCTGATATGTCAGTAACAGTTTAAGTTGAAAATTTAAGTTCTTGTCATTTTTGTTGATTTTGTTTTAGAATCATACCTTTTGATGAAAATTTGTATGGAATGAAATTGTATAATTGGAATACCATAATTTCTATAGTAATGATTAGCAACAGAATAAGAAAGACTGTACCCATGATATCTTAGGAAAAAGGCAGCAAGTGAGTATGATGAAGTATGAGATTAACATTATCAAATGCTTTGAGCAGATGGTAAAACATTTGTTAAAAGATTGTTGTTAACTCAGTTTTAATGGGGGAAAGGGGCGTTTAAATCTCATCTGGAATCATCACAAAATGGATCTGTTGATAATTTTTGTTTTTAAATTGTTTCTCTGTTAGGTGTTGAATTTGCAGCAGAATTATCAGATTTTGTGAGGCATGATCTGGATAAGCTGTACCCAGAATTGCATGACAAAGTCAGCATCACACTTATTGATGGGTACAACAAGTTGCTATCAACCTATGATGAGGAGGTTTGTGTTCACTCATTCAACCTTTTTGTAGTTTAATGATTCTTGTGTGAGAAGGAAGAACAGCAGGATAGGCTGTCCGCCGGATTCTGTGAATCTTGCAATGAGTGTTGTTATGAAAGATATATAGGAACAAAGCAATACAACGACGAGAATCCAATGTCACAAGATAAAATTTTCAAAATAAATTAAATTTAAAGAATATACTAATATTTCGCCCCGGCATACAGGGCTTCATCAGAGTAAAACATTATCTGGTAGGTGATATGCAATATGTAAGGGTTAAATAATTATTTTGATATTTTAAATCATTTAAAAGCCATGGGATTGATAATGTGAATCAAAAGGCTGGATATACTCTTGCAAAGCCTCAGAGTACTCTGAATCTTAAGATTTTTACCAGCAAGGCAGGGAACTGTTATGATTCCTGTACATATGAAATTGGCTCTGTTCATCATAAGAAATTTAGTTTTCCTATCCAGGCTAGGATTTTGAAGGTTGTTATGATATTGATGTTGTAGAACCAAATCATGAGACAGATGACTAACAATTGCCTAAGCAACCATCTGTTTACAAACCAAGGTACCAATTGATGAACATTTCAAAACCAAACACCCTAGTTGTTAAGTCACTTGTGCTTGACTAATCAGAGGCTTATGCTAGGAGACTTTTTGATGGAAAGGGCCTCTTGATTTGTTTTAGAAGATCATGAAAACTGTACAGAAATTCTCACTGTAAATAGGCTAAAAATTATGAGAGCTTAAGGGATTTAACCCTCTGGGTCCCATTGGTGGGTTTTAACAGCCTGTCAGATCAGACCCTGTGGGCGTTTTAAGTTGTACCTTCAGTGCTGTCTTTCTTGATTAATTTGTCTATGTCTCTGTATATTTTCAGACAAAAAGTCAACCCAACTTGTAAATAAGATTGTCTTTAAGGGTAGTTGTCTAGTAAGAGAAGCAGGCCAAAAACCCAAATAAGTTCCACCCACGGTCTTGATTTGCCTTTTCCCCAAAGTTATTTGTTAGTCATCAATCTTTTCAGGGACACATATTAAAGTTGATGCACAATCTGCAACAAGCTGAAAAGAGACTGACGATAATGTAATTGATAAAATCCTTAGTCATTTAGGTTTTCTGTCAGTATGAATTTAAAGATGTGGACTTTCCAAGCAATCTTTCTTCTAGATCAGCCATTATGTTGAAAGTCGTTTTAACAAAGACCGCATCAACTGTGTAACAAGTACATTTGTGACAGAAGTGGAGGATGGAAATTTGCACATCATGGATGCCAAAACGAAAGAAAAGAGTCAAATGCCATTTGGCATGTGTGTTTGGGCCGCTGGGATCGGACCCAGGCCAATAACAAGATCTTTTATAGATAAGGTCCCTGGACAAACAAACAGGTAAATTATGCCGTAACGTGTGCATATTTTGTAAGGCTGTTACCTACTGCATGCATTTCATCCACGTTGCTTGTTCCGGAAAAAAGCTATAACATTAAAGTCATTATTTGCCGTGTCAAGAAAAGCTGCTTGTACCATTAATTTGCCTTTGGAAAATTGTAACTCATAGCTTTTTCCTATAAGACAGTTTTTTATCAGGTAAATAAAAGGTACTGCTTTTTAAAACGGGACTTAAGTAATGTGTTTCAAATGCGTTTTAGACATGGATTCATTATTCCGAATCTCTAATATTCTATTTCCTTCTTTCTTTTAAGACGTTTATGAATTTTCCCCTTAGAAACGCGATATTGACTGATAATCACCTCCATGTCGACAACACAGAAGGCGTGTATGCCCTGGGTGACTGTGCCACAATCGAGTTGCATAGGCTGGCTGATGAGGTGCACCATCTCTTCCACTTAGCTGACAAGAATAAAGATGGTAGCCTTAGTCTCGATGAATTCGAAGGTATTTTCATAGTCATCTTTTGAGCATCAACCATAACATTGTCACTAGTTGGTGAAAGGCTCCAGGAGAGATTCAATGGGATGTTGATATTTGACTAGAATAATGTTTGTAATGGTGCATTGTTAGTATGAAGTGACATATGCGGTTTTGAATTGTGAAAACGATAGGATAGGGGAGGGAAGAGCTTTAGATAAATAATGTTTTCGAAATTTCATGTGGAACATCGGCCCTCTGAATCCCCCGATTCCCCCAGCTCTGCATTTCTGTTTGGGACAAATAGAAAGCCTTTTGTTTCTGCTAAAATTTTTCTGTGTCTACTTGCCCTTCTTCTCAGAGAACATACCCATAGTTGTATCTGAACTAAATAATTAATGGGATTGCAGACACACCTCCAAGAATTCGCATTAATCAGATAAACCGACTCGGCAAGCTTCTCCAAATCATTTTTCTAACAACAATCTTGTTATAATAATAATAATAAATAATTTGTTTAAAGTTAGCGTACTAAATGAACGGCTGATAGCTATAAAGAAGCTAATTAAGGCCAACTATCTATAAAGTGTTAGTATGAAATAAAAATATATGATACAATATTAAAAAGGTTTAAGGTATAATGTTTTAAATAAAACCTAACCCAGCAATAAATTTTTTACACAATCTACAGTCGCATTCTATAGGGTGTGCTCTTAATTCTTTTTTAAATGTTGCCAGTGATTGGGACTCTCTTATACTGTGAGGTAGTGTTTGCCACAGTTTTTGACCTAAATATCTCACAGTTTCTATACCATAAGAAGTTGTCCTGGCTTTTGGAATGCAAAGATTATTTTTAGTTCGCAAATCGCAAGTTCGCAAAAGATTATTGTTGTTGGTAGTAAAGAAAAAGAATTGCTTTCTCAACATAATCTTCGTAATAAAAAGCATTGCAATGCTGGTAGCAAAGAATTATTAATGATGTTAGGGTTTTCGATGACACCTCCAACTTTATTTCTCACGAGTTGATGGTGAGACCGTTAGTTGATCGCAAGAAGCGCTCGACATTAGGCAGGTTAGGAACAAAACTTTATTCAACTGTGATAACTTTGAAGGGAACTTCGCTGGAATGCCAAGAAGAGAAAGGATGAGACTTATCAGAGTCGATGCAAGGTAGACAAGAATCCATTGAAACAGAAAGGGCTTAATATATTATCAAGATACTGAAATTGTTTTGTCTCAAAATAGAATCGAGCTGCTTGGCTAAATTTTAGGTTTGTGCTTTTAAGCCTTTAAATTATACAGGTATTTCACACACGCTTTGCTTTCAATAACTGATCTCCGTTTTCAATTTCGTATATTTTAGCAATAATCGACAAAGCAAGAGAAGACTTCCCTCAAGTCTCCATTCATTTTTCAAAGGCATACGATGAATCAAGAGCAAGGTAAAAATTTTTAGAGAATGTGCTATTATAAGTGTACCGTAGGTCCTCGAATAAGCCCCCACCTTTGAATAGGATCTGAAAAGCCCTCACCCTAGAAGTAATTTTTGTGTAATATGCACACACCCTCTTATAAGCCTCCATGGGCTGGGGGTGTTGCTCCGACAACAATCGATTTTCCCAGTTTATCTGCATTTTTAAGCATACTGACCAGCCGCAAATACGGGAAGAAAATTTACCCTGGTAGTCTTTTTGGCTTCTGCTAAATCAGCCGCCATCTTCGAATAAGCCCCTCCTCGAATAAGCCCCCAACTCGAATCGACATATTTTTGCGAAATAAGCCCCCGGGGCTTATTTGAGGACTCTAGATTGTGTATTCTAAACGATTGGCACTGGTTTTAAAGATGCCTAATGCTCAAATTCTTCTCATTTCATTTTGTGGTTACGAAGCCAGAAACCACCAGCAAGGGTTTTGGTCGAAAATAAAATAAAAACTGGTGGAATTAATTTTGCTATTCCAAAAGCACGCCTATTACTTACACAAACTGAGAAAAGTTGGCCTACACACCTTTCGTCTGGAAGGAAGTGGATAATTTCTTGCGTTGCATTGCATGTCCAAAACTGCTATTTTCATTCATTTTTTCATTCGTAAATAACCCACTGCCTGCCGCATGTAGTCATGGTGTGACTCGAAAATTACTCGCACTATTCTAAAGCTCAAATCAGGTTATAATCAAGTTATGTTGAATTGCATGGAATTTCCAGATAAAAGCATCTTTGTCTGCACATGATGCATTTATGTGTAGCACCGTACAAGAACTTCAGCCAGTAAAAAAAATCCAAAAATCGTTGTGATTTTGTCCGATCTCTTTTGGATTCTTTCGAGACTTGCTCATGACGATATTCCAAAATTGTGAATGAAAATCATCTGACAACAGAAATCCTCTGAAGATGTGTGTTTGGGCTGAAGTTTGTACGAAGTGTTTAGGCCCGAAGAGGCAAAAAAATACTTGTTTTGAATATTCAAGTTTACTTTTTATTGATTTCATTAGTTGATTTTTGTCGTCATATTGTCTTTTTTTTAATTCAAGTAAAAGAAATAGTTTCTTTAAGCAAAACAAAGTCGTTCAAGAAATTTTTGAATGCAGTACTTATTACATATACATGAAAGCCTATTGATTTTGTTTGAAAACATGAAACTGTTTGTTTTTAGGGCTTTTGCTGAGGCTGATGTAGACAAGGACCACAGTCTCTCCGTCAAAGAATTTCAAGATTTTCTCACACTTATTGATAAAGAACTGAAATCATTGCCTGCAACCGCCCAGGTGGCTGCTCAACAAGGCAAATATCTTGGTAAATTATTTACAAAGCATCCAAATGACATTTTCGACAAAGAAGGCATTCCAGACGGCATCAAGCCTTTCGTCTATCACCATTTAGGCTCATTTGCCTACATCGGTAGCAACCGAGCTGTACTCCAGATGCCTGGCTTCGGAATCTTCAAAGGTTTAACAACGATGTGGCTGTGGCGAGCCTCGTATACAAGTGAGTGCGTTGGTATGAGAATGAAGGCTCTTGTTCTGGGAGACTGGATCAAGTCAGCGACTGTTGGCCGTGATACATCGAGAATTTGATCTTCATTTGCAATGGTGTACAGACAGCTCTTCCGGCAAAGTTGGCTGATGAAAATGGTGGATTGTCGCCATGGTTCTGTTCTTGCAAATATATACAAATAAGCTGTCACGCAGCTCATGTTATGCTCCATAATCAATCGTTATTGTAAGCAATAATGCGAACTGAATTTGTGTATATATTTTCTCTGTAAGCTTTTAAATGTATTCAATTGTGTATTCACGCTGGAATGCATTGAGGACGACTGGCATTGAATGGTGATGCAATGAACATTTCTACTCGTCTTTATTTGTTTGTAGTACAATATGTAGTTTTATGTGAATTACCTATACGATAAAAGAGTTTTATGTTTTTTGTTTCATTTGAATTATCTCTTATTGTTATTTTTATGATATAAGAGTTTTTCGCTATTTTTACGTTTGCAAGAATGAATGAAAACACAGAAATATTTCACCCTATTCTCACCCAGCCATTATTGATAACACTAGCAACTAGCCGACAAAGCCGCTCCTGGCCTAACTTGAAATGCATACCCACATTTTCCGTCAAATGTTCTTTGAACGCTTTTTAAAATTTGTGGCAGCGATTATAGATGTATCGTAACATAGTTTTCATTTTTGTGACTCCTGAAAATGCTCTTTCAAATAGATTATACTTTGGCCAGAAGTTGTACACTAAATAAATCTGAGAAAACTAGAGGTATCTGTTTAAGAAAGAAATTGATATTATAGTTTTATAGTATATGAAATTCCTTAATTATTGGACACTCGTATTTGAAATACTTGACATATCATAGATGAATTACTTGAGTCGTATCCAAACAAAGTGTAACCACATAATAGGAATTAGGCAGAACTCCTGCCTATCAGGTGAAGCCTGAAAAAACTTGCGCATGCGTTAACTTATACGAGGCTCAGCATGTATCCGTCGGGGAAATTTTAAAAAAGAATGAAAGTAGACAACTTTATTTGAAACGAAATGCCCCATGATAGTGAACAAATTCAATTATGTATCATGATTCGTTTATATCTGAATAATGAATGATAATTTGTTATGGTTAAATTCGTTTAATGAAATCGAGGTTAAAGGGGAATTAAGGAATTCTATTGTTGACTCAGGCTTCAAAAACATTAAAGGAACCGACAAGAGTTACCCTTCTGCCTATTTCCTATTCTGTGGTGTAACCCGAACGTCAAATAGAGTCCCCTGTCTTGATTAGGGACAATAGCCCTGATGCGATTGCCCCTACAACACTCCCACCCAATTAAAACATTGCATAATTTTGCTTTCAATACATCTACATTTCACAAACTAAGTGAATTTTGTCTATCACTTTCTTATCAAGTACGAATTTCGTATCAAGGGTGTTAGATGGAGGGAAATTGTAGGGGCAGTTTAGGGCATCTTTCACTTTTTTAACTGGTTTTTTTGGAACCCAAACCCCGGGACATTGAAATGGTTGTCATATTTTTCCACTGGCGTACAACAAGATGGTGATATGATTGTCTGAATGAAAAAATATTAATTAGCGATTAACATTTAAAGCAATTTTAACAGCAGAGATAAACAAGATTCCTGTTGCAACCAGCTTTTCAAATAAATTGTTTGTAAATAATGTTTGCAAATGGCGATACTCTTGTTTGTTGCTTTGAGGACTTCTCTTAACAGGTCAACAATCTCTTAACATCAATTGAATGAATTGAATTACGAGAAATTCCATTTTAAACACGAAGAATGCTTTTCTAGCCATAGTTCAGCAGAGGTTCCTCGTTTGACAGCATTTCTCACTGTTGTCGCAGTTCTGTCAATTCCCAGCAAGTCATTCTGCTGTTATGCATAGAAAGTCAACTCTGTAATCCCTAGCAAAGGTTTTGGTGAGAATTCTGACGGAATCCATCATGAATAACAGATGTCTTGAACATCATGTTTTTGTTTTTGGTATACCTGCCAATCGAAAGAAGGTACAGTCGCAGTCAGCTGTCAAAGAAGGGAACTTTCTTTTTTGCTGAAGTTAGCTTATAGCCTCATAGCCAGGGTAAAAAAACGTATAGGGGTGTAGGAGCAACTATTCCCACTCGTTCGGTACGAGTAATAACAACATTTATTTCAAATGTAGGGTTTTTTGGCCTTGTTTGTGGAAGAGCAAAATTCCAATTTCTCTTGCCGCTCAAACATCAATTTCTGGAAATTCATTCCGCTTTCTCAACCCCCCCCCCCCCCCCCAACCCGAAAGCTCAATATACACTGACCATAACAGGCATCATAAAACGACGTCCAAAATTTCTTAGAAATATGTTGTTTTCTTTACTTTATTAAGTGTTGCATATATGTTTTATTTGGGGGAAGGCGATGTCCTTTTTGATTGCAAAACCTGAAGAACCTTGGCGTCGTTAAATGGAAAATCATTTCCCAGGATAATATTGGAGGTGCACCGCCCTACGCGCGCCCCAATATGCCGTTTCCCTGTTTTAAATGCTATGTCCAGTTTCTCGTGAAGAAGAAGCTGTATGAAGCGCCTGTAAAGTGCTGATTCATTGTCGCGTAGCAACAAAGATGGCGTGTTGAAAGAAATTTTGAATGTACCTTGGCGAAGCGGAAGAATCTTTCCAGACTTTTAGCCTAATTTTCAAATTTGCATTCTAGAGTGTGCTAAGAAAACTATAGAGAACAAGCATTTCTCCACATCAGAAAACGAAATTTTGGATGCATTGTAAGTTTACTGAGTGACCTGGCCCTAGATAAAGTTGACATGCACCTGTAGATTACTTAAATCAATGGTAGGTACTCGTTTATCTGTTTCAAATCAGTTGTTAGGCGATCTGATAATAGATCTGGTATACAGAAGGCTTGACAGTGGCCTGCGAACATATGTTTTTGTAAAAGATTCGAGCATTGTTCTTGCCTTATTCACCATTTCAATAGAAATAATAAAAACAAGAAACAATTGAAACTTTAATATTTTACTTTTCTTGATTAAATTTTCAGTGGCACCACTGTTTGAAAATATTTCTTTTATCGCTGTTTTTATTCTTATTTATATGCTAGTGCAAAGCTTAATCTAAAGGCTTGATATTAAATCTGAAATCTAAAGCCGTTTTTTTATAACTCGCGGGAATTGTTTGGATTTGAAGATGAAGTTGTTCGAAGTATTTGATATTAGGCTATGTTACAAATGTTTTTGTAGAATGGACAATGTTTTTGAATTTTGAATGTTTCTTTTTGCCTTAGCTCAGTCCATTGATTTCTAAAGAATTTTGTATGGGCTTCCTTACGTTCTATTTCTATCGTTTAGACAGGAACAGATGGTAAATATTTGTGTTTTGAAAAAAAAGTTTGCTTCCAAATTGCAGGCATGTGGATTGAGAAGCGAAGAATTGCTAATGTGTTTTGACCTCCTGTTATGTACCAAGGTAAGATTTTCAAGTAGAAACAGCGGATGATGCCGTAGCTTGAAATCTGTTTTTGTTGGAGATTAAAAAATCACATTGAAAAGTATGAAAAAGGATAAAGCCCAGAGTCACATTTCCACTCGAAAGGGCAGGCACATAATGTGATTTGCCACGACTCCTGTGAACTTCGTAAATCATTATGGCTGCTTTAATCTGGCAACAATCACGTAAGAAATACTTAAAAATGATTTTGAATTACTGAAGTTTATATCGAAGTTTCTAAAAAAGTCGGCCTAATATAAGTTCGGAAATGTTTGTGGTTGGAGCTTTTAAAATTATGCCCTGACGTTTACGTCATTGCTTCACTGTAAAATTGTGCAAATGAAACCTGCTCAAAATGAAATTATAAACACATTATTTGTAATCTAATATACATTATTAATGCACAATAAACTTTAACATTGTTTATCGAAGATGACCACTTTTTATGCGGATTCCGATGTAAATGTTTTACTGATAGCAAATTAAATACGGTAAGTCAAATGTTTGCTTATTGTACATGAAAGACAGCGATTTCAAGCTAGTTGCCGGCCTCATACTTTGAATTTTGCAATTTAACGTGACAGAAACCTTTCCTCTAATCCTATTGCTAAATTATTAAATTTGAATTTATTCCTGAGCCATTTTTTCTTTGGCAGAAACAAGCGTCCAAGTAAACCTCAAAATCTAACCTACCTCCAGTTTAGTTTAATTATGCATAGGGTATAAATCCATTCAGAAAGTTCACAATGCGATGAGTTCAAAGAGGTAATTTTATCTGTGTCCGAAAACTCTTAATAGACTCGAAACATCTAAACATAATTTGGTGGAAGCCTTTCATTCCGCGTGGTGTTGGAATCACTTTGGTACGAAAGTTTGTTGTCCTTACTTCGCTGTTTCAATGTTTACATTTTACCGCGTGGATTACTTTACCAAACCAAATAAGATACGAGAGCGCTCAGAGGAGCATCAAGTTGAGATAAACTGATTGCTTTTCTTTGGTACTTACATGACTGGTGAGTTCTTGTTATGATGATAGAACATACTTTATTTCGCTAAACGTTAGTTATATGCTCCGGAATTTAAAGTTTTGCGGATGACTCTCACGTTGATAATGCGGTTGAAATAGCATTGCATAACACTCAGTGTTTCTGGAAGCCCGTGGCTGGCCTCCAATCATGTTTATTGACCAATATTCATAACAAAGTTCATTAATACTAAAGCTCTAAGTTTTGCTATAAAGTCAGCAAGGACAATTTTAGCGAGCAGATGTTGCGTTCATCATACTCTCTGGAATAAAAAAAATACTAAGTTTAGGTTTTCGAATTGCATATTGCAGAGAACAGCATGGTTCCCAGTCGAACAATTTTTCAGTTTGGTCCTAATAAAAATGTGGTAACATCGCTCAAAATTATCCAAAGTTTATATGTTACAAATGTAAACAAGCTAAATCATATCTGCTGTGCCTAAAGCAGGAAGGTTTTTTGAAGTTTAGGATTACACCGGCCTACTGGCGGTGCCATGTTTCATTGTTATTATTCTAGCATTTTAGCGAGTATCATGTTTTTAGGCTACAAAACAAACTCGCACAAGACTAGGACTTAGCCAGAACAAAATCCACACATGCTTTATAGTTCAAAGCATTTTTTCGTTAATCTTTGTAGCATAACATTTGCATTTTTCAGTCTGAGTTTTCATGACCTATTACCACATGATGTTGGAACGAGGGAGCAAACCAATTTGACTGGCCTCCCTTTCTTGAACCCTGCTACACAAATATACGTAGCTTTAACTCAAACAAATCACAAAGTAGAATTTATGAAATCTCAGTAATGGAGTTAAGTTTACAAATAGAATATATCAGACTCGAAGTTCGTGTACTATTTAATGGAAATTTTCTTTGGGAGGCCTGGATGTAATGGCGTAGGTTGTATGAATCGTTAAAGAAGGAATTCCTACGGAAATAAATTGTTAGGATTCATAGGTTTACATTCTCAACCCCCTGAAATGAAAAAGGAGTTTCCAGAAGGGAAACTATGTCCTTCAAGGCACTGCTCTGTGCTTTGATATCAATATCTAAATATTGGCGACCCTGAAATTAAAAAATCTAAGACTACCACCATCTAGGACCCCAAAAGTAAGTTGTACCGAGTTACAAGGATGGCTCAGTGGTTACACCGTTAACACTGTCAAGCCAAATGGATCTACTTCAACTGGATTGTTTGTATGAAAAGAATAAGGGGGGGGGGGCTTCTAAAAGAGCAATTGATATTTGTATTTGATATGGTACTCGTTGCTGTGGGAAACGTCAACTGACCTGAGAAGCTGCTCAGTGCAGTACTACTAATAACCAAATGTCGCTGGTAACGGATATTTGGAGAACATATGTGCAGTATTTGCAGAATAGCTTCCTTACAGGTTGAACTGGGCTGAAATCTCTCAACCAAACTGCACACCTGTTTAATTTACATCATTTACTGAGTGCTCAAAACGGGAACCGTGACTTTAACTGCGTATCTGAACACATCGCAGCATTAATAATTAAAATTTTTGTTACAGTAAAACTTAAGCAAAGCGTTCCCTGGGTCTGTAGACGGGATTGATTTTCCAGGGCTCAAGGATTTGTTTGACAGACTGTTCGTATTTTAACAGGACACCATAAACGCCTTGATGTAGCAATGGAAGACGTTTGTATCTCAGCAATATAGATTTATCATTAAGGTCTGATATCTCTAATGCAGTGCAGTTTGTAACGACAGAAGCTAAACATTGTGTCGTATTGTTCAACTCCTGAACTTATTACATCAGATTTTTATTTAAATTCACTTCATTATCTTTAGGTTTGAGTCTTGCTATACACAACATGGAGTTTTGCGGAGAGCTCTCCTTTTTAAGTCGTTGCAGAGGACTTTTATAATCAATTGTAAAAATGCGAAGAAGTTACGTGGCATTTCACTATCACCTCTGAATCACACTGATAAACTCTATTATAAATGGGTCTGGGTTGCAGCTCTGCGAAGTCTGTACAAGCGCCAACGAAACACGAGCAAAGAAGCGGGAATTCCGTTGTAGCCAACAGTAGTATCATCAAAACAGAGACAACACCACAATGCAATGCAGCTATAGAGGTGGCGCAACAACAACCGCTTGAAGATTTAGCTAGGAGGAGTTCTTACGAAGCTTGCGACAGGAGTAACAGCAACAGCAATCATACGAGGAGCTGCAACAACAGCCCTGAGAGAGATTCTTTAACCATCATCCACTTCAACGATGTATACAACATAGAGCCACGTGACAGTGAACCAATGGGTGGGGCAGCAAGATTTGTTACCATGGTGAAGGAGCTTTCGGACAAGGATCCATTAATTTTATTCAGCGGAGACTGTCTAAATCCTTCTTTAAGTATGCATGTTATTGTTGGATTATTCTTGTACAGTTAAGCTCTTTAGCACGTCTTAGAAATCCAGTTCACTGATCGAACTATTTGGTCTAGACTTTGCTTTTCTAATCCTGTTTCAACAGATGATCTCAGTTGAGTTGTTAGAGTATTCTAACATATTGATTTTTTTCGGGCTCTGATGTCTATCAAAGTTTGATCTATCCAGGGAGAATGTAGCAAAACCAAAATTCATCAGTTTGCTTTAGCTTGCTCCATTTTTTATAGGAGATAAAACGGAGATTTCGCAATTTGACAATTTTCCATTTCACTGTTTCCACCATCTCTTCTAAATGTTTAGCATCTGCTACGCCCTTGAGTTTTACATACATTCTTTCTATAACCAAAACCAGTGGCGGAAATTCATTTTTCAAGTGGGGGAGGGGATGAGGGGGTCAATGGTATAGTTTGTCTTTCTTTCTCACATTGTCCATTTTTATGGCATTAGAAAAATTTGCTGTGCTCTTTTTGCAGTGAGTACCGTGACGAAGGGAAGACAAATGATTCCAATACTAAACAAGATTGGCGTGCATGCAGCTCTGTATGGAAACCATGACTTTGGTATGTACTGTATCAATATTTATCTACGTTCCAATCCAATTTTGACTTGTATTCAAGATTTAGGGCTCTGTCAAAACATTTGCATGAAAAGTGGCTCTTAAAATTCGTGATAATGAAATTCTCCTCTTGAAACTATTTTCGCTATTTTGCGAAAACAGAAAGCTTGAATCTGAAGACTATCCTTGCAGTGGTGATCTTTAACATATGCGGAGTAACTGTATCCTTAAAGTCAGAAATGAAGCATGCTACAAAGTACATATCATTGCTAGAGAAATCAACCTATTTTCCACCTTTTGTCCACTTGATATTCAATACAAAAACTTTATGTCACATTAAAGCCAAAATCTTCTCTAAATTGCAATAAAGACCGTTTCTCTTCCTGTTTCTTCTGATGATATCGATCTTGCTGTATGCATATGCAGATCGGAGTTAAAGTACAGGTACATGAAAGTATTTTTCGGAGTCTAGTAAAAAATAGTTCAAGAGAATAGATTTAGATCGAGGGTGTCTCAGCTTTATATTTAGAGAAAGATCAGAACCTCTTGCTGCGGCAGCTTACTATTTTTATTATTTTGAAGCATCGGCATAGCTTTGAAAAGTAAGGGCTGTAGCGTGACGAGAATTATTGGAGGGGACGATAATGGGGGACTACAGGAAGTCTACACATACAACCCCTTCTGGATGATCTTAGAATGCTGTATTCTACATTCATATCACAAACCCATTATCATCACGCAAAACCCGCAGAATACTTTGAAAATGTACACCATGTTCCAGGGGCAGATCCAGAGCAAACTTGAAGGAGGGGTTGTTGGTAGTGGGGACGCTGAAAAATTTTTGAAAATTGATGACGAGAGTATGCTGTATAAAACAATTTCAGCTCTATTTTCGGAATAAACAACATAACTTTGAGGAAATCCTTGAAGCAAATTAACCTGTCGGTCCCATAAACTTTTTCACCCGATTCTCATTCTTCAAAAGGGGCGCACAATTTCCAAAAAAGGGGCGCCAGACTTGCTTCAACTCGTCGAGGGAGGGGCAACTGCCCCTAGTTGCCCCCCTAAATCCGCCACTGCCATGATTTATGATACTAATTCACCATAGCCGCTGTGACCTTCAGAGTTCCAAAATAGCTGTACAGTTTCCATAGATGCATTCAATTCTCCAATTTATGTTGTGTGTACATTTCAAATTTATAGATTTTGGCGTTGATGAGCTGATACAGTTCAAAAAGCAAACAAAGTTTCCCTGGCTATTGAGCAACGTGGCGGACGATCTAACAGATGATTTTCTAGCTGAAGGGGTCGAGAAACTGCTACTGGATTGGCAAGGAAGGAAGGTACGTTTGAAAGATGTTATATCTTATTGTATAAATGAAGAAACAGAAGGCACCAGCCTTAGAATAAGGCATATTCTAATATCAAGCTTAAAGATATGCATATTGTTTTGATCATCAGTTTGAAATCCTCTAATAAACATTATACTTCTTGCCTACAAGTCTAAAGCTGTTGGTTGCGCACAATATCTTTTAGGGATTAGGTGAAATTTATCAAACCTTCGAATTGGGTACGGTTTTTACCTTTCCTGGTTTTGAAAAACCAATATAATCCATAACCAATCAATCAGGTGAACTTTTATTTCAAATAATATAACTCCTTTGATAAAAAGGGAAGAATATCAGAAGATGGCTCATTGAATTATTGATTGATATGAATTAAGCAACTTCAACAAATTCATAGGAACTTTACCAAACTTTTATTATTCTTTATGAATATATGTTTTAAGATTTAATGAAGATTACTGTTTACCAGTCTATTACATAGTCCTTGATGCCGCATAGATCGAGCTGTACACACTTCGATGTAGAGCAGGTCCATCCTACCAAATGCAATTACCTAAAATGCGTTTAATATGAATTTTAATTGCATTTAATTCTCTCTATTTCTTTTTCATTTATATTCGTAAAGCATTGCTAAACTTTCCAAGTACAGATATGATTTGTAAGTACCACATTTTTAAGGGTCATATTCTGAGTTGAGACACCTTAATTACTTGGCCCCTTCTTGTTTACAGGCCCAGGGGGCAGTTGTCCACCTCTTGCACACACTCTCGGTTGGCCTTGTTTTTATTCTTAATGTGATCATGAAACAACATGATGGGGGAATAAGCTCTATCAGAAATTCACAGAAGTTGATAGCATTTTAGTTTTTGCAACCTTCCGGCTTCTAGGGGAAAGTTACAAAAAATTAAAATACATGAATTGATAGAAATATTCACCAACAAATGTATTGCATACAAACTATGACAAATGGTTCAACCGAATCTTCAATTTCATGACATTCCTATCTTGAATTTTAATTATCTGGCGTAAGAACATTGGAAGGCAAAAACAATTTGATGACAAATCACTACTTAATACCACAACTCTTGACTAAATTAAAGGTCTAAGACAATTCCTCGAGGCAATAAAATCTGTAGCGTTCTGAAGTCGGACACTATAAACTTCTAATTTTGAAATCTTGACCACCCAACCTGAAAGAATAAAGTGAACTACCGTCGACTCCACTTATAGTCACTTCCTTTAAAGTCATACCCAAATACACAATACACTTCGATAAATTTGGTACTAATTCTAGAAATAGAGCTTTATGACGTCATCATTTAAAAACACTTTTATTGGCTAGATGTTTGAATAATGGATAAGTGTTGGGGCACGGTGAGCAGAATGAAGAATCACAATTCTCTATAAGCTATTGTGGGTATCGTTTGATGTCAGTGGTGATTTCTATCCAAAGGTTGGCATTATTGGGCTGATCGAAGAAGAATGGCTAGTGACGTTGGCAAGTGTGGATCCTCGTGACGTCACATATGAAGATTTTGTTGAATGCGGTAGAAGATTAGCAGATACATTACGAAAAGAGGTAATAAAGAATTTACCTTGCTGGTAGAGACAGGCTAGCTGTGATCAGCGTTGCAAGTAAGAATAATCTATGACCCAAGTTCAAACAATATAAAATATGACTTCAGAACCATGACTTCACATCATTTGGTGAGAAAGTTACTTTTTGTGAGATTTTTGAAACTACTTGTATTGCTGAGAAAGTCTTTTCCCCCTAAGAAAATTATTGACAATGAATCTTTTATTCCATTTGTTTGTCTGGCCACTCGCAAGATAAATTCGAAAAACAACCGTTGAATGGAAACTTTTAATTAGCTAGATTTTAGAAATGTGAACAAATTCTCTAATTGTAACTTAGCAATAATATGGAGGAGAAAGAAGAAGCTTCTTCGAAACTATGCAATTGCTACTTCACTTTGTAGTAAATTAGTTGAGATACCTAAAATGTGATTTTGGCAATATCATTGCAGGGAGCAGATCTCATAATCGCACTGACTCACATGAGAGTCCCAAACGATGTGAGGCTACTGGAAAGTGATGCAGATATAGATTTGATACTAGGAGGCCATGATCACCATTACGAGGTCAAAAAGGTATGGCAGCAGAGTAAAGCGCTTACTCTAATTTATATTCGCTAAAATAGACACAAGGGACTCAAAAAAGACGCATCATTAAACAGCCCTCATAGCGTGCACATGCTTACCTCTTTTTAACTCCAAGCCCTAGCAAATTCTTAATAAAGAAAACGATTCATGTGCCGACCTAAGAAAGAAATGCGTTCACGCAATGCTAGTATAATTGATTGATCATGTAACTGCTACTGCCGAGCTGACAAAGTCCTTCGACAGAGCTTGTCTTTGGTTTCAGTTTTAGCCTTGATTTGCTGAACAGATTTCCATAAGTATTCATATCCACTTTCAGCTATTAAAGCAACGCTCTTTTACTGAACATTGTTTGTTTTCTTAATTAAAATATCTGCAGCCCGATAAATTTCTGCAGCGATAGCATTATGGCGCTCAGAAATAACTAATGGAAATAGGTCAGTAGATATTTTCCTTCATTTATTGCTGTCAAGAGCGAGTTCGAACGAATAGGCAATGAGAATACATCTCGTGTCAGGACGAATTGAGCTTTGTCGTGCACAGTGAGCCACGAGCTGCAATTTTTTCTTTCGTTTTTCTTTAGGTGCTTCCGATATGATAAATTTCATTCGACGACATATCAGTTTATCAATCTGTTTCTCTCAGTAAACTGTTGCCTGTATTCTATTCAAGGTACTTTAAAAACCTGTTAGGTTGAAAGCATTTCCCTCCTGAAATGTACTTTAGCGTGTAGTTTCCTTTAGCATGATGTCTTCTTCAAGCAATGTCTTGAATTTTTGCTTCTTCAAAAGGCAAATGAAAAGATTTTGGTAAAAAGTGGCTCCGATTTTAAAGAATTTTCAAGGATTTCCGTTCACTTTGACGAGAACTCCAACAGACATGAGTTTGACGTCGTTAAGGTCACACTTGACAGTTCTGTAAAAGAAGACGAAGAAATTAATGGAATTACAGATGAATTTTTAGGTAAGTAAGCTCTTGATTAACAAACTCACTGCTAGCCCTGTTAAAATTTATATTTATAGTATAGGTATCAATAACAAGCTCTTTGATTATAAAACTGGTTCTTAAGAATAAGCAGAAATATCGAACCTTAGGTGAATATAAAATACTGTTTCCATGCCAGCAAGTCACTACAGTCAGAGAAAAAGAGTCCAAGAGCTATTTTATTGCATTTTTTATATTTCTATCTCCTTGTTTAATAGTAATGGAAATTCGTTTATAAATCAAATGTGCGCATATCATTATAGCTTTGATCGAAGGCAAAATGGAATCTGTGCTTGGAAACGTACCTGTAGATCTAGATGGACGATTTTCTATCGTCAGAACACAAGAATCAAACCTTGGTGAGTATAGGAAGTGCCGGAGTTAAGTCCTCGTGCTTCACCAAGAACTTTCTAAAGCAATTAATTTGAGTTGTAAAGAATGGCTGCGCCCAGGGGGGGGGCTGGGGTACGATAAATTTTGTATTTGATCGATAAGAATATGTGAGGGAGAGGTAATCTTTTGGCAATGTGTTATTTTTGACGTGATTTTGTGCTAGCCATGGTTGTGTTGTTCCATTTTGGTAACAGTTGGCGGTACCTGCTTGTAAAGGGGCGTTTTTCTGCGGTAAAAAGAGCATGGCCTGAATCTTTCTTTTTCTCCCCCAAAGCCTAATAGTTGGCACCACCACTGATTGTTAGAGTAAATTTCTAGTTTCGATAACGATGACGTCTCATCCCATGCCAGTCCAAGTCAATGTGCTATAACGAATACGAAGTTCGAAAGTATATATAAATCTATGTACATTCTTTTGGAAATTCGGACACACAGGTCTTCTCAATATCCATAAATCATTGGTACTGATGTTATTGGTACATCAACCCATATTTTCTATATCTCACTTAGTTTAGTTTTTTAGTATATTCTCCTCTCTCTATCATTGACCAAATTTTCTCCTCTCTTCTTTCTTCCATCTCTTTTTAAGCCCATCTCCTCTTTACCTATACACTCAAATTGACAACATTATATATAATCTCTTCTAGGGAACTTCATTGCTGATATCATGCGAATGGCAATGCAGACGGATGTGGCAATTTTAAACGGGGGAAGTCTAAGGTCAGATCGAATTCACCAAGCTGGCTGCTTTACGCTCAAGGTGAACTTGCCTAATTTCGTTGGTTTGGGGGGAGACAGTGGTTTGGAGGAAGGGGGAGGGCTTGCCGCGGGTGTTAATGTGGCTACTTTCATAGAAGTTGTTTAGTGGCTGATTTATATTTTAAATCGTTGCTTCAAGTCAAATAGTTTTTCCTCACAGTCTTACCACTGCATTTATTGTTTATGAAACCACAACCATGCTTCATATCTAAGAGTATTCTAAGAAGTTTGAATATTCAATTGACACTATCTACGCATTTTGTTATAAGTTTTCGTTGCAAAAAGCAAATTATTCTTAACCTCTTTTTGCCAGGACCTCGTCTCCATTCTGCCAATGATGGACATCTTGGTTGTAATAGCAGTTACAGGTATTATTACGTCATCATGTAACAGCAATTCATTTTGATAAGTATTATTGTTTGGTTTATGTTTTGTGGTAGCAAGGTTGAGTGTTTATAAAGCAGAATTCGACTTGCATAGAAATTGGAAAGAAGAGTTATCAACATGCGCAAAATTCATAGAATTTCCTGCCTTTTAAAGCAAGTATTTATAAATTCCTTGAAATAATTTTTCCCCTTTTAATGAATTTGTCTCATGGGCTGACTGGCTAAACGATTTGGGAGAACCGCTTAAGAAACAGACCAACTTTTAGAATTTCTTACTAGGAATGGATTCCTTATCTTAAAAGATCTGCTAAAGATAAACATGTACGTCTATGCAATTTTAAATGATGCTGATAAGCAGAAGAGGTGGTATGGAAAAACGTGTGACCAAGGAAGCAAGAAGAAATCGTAATTTAGAAGATCGTAGGGAAAAGGATGAAAGAAGGAATCGATATGACAGGTATTCCTTGAAAAGAAAACAATAAGAACAAGGAAAACTGATACGACAATACTTTACTGGGAAAGGTTCTGGAAGAAAAGAGAGAGTATATATTAAACATATCATAAGAGTGATTTATATCTTTGAAACGGAACGGTGAAAGTAGAATTAAGTAGCGAAAACAGAAGGATTAGTAAGCCAAATCTTTGGAGTCGAGATTAAAAAGCAGCTGAGAATAAAGACAGCAGGAGAAACCACAATTAGATCTGAGATGGATTTTGAGAGCTATTAAGAAGCTGAGCCGAAAGAGCGTCTTATGAAGGTTATAGAGCGAGTGGGAGATGCAGTTTTAACATACGAAGGAAATTCAAGGTATCACAACGTACGGAATAGAGTCAGCTCTTTGCGTATTGCTGTAACAAATGAAACCTTAGGAAGATTACATGCAAAAGACTGATGTATACCGAACTGATGATGCACTATAGCAAGAGGTAAGGAAGAGCCACTGAGGAATGGGATTTTAGAAGAACATGTTGAAAGGAATGCAAATGTAAAGTCACAAGAACAACTTATTATGAGACAACTAGTTGAGAGAATGATGAGTTCAAAGTAACATGAGAGTACGTAGATGAAAGTAGGTATTGAAGAGGGTTAGCGAATAGAACAGATCTTAATGCTTGACAATGTATAGGGAGATACAAAGAACCGCAATTTGAAAGCAAAGTAGAGGAAGTGCACATGCATGGCTCTTAAACGTGTACTCCTCATTAAGGAGAGGTGGAAATGAGTTGTACGAATTGTACGAAATTGCCAAAAGTATTTAGTAAACCCAAAACAATTGATTTTCTCAGCAACTAGAATTTTATCTCAACTGACAGAGGAGTGCCGCGGTTTTTAAAGGCAGAATAGCGATAGAGGGACATAGTGAAACAATCTGGAGAAACAAGCTACACGATGTTAGGGACTGCATGATTTTGTGCCAAAAGAGTGACAAAAGATAAAGGTTTTGCAGAAGAAGGGGAAAGAGAATGCGGTATTCTGAAAAATCTGCTCTTTTTTGTACGAAGACCCTTTTGCGAGAGGTTTTGCAGAAGAAGAAAGTAAGCAGGCAGCACCTGAGAGTTAACATGTTCCTTGCTGATTATGAGGATATTATACGATATCATGCCAAATGTTAACGTGACAAATGTTACCACACTTTCGATGTAACAAATCTTGACATTTTTACACATCAGTTTATGCAAAGTGGAAGGCTTTTTATTAAAACACAGACAGTGTCTGTGGAGAGCCATTAACAAATATGAGTAATATAGGTCGCATCAGAATGTTTTAGTACATGTTATCAATTTGATGCTGCTTTCTGATCTATGTCATAGTTATTGCCTATACTTTTATAAAATGTGTACATTATCGCCAGAATCTAATTGATACTGGGAGAGTTACAACTGCCTGTCATTCAGTACTCTAGTATTAAGGGAAAACAACATGATTTCGATATTGTTTAGGAGCTGCTATCTCCAAGCTTTCCCGTTAAAATTTATATTAAGGATTTTTTAAGTTTGATCACGTTATCTAAAAGAACACCATGAAATATTTTCAAATATACAAAATCAGTTAAATATGTCAACAGTCGGGCTAGATATGACCTAGTTTGAAGTTTGTTAACACATTACTTTAATTTTTTATTTTGCTGGTTTTCAAATTTAAAGATATTTCATGATGCACTTTCAGGTTATGGGATCCAAATTCAAAATTCTAAAAAAAAGGTTATTGTAAAAATAAAAGTGAAAAATTTATTTTGGTCACTGATAGCATTGTCACAGCTTGATCATTCATTCAATGCAGGCGAGAACTTGATCGAGGCATTAGAGAACGGAGTCAGTCAGTATCCAAGACACGAGGGAAGATTTCCACAGGTGAGGATAAACTATTTCACAACTTTTTTCTTAGATCCCATCCTCAATGTCCTCCTAGCATGCGATGGGTAATGTCAAAATTTTGAGTCATTGGACGGATTTAAATATATGTTAGAGGCTATATCAATTTTGTTGAGAGCTTGTGTTCCAAAGATGGCCAAATCTGTATATAACATAATCTAAATATAATCTGATATAATCTGATATAATCTAATATAATCTAATATAATCTAATATAATCCAATATAATCTAATCTAATATAATCTAATCTAATCTAATCTAATCTAATCTATTCTAATGTTTATAGTGCAGTCCACAGAAATAATGGGTAAGAAAAATGATCCTTTTGACACCAACTAGATGAAATGTAAAAAATGATGTTTTTGAAATACGGAAAGGCAACCTTGCTTATATTATATTTCCAACAAGAGCACGTCCAAGCTGAAACAACGTGTAATGTTAAGGTTCTGTGATTAAAGGTTTAGCATTATTATAGTGAAAATTGCAATTTGTTTATTATCATTTGGAAATTTACATCCTTCATCCTCCCAAAAATATCTGTGGATTTACCTACCTGCTTATCGTTACATTATTATTATTGTAAATATATTTTTTCAACCTTTCGATTGTTATGAAAACAACGGCGTAGAAAATAAGATCCTCATTATTGGCATCAAATTTTCCGTTGCTTTTCTCATAATACTAAAGTTTAGTTGATTTTCTCTACAATGAAGTGTAGAAACTTCACGGTTAATCTCGTTGCAAAGTAGCTTTCCTTTTCACAAATAACCGGGATTTCAGCTGCAAAATTTTCTCCAGACATGCGCTTCAGTAATTTAAGATTAGATGGAATAATTTCCACCGTAACTTCCCAATGGCTGATACCAGCAGATGTCTTGTTTCTATTGCTCTCGCTTGTTGCAATAATTTAAACCATAGAACTGAGAAGCAGTCAGTCTATTTTCATCGCCTTCCTCTGTTGGTCAACGCATCTCAAAATTGACAGGCGATGGCCTGACAAAATACAAGTACTGGAGATTCAGCACTGACTCATCTGTGCCCGATCAAAAAGATTTAACCTGTTACACTGCCGTTGCTTGGCGAGTGTATTTATCTAAGTTGCAGACGACTGCATTGGCAATCCTCTATGGCTTGACTATACTGCTGTCCTTTCATTAAACCTCATAATTTTGATTGTCCTTTTGAAGTCAAACATGTGGAGTAGAAAGTCGAAATTCCTGATATTCTTGTTAAGTCTTTCAGATTCATTTATTGGATCAGTAACCATTTCATGTTCTGTTATACTGTGCAGTTTGCTGTCTCGTGAGCGGTTGTGTTGGTTTGAGAGAGTGTTCATGTACCTAGGACTGATAAACGGACATTTTTCCTTCTATGTTACCATGATCATAGCCGTGCAGAGATTTACGAAGGTTCGATCGTCAGTTACCGAGAGATTCCGCCTAACAGACTTAGCATTTAGAAGGTTGGGACAGAAGTACACCACTTTGGCAATTTTTACATGGTCATGTGTACATGGCCTCGTGGCTGCACATTATTTACTGATGATAACCCTTCGTTTCGTGTGGTTGTTGACCGTTTTCGCGATATACTCACATGTCTACTGCTTAGTATATCGTGATGTAAGAGACATTGCTACAAGTTCTTCTAAAAAAGCTAATAAACGCCCTTTCCCAGCTCTCTACTCAAGATTCAATAAAATGGTGTATATAATTCTTTTGGCTTTCATCATTTCACATGTTCCTTTAGCAATTGCCAGTGTATGGACAGGGTATTACACCCTTATTCTAAGAACGAAGGCACCCATCAGCTCCAGGTTTTTCTATTATCTCTCCATCGTTTTCACCTTTCTTAACAGTGCTGTCAATGCAGTTATATTTCTTTACAGTGACAAGGCTGCGTTTCAATCTTGCAAAAAGTTGTTCAGTTTTAAAAGCAATTAGTTCCTTCATTTGTTTATTTATGTCAAAGGAAATGATTCTGAACATTGGTATGGTATTAAATAGATAATTAATAGACATGGTATTGGTTTGGTTTAAACTAGACAATTAGAGGAAGTGTAGGGTGCAAATATGATTTCGAAATAGCTTCATCTTCCAATGCTTAGCATACGTCATTGAAAAGCTTCATTTCCAAAAGCGTTGTTGAAAATATCACAATACAGCTCACGATAGAAAGTAACATCTGCTGCTGAGTTTCAATTTTAAGATATTTAAATTACCTTATAGGCCTTAATTGCGCTGGCCCTTATTGGCGTTAATTTTAGCAGGTGGCGTTAATTTTGGCAGGTGGCGTTAATTAGGGCCGGTGTTAATGTAGCCGTTTTTCGAAAAAAATTAGGAAAACCGGCGTTAATTTTTAACAAGCCTCATAAATGCGGCAAAAATTGAGGTATAAACGTGTTCAGGGATGTTTTGTGTTAATCACGGGGCTTAAAAGCAGGACTCACGGGGCTACGGAGCCAGTTATAATAATTATAGATGACGATGAAGATGAGGCGGAAAGTGAAGACGAGATTAGAGACAGGGTGCGAAGGGAGATTGATGAAGCACTAAATGCTCAAATTGAAGCTGTAATAGACTTGGATATTTAAGAGTTACTTTGTTGATAATGATGATTGCATTTGTTTGTGTGTTGCACACCCTTTATAATTCGTGGTCTTCTGTTGGGGATGGAAATTTCTATTTAAAAAATAATCTTAAATTGTTATGACTATGGTAGAAAACACGGGAGGAAATAATTTTGACTTTAGTTTTCATTGGTATAGTTAAAATAGGAGGAATTTAAATTTTGGCCATTTTTAAATTAACGGGTCCCATTTTACGCTGGCGTAAGACCACTTTTGGCGACCGGCGTTATTAGGGCCGGCGTTAGTGGGGCCGACGGGAAAAATGGGCCGGTGGAATTTAGGTCGATAAGGTGTATAGAGTATTTGGTATCATATTGAATGAAAAGTAAACATAGAAGTTTTTGACCTCTCTTATCCGTAAATGTTTCCCAACCAAACATTGTATCAAATTTTTACCTTCTGTTACTTTTCCTCAAGGCTTACACCAGTTCTGCTACTTCTTTTCGACATTTCCGCAAACCAACAAAACTATCTCATTCTAAAAATGTCATTTGCGCACCAGTTAAATGGCGCATGCGCATAACCTGTGTATCATATCCGGATCTGATCCCTTGCAAATGTTGATGGTTTTGGCTAGGATCCCATGTAAACGCCTTGGATACTCTTTGATCCGATCTGGGATCTGGTCCATGTCTCGTGTACACAAGGTTTTAATATATAAGAAAACCCAATATTTCATGTTGAATCTATTAAATCAGATTCGGGCACCTTACGGCCCGCGGGCTTTATCCGGCCTCTTCGATGTTTCTGTCCGGCCTGCGTGTCATAACATGAACTTCTGTAGGTGTAATTTCCTACTTGATCAACACCAAAGTCTCAGATATTTATAAAAACATTTACGTAATACCATTATCATTCTGATAACTAGTAGCAGTTAAAATATAATATAATTTATTGATTTTTACATTGGGAGAAAATAAAGTAATTATTGGTTCGGCCCTCCAATTTATTTCAGGTTTATCATGTGGCTCTTTATTAAAATTTATTGTCCATCTCCGTTTCAAATGCCATGAATGAAAAAACGCCATAGTATCTGATGAGTGTCGTCAAAAATTTGCCTTATTTCATTTCGCAACATTTTTTTTCTTTCTTTATTTAAAGTTGGTACAATTTCTAGCAATGCATACAAGCTAATTGAAACCAACTAATTTAAATTACCAACGCTAAATATAATATAAATCAAATGTAACCGATGTTGCTAACATATTCCTTGCAAAGATTACAAGTACAATTAAACGATGTAAATTCTGAGATTTTTTTCTTGAATATTGATAAAGTAGGGGAGTACTTTATCTCATTTGGAATTGAGTTCCATATGAGAACATGATAACAAGAAGCCTAGAAAACTTAAAAGAATTATCCCTCTTTGGAAAGCGGAAGGCTTTTGTTAAATTTTTGGTTTTTATTTTCTTTAATTTGTCACTGTCTCAGTTAATTGTTTACAAATTCATATCTTTGTCACAAAAATTACAAATTCATGTCTTTGTCAAGAATTTCACAACAAAATTGAATAATATTCAAATAAGCTACATGTAAGCTAGACAAACAGTTAATATAGTATCAAGTTTCCAACATTACCTCACTTTTTCTCTTAGTTTTTCACATAGTTGGTAACCTTTAATTTACAACAAAATTTTTAGGTATCTGGCGTACAGTTCAGCTTCAATCCTGATCTTCCTGCAGGGCAACGAATTTTAAGGAATTCAGTGAAAGTAAATGGGCAGAGTTTAGATTGGAAACTGGTGAGTACAGATTTTTTTTGGATTTTAGTTGGACTTAAATAATATGTGATGGATAAGAAGTAGTATAATCGCTTTCTGTCATATTTTTTATAACAACAATCGCTCTAGTGTCCTATATGAAATGCTGAATTCAATTTGGATACATGAAGTGTCGCTATTCAGAACTCTTAGTTGGTCAATAATTACAACGTTTGGCAAAACCTACATGCTTGGCTCTTAATGAGGTTTCGGGATTTACTTCTAAATCATTTTTAGATCTATAGTCACTTCAATGTCAAGATAAAATGTTCTGTAGATCAGGATATGAAATTTTTCAGTAGAACAGGAAGTGGAATTTAATTAGTAGGTCACTGAACTAGTCAGTAAAGGATGTCGAGCATAGCTCAGTTTAAAAGATACCCTCTTCCATATTATTAGAGTTAATACAGTCTGAGAATTTGAAAATATAGATTTAAGCCTCCCGATTCTAAAAACCAAAAGATTCTAGATATCGTGAGAAATTTCAAAGAAAGGTAGACGAGAACGCCTGGAAGAGAAAAGGACAAGGGTGTCAAACTTTTGCTACATATTTTTTGTTTGCAATGAAAGCAATCTTAAAAAATGAGATTGAAATTGTTATTCTATAATACACAACGTTTCCATGTAATGTACTTAGTTTGTATTTGTTAACACAGTGAATCAAAAATACCATCTTTGAAAGGGCACAATTACTCATGAAAAGAATGAAACAGTTTCATGCATATGTCTTCGTCTGACGACCTTCCAGAAAACTAAAACAACTCTGGCCCTAAAGCAAGAAGTAACTGATTGCGGTACCAATTTATTATCAATGCACCTCCTGGCTGGTACATTAACAGCAAACAATTTTAGCTTCTTTTTTATACTTACAGGAATACAGAGTTTGTGTCAAGTCATATTTAGCTAAGGGAAAAGACGGATATGATATTTTTAAGTCGTGCAAACAATTGGTAGGTTGACTCATTCTGACCTCCTAGCTATAAATCTAAGAGCAAAGTGTTTAAGTGATAGTATGATGAAACCACATTGATCTTTTTATTTTGAGTGAAAATATAATCTACTTTATCATCATAGGATGCAATTAAATTTGCAAAGTCATTTACATTTGTTGCCAGCTTGTAAGGATGTCATAAGACTAGAAGTTTACTAACAATTGCTGTCGCTTTCGCTTGGTTCATAATTTTAATATTAATGACAGATTGCCAGTGAGTTGATTGGGAATGAGTTTATGCTCATGTGCAGGGATGCCTGCATCGGGGGAAAGGTAGCGGGGGCAGTGGCCCCCATTGCTCTCGCAAAATTTGACAATTTATTTCATTTTTCTACTGGCTTGCCTATCTTTTTGGCCTTTTGCTCCTTCACCCATTTTGAGTGCAGGCTTCACTGCTCATGTTGAGACATACTTAATGGACACATGGCCGGACATACATCAGCCAATTCTGAATATGTCAAACTGCATCGAAGAATGTTTGACTTTTCTTTAATATTTTTAGGTCAATATGATCAAAGTTGAAAGTTTCTCTAAACAGATTTTGTGAAGTTATTTTTGGGAACTTCTGGAAACATTTCACTCCCTTCTGATAGTCGAATCAAAGTTTGATCAGGCATCTAAATAGGAGGAATACATTTGATTTCTTTTTTTTGAATAATTGCTAGAGCACTCCCAACTGACAGTTGGTATTTTAATTTGAAGGTAAACGAGGAGAACGGCCAGATCTTACCAACCATCGTCCAAAATCATTTCGAGTCATTGAAGATCATCTCAGGCTTGAGAAAAAGCGTATCTGGGCATAGACAAAGCGTTACCTTGTAAGTCAGATAACTAACAATTGTGATTTATCTGAATTGCAGTCTGGCATCCTTATTTAATGGTGTCTATCAGGCCGTAAGGGCCCGCCTGAGGGTGTGACCACAGAAAAAGACATTTAGCTTCCTTCCAAGTGATAGCAAGTTATCTGCCGATAGTACTTTTAGATTTTATATTGTCGTTTGTGCACAATTTGTACTTTGCGTGATTCAGTTTTGCGGCCTAGTTGTGTTTTATGTGCTTCAAATTACCGTGTATTTTATCAATCAGAAAGTTTACCAGCATTTAATACTCCCTTTGATCACCCAAACCGTTTAGCGTCCGAGAAGTGCTGTCAATTGATTTAAAAGGCGTTGTAGAATAGCCAGGTCGAGCTACAGAGAAACAGCATTATTGACGGACGTAGGCAGTGTAATTGAAGGCTTAATTTAGGTGAATTTCGTGAAAAAAGACTTGTAAACTTGCAGTCGAGCATTTTTCCCGTATTGCGAGTGTGTGTTGATAATTTAATCTAAGCTTCAAAAACTGTATACCATGTAGAATTCCAGAAGGCATTTGACGTGTTAGTTTTAGAATTCTTAAAATGTAAAAGGCTGAAGGGCGACCCATTAAAATACTCGTGTGTTGTATTTCAAAAGTGCGAGGGGTACAGTCCGCCACCAAAAAGCTTCAACAGAATTGTAGTTAACTGTTAATGGCCACAGGATTGTGAAAACTTCCAATGCCCCTGGTGGTATCGCTCTGTACATTGTGTCTAGGTTGGTAATTTGTCATGAGCATAAATAAAAAAACAAAAAGGAAAGGGGGCAGTTTTTGTTTATCGTTAGCCAATGTTTACTTCTCTTCTTCCCCTCCTAATATTAGAAAACTCTAATCTGTCTTAGCCACGCTGAATTTTTGATTCTAACAAAACTGGAATAAACAAATTTTCAGCATACTCTTGGAGGATTTGACCTTATACTTCAGTATTTCTGGCGCTACCCTTGCATTTTGTCACTTTTACGATGCTAATCGGGTCGTGCCAACAAAAATATTAGATAAAATTAGTAGAACTACAAAACTGCACCAACAATAACACCTCCTTTCAGAGGATAAGAACTTTTTTTGGTCCAGCAGGTACCCGCTATGTGGGTTTATCGGTATATAGCGGGACTGCATGACGCTTAAAAACAAAAAAGTGCCATTATATGTAAAAAATGAACTATATTTGGTCTCTTTGTAGAAATGAGGATGTTGGAATATCTACAATAATCGAAAGAGAAAGATGCAGACTGGAACCCAAAGTAAGTATCATAATGGGGTCGATTCGTGATTATGCAGATTATTCTTCGACTCTGATCTTTTTTGATACTTAAAAACATGCATCCGCTTGTTTCCCAATCTTCAACTTAGCAAATAGGAAAAAACTGGATTTCTGCAAGGAGAAATGAGTTAATTTGAGTTTTTTGGGAAGCTTACAATGCTTATCGGACATATTCTTCATGAATATTGCATTTGTAAATTTGCTTGCAACAGAGATCCACATTTTTTAACATTCTTTACTGCAGTCCAAACCTCTTGAATAGAGAAACCTCTTGGAATGTTTCATGCATAAAAGGTGTTAAGCAATATCTAAATTACCTGTTATTAGAATATTTGAAGAAAAACGACATGGCCAGGGTGAATAATGTTGTCCAATTGGGGTAAGGGACCCTGGAACGATGCCCCCAGAAGTGACTTTTTTTATCTGGGGCTAAAAAGGTATCCCCGAATAGCGTTAGCGAACAAGTATCGATTCTTTTTGCACTCTACACCTGAGATGAACTATTTTTGATACGTTGAATAAAACTAGTTGGGGGGAGGGGGAGGGGGGTTGGTGGTGATTGGGCTAGAAAAATCCAAATGGCAATAAGGATGTATTTATGTTTGGTCATATTGATGAAGGCCAATACTATAATTCAGCTTCACTGCCCAGCTTAGATGAATTCTGGGTCATAACAGAAACATCTTGAAATCTGCGTTGAGCAATTATGCTGCTACTGTAGAAGTGAAAAAAATAGTTGCTAAACATTTTCTGGTAATGGCAGATAATTATGAACTGTTGGTGATTGTAATATGTATTAATATAATGAAACATTCAGCGAAAAATCTTTGCTTTTATTTCATAAGACGTCGAGGCATTCTTGAATTATTTATCATTATTTTGAATATTCATAATCTAAGCAAATTTTCAGCATTAAGAGTCTTTTTTAGGTTGAAGGAAGAATAAGAATCGCTGGTTTGGGAGTGGAAAAACAGGTTAGTCTAATGAAACAGTAACATCCGCACGAATTGTTGCTCAATACCAAAGCAGTGACTGCGTTAAAATTCTCGTGTTGATACGCAGGAAAATCCCTAAAATTCCGTCAGCAAATTGAACTTAGAAGTATAAGGGGCTTTGCAGGAAATGCATCGAAATTTTTGACAAGGATCAAAACCTACATCAAAACCTTGTAAAGGAAAGTTTTTGTTTGATCAAGTGAAGTTTGTACAGATGGAAACGCTTTGTACAAGCATACAGTCCTGGAAGCGCCATTCATTTGTTGAATTTTGTATACATGAGTACTAGAGCAAAGAACACATAAACAAGGTATATCGAGTCCTATCATATGTTCTAGCTAAAAAAGAATCAAAGAAATGGAGAAAAGGTAATGAATTAAAGGAATTTGAAATTTATTAAGAAAGAATAAATTGTCTCTTTAAAAATTATGCACCGTGCATAAAGAATAAGAAAAATTGCAGCAAATACACAAAAAATCTCGTATTGACTCATTTATAACCTCAATCTGATCGAACCTCGGTCTGATTGTTCATCACAACCAGTCAAATATCTGAATGCACCAAAAATTACAACGTCAAATTTTTAACCTCTTATTTAATTCGTCCTTTAACATGATTCACTAGAAATACATCAAAGCACTCATGCTCTAAAATCGAAATAAATTGTTCAAAAAAATGATTTAATTTTATTTGATTTTGAAAATTCAATCGGTATTGGCACAATGCTTCGAAATTTTTTGGCTTTCTTATAATTGGTGCGTAGTGCTACAAGCTTTCTGACTGTTTACTAGCACTACAGACGGGCATTTACATTTTTAAACAGGCTTACTCTTATCTACCACCTCAAACATGCTTGAACTTCAGATTCTTAGGTGTGGTGACTGGATTAGCGTCTTGACAACCCTACAGATTGATTGGTTTAGGAAAACAAGATAAATGTGTTATCATGTAGTTGTATGCTGTTTGCTCAGTAACAAATGCACCAAATGGCTAACATGTCATTCGAACTTATATCCTGTCTTATTTTACGTAGAAAGAGTACAAGGCAAAAAAGACTCTCATGCGTATGCTAAATTTGACTAAACTACAAACCAACATTTAAAGGCTTTTAAACAAAATGAATATGTAGAATTAGCGCTACAATTGTAGGCAAACACAAATGGTAGGAGGGACTAGACAGCTGATGATAATGTGATGAATAGCTGATAAGAAAGACATTGTTGTTGTGAAACACTGGAGTGTGGCAAGATATCTATTTGAATTGTTTCGGAGCTGAGGAAAAGTATGGCAAGCCGTAGTGGACAAAAGGTGGTTGAAAAGGAAACCATACGTTGAGATTTATATCATTAGGGTCCAGAATTATTGACATGTGGTTGAAATCATGATTGTTAGTGATCAGTTCTTAAAGTGTTGCTTCAGTTCTTCTCCATTAGCCTTGTGTTTCAAATCATGGTGTCTGAGTTCTTCAAATTTGTAGTGTCCGAGATTTTTCGAATTTTTAGTGTCCGAGTTTTTTCGAAATTGAACTGTGCGAGATTTTTCAAATTTGTAGTGTCCGAGTTTTTTTCGAAATTGAAGTGTCCGAGTTTTTTCGAATTTGTAGAAAAGCGCGCACTCGAAGCCCTGGCGGGAAGTTCAAGAGTTGTGTGATCCCAGATATAACAGCTGTGCGAATACTGTTTTTAATGCGCATGTGCTATGACCCTACAACACTGATTGGTTCAAGACGGTATTGTTTCGAAACAAAGGACTGAAGGTTTCGTCTCCTGAACAAGTAAATGGAGAGTAACTGGGATGAATGAATGGACTAGCAAAAGAAACAATTTTTTACTACGCTATTTCTTTGAATTATTGGTTTCATCTTAGTCGCAAGACAGAAGCAAAGTTGTCTAATCCTTCATAATAACGTTTTCACAAAGGTTTGCTCTAGATTGGGTTATTTCTTCCTGACTGGACCTTTGTGATCAAATCATCCAGATACAAAATATTGATCAACGAATGTTTTGATCAGGAGATACCTTTTTGTAAATGCATGAATAGTCTGCCTGATTTTTACTAAATTTTAAAGGTACCACTGACTTTCCAATTCATGCTTTGAGACTCTAGAATTTACGGTGGCCCACAAGTGTCACGGCTAAAAAAACTGCTCACGGCTAAAATGAATTGCTCTCTGGGCAGAGTTTCCTTGAACTGTATCATGGGAAGAATATGGTCAGCGGTTCTCAGCGAGCGCCACCTCCTTTCTTCTTCGTAAAAACATGTTCTGCTATACCTTGGTCAATGTATTGGTAGCTGGATTAGCGTCTTGATATCCAAACAGATTTCTTGTTTTAAGAAAACTGTGTTAATGTGTAATTATATGCTTTGCTTTTTGTTTATTATATGCTTGTTATGTGCTGTTTGAGTTCTTTTAACACATACAGATGCTTTAAATCCAACATTGGGACTTTTTCTGAATATTTTAATAAAAATATTGTAAAACTTTGAAAAACGCATTCAAAAGCGGACACAGAATCTCTATTTGGCCTAAGCCAAAAACCGTAGCTTAACCAACCCTATCTGCTTTAATTCAATATGCGTTCAATTGCTTATTGTTTGTCATGATTCCACAGCTTTTACTTTATTTCTTTGTAATATGTCACTTTCATATATATTTAAGTAAAAAGCAGTACAAAATTTCTTAATATTTGTAGTTAAGTGAGCACTGCACAGAAAAAGTTCAGCTTTTAGAAAATAACTTTAAAAAGTGAAATATTTAATAGGTGAAGTATTTCTCAATTTTTGCATAGGATGAAAGTGATGCCAAGGCAAGACCTGCGTCTCCAAAGCCAAGAGGACGGACTACAAGACTTAAAAGTGTTTCTGCTCCAAGTGCCTCATTAATGGGGCTGTTGGAAAGCTCTGAAGAAATTAATACGTCCACAAACTTTAAAAATGTTAGTACAGAAGATAATGTAACATAAGGATAGATTCACAATAAACAATTAAATAATTTGCAAAATTTGATTTTGTTATATACCAGTTTTGCTTGATGCAATTTTGACTTAGAAACTCTTGACACAAATGTCTTATGAAAAATGTATTTATCAATTAGTGTTGTAGAGGTTTATCACCGTTGTAAGTATTAGAATACTATTTATTGCATTTATTTGAGATTTTTTATACCAATTTGAACTTTGTTTGCTAATGTTTTACTTAAAGACGTGCTACAATTTTGCCCTTCCTGGGAACAACCCTCTGACACAAACAATGAATTTTTTATCGATAATTCTTAGTCACAAAGTTTTTAAGATGCTGCAAATCTCTTTGCCCTCACTGGGTCTCTGTGATCACGCGTTTTCATATAAATTGATGCTTCTGCTCAAATTGTTGGACTTTGACAGGCCATTTCTCCTTAGTCAATATCGTTCAAGATGTGATTTGCTAAGCTATTTTTTCGCATATGGACTATGTAAAAATCAAAAAAAATTCAGGTCTCTTGAATGCTGCCCCCTCCCCCATTTGCCCTTTGATTTAAATGTAAAAACGAAATAGGTTTTACAAAATCTTTAAGGTTGCAGACAGGAAGTTTTAGGTGCGGGGGCAGTAGACTTGGGCTGCAGCTGCATGAAAAAGCTCACCAATGTCAGGAGTAAAAAAGGTAGGCAATCAATACTGAAGTGTAAACCTTTTTGAACCAGTATAATTTTATGCACTGTGTTTGTTTTTAAACTGATATAAAGCTAAAGTTGTATCACTTGGAGAAAATGTTATGTAAACACGAATTCAGAGCAGAATTAATCAATAATTAATTTAACAAAGCCATAAAATTATCGCAATCACAAGCTTTTTAATGAAATGAAATCTTTTTCACACAACGTCTCAATAAATCAACATCCTTTGTTATGGTAACTGCACATTTGAGTATAATTTCACAAGACGACATTTTCTGACACTACCCCAATTTTAACAGTTAATCGAAACCAGATTTCGGGGATCTGATGACCCACACCAAATTTTAAACTTCTTCAGTCACAGATGAACGCACAGTGCCGTAACTAACGTTTGTGAGCGGTGGGGCACGGCTTGATGATGCAGGCAAATTGAAGTGAATACCGGGAAAGCTCTATTAAGCCCCCCGGGTGGGGGGCTTATTTATTTCTTTCAGTCCTAGCGGGAGGGCTTAAAAAGGAAAGGAGCTTATTAGAAAGAGGAAGTTTAATAAGAACTTTAGCTAAAAAATGTTTTAAAAAAGCCCTTGTCTATTTGTTATAAAAATGCCATACAAATGTTCTCAGCTTCGAAAGTCTAATATTATCTTCATCAGAATCACCAGCATCAATTGATAACCCTGAGATATCCTCTAAACAAATTTCGATTGACTTCTTAGGTGCACAAGAAAGTCTTTACATGGGCCGTATTTAATGCACACAAGGACATCGTCACACCCGTCAAGAAACCTACTAAATACCCATATTTACCTTGTTTGACAACAAAGGCCAAGAGGGGGCTTGATAGAGAGGGGGGGCTTATTTTAAGTTTTTGCTTGATAAGGAGGGGCTTAATAGAGAGGGGGCTTAATAGAAAGAGGGCGCTTGATAGAGCTTTTACGGTATAACAAAAACAAAAATATACATAGTTAATGTTTCTCTTTGAGAAGACATTTTCTTCTCAAAACTCAACATAACCGACAAAACCAAGAATATACCCATCTGCTCAAACCATAGAGATTGGTCTCTGACAACATTAAAACAACAAAAATTATTGCGCCTACTTTGTGTCAACTTTCGAAATCAGCCTCTGTTTCACAAGCGCATGCTCATTCATCTCGGCGGGAAAAGAGATTGTCCATGTTTTTCGATAGGCCATATATTTCGCTATTTTGACACAGAAAATGCTGCAAAGAAATCAAAATTAATTATACCTTGATGATTTTGGGAGAAGTATTCAAATAAATTACAAGATAAAATGGATTCAATGTTCGGGGATTTGCTGCAGCGTGCAGAACAGCTAACTGCCGACATGGACACTGGCGGAGATCTTCCCAGAGTGGAAAGAAATTTGCCACAGTTAGCTGAAGCTGGGCAAAGATTATGGTCAAAGACTGCTAGCTCGTTATCAGAAGGCAGTGATGTAAAAGCGTGAGTTTCTATTCACTGAGAGCTTCTGATAAAATCTGTTTTGCCGTAAGCACCAGGTGAAACTAAATTTGAAAGTCTCCCTTCCCTAATTTCTTGCCACAAAATAGGTGTAGAATGAAAGTACAAAAGACTTACTGACCAGCTGGGAAAATCAGACATGAACCAAGGGTCTGTGAGCTTTGTTTGTCTAATCCTTTGTCATCCTAACAGTGTTTGTGAAGCTCACTGCCCAATTCCGTCAGGCAGTATGTCCCCTGCCATATCAGGAGGAAGGACCAAGTCATTCAATAAGCATTGTCTCTCTTAAAATTCTCTTAGATCGTATGTGAAAACGCTGACCGAAAAAACTGATTCAACTTCTGAGAAATTACATTTTCTTGGCTGAAGTCCTTTTAGCTTTATACTCTAATGATATCCTGAATGATGCAATTGACACATTCTTAAACTATTTTTGTAATGTAATGCAGAAATTCACCTCTTTTGCATAAAATAGACTTCAATTGATTTTAGTTGATGTTCCAATTTTGTTATTACCCAATCTATAAGGTAAGGGCTGTATAATTTACCATACATCTGCAAAATTTCTATTAAGGCCTACTATGTTTTGTAGATTCTCTATTACCCTAGAAATATAAGGCAAATGATTTAAAAATTTCTTTAAACAAATGATTAGCAATTTTATGCTTTTGGAAGTTACATGGAACAAACTTCTGAAATGTGTTGTGAAATTCATTAGTCGCACAGGGAGAGGGGTGTGTACTTGCTTTGCTGGAAAAAAATTTTTAAAAATTGGTGGCAACATTTCTAACATCCAAGAATCCTCTCTATCCACTAGAATAACAGGCAATACAAGGACGGCTAAGTTTTTGGTCACAGACTACAGATCCAAGGGCCTGGAGTTTTATTCCCTGACAAGACCAAACTTTTAACCAGGGTAGAAACTTCCTTCAGAGGCATGCTTTAGATACATGCAAATAAATACAAAACACAACAAGGCATGCTTTTTTATTTTGCATGGCATGAGCCTAGAATGGGATACCTCCTGTAGTGCTCTTGCTTGTTTTTTCTACCTTTGTTTAAAGAAATTTATGTTTTAAAGCTTTTTATTTATAGGTCCTTGCTCCTCAGCTCCAAAGGAGTAGAGCTTCCAAAGCTATCACAGAGGCTTGAATCACTTAATGCAGCAAAAAGTTTTGATCCAATTGAACCTGTTAGTGATACTGACATTCAGGTGGGCTAGATGTTATAATATGATTCATTATGTACAATTAATTTTTCTTAATGATGATCAGTTTTCATTGGCAAGCCCTTTATTTTTCTCATAAGCCCATTTGTGCTCTGGTTTATCATTACTAAGCAGAATAAGGACTCATTTAGTAGTTCTTGTGCTTGACCTGGGCTTTTAGCCAAAAATTGCTCAAAATGCAAAGTGTCCTGAATTATTTACCGTAACTTAGAATTAACTTACAAACTTAATGTGATTGAGGTAGATTATTGATCATTCCTGCAGTTTTTGGCTTTCATATTGCAGATGAGGCAAAGGACTTTTTACCGTCATGGTTGTAAACATTTCATCAACCAGGTGCACTGAGAGGGGTCAGGGGGCAAATCTCTCCAGGTGCTGAGCTGAGAGGGGAAATATAATGCTAACTCAAACAGATAATGCTAGCTCAGATTTATGCCAAGGCCTTTATCTACTCTGCCAATCTGCAAGCTGAAAAAAATTCAATTTTTGCTTTTTGCTAGAAATAAGAAGAAGATTCTGGAACTTTTGTCTTTATAGTGCCACATACAGAGATATAGGAACTAGAATGCACAAGGGTTTTATCTGTCCTTAGTTTTTGCAAGTTAATTTTCAGGAAGAGTAAGGCATCAGGTCAGGGCTAAAAAACAGGTGCTTGATGGTGCCTAAAGATGAAGTTGTCATACATTAAAATATAGTAACAAATTATGTGACTTCGTAAGGTAAATGACATCATACCTCCTCCAAAGAAATGTTGAAGTCCTGCACTAGTGACCATCATAAGAGCCCTTATAAACATTTTTCCCTCCCTCCACAATTAAATTGAAAATTTTTATCAAGAGAAATTGCTAATTTCATGGTTTCATTTGTAATTTATGACTTGATTAGGTAAGTTATGATTATTTTCTTATGTGAATATATCACATTAATAAAGAATAGCAATCAGCAATTGGGTATGATAGTTAGCAACAGATAATAACCCTTTTGATTTTCTCATCATAAATAATATTTGTTTACTTGTAATGCAATTTGTGACTTCTGCTCTATTTTTAGGGCTTCTTGAAAAATGAGAGGGAGAATGCCATTTTGTCTGTTATTGAGAATAACAAAAAGGCTGTAAGTTTATCTTATTTCATATCTAGTGATTGATATTTTTTAACTCATACCATTTTGTTGAATTACACAATATTCCAAGTCATTTCACCAGCAAAATATATTGCCATTTTTTGGGAATTATAAAGGAGAACATTGTGAGTTTTGAATATTTCTGATAATATTGTTTGAATTTTAATGGTGCTTAACTAGATGATAAAATCATGTTTACATGTACCAAAGTGTCTCTGAGTTTTGCCAGTATAAATTCTGTGAAATCTAGAATTTATGTATGTTTTGACAAAAACCCTAAATAATTTCTTTTTTACAGACCTTTGCTGAAGCTGACAGAAAATTTTGGGAAAGCATAACTGATGAATGGGAAGTTGAAAAGCAGAAGATTTTGAATTCTTTGCTAAGTGTTGGCAAAGAAGCAATGACATTCCCTGTGGAAACTGAGGTTTTTATTACATTCTATTGCATGTCCGTCAGCAACATTATCAAACATGATGGTAAAGTTCTGCTGGTTTGTTTTGGACAAACTAATGTCACTGTGTAATATATGTCTTATAATCAAAGTCATAATAAGCCTGTTATTATCTTGTTAATTGATTATGCTGTTACGCTTATATTATAATAAAATTACAAGGCATTTTACATATAAGAGGTTTAATCATAGATGAGACTAGTTTCCTGTAACAGTTTCGCAGAAGCACAATACAGTTGTTTTGTACCTCATTCAATTGAACAATGTTTTGTCAGAGTAGACAATACATTCAAAGAAATAATTGTAATGATACATATATATTTGTATTTATATACATACCACTCTAGCTGTATCAAAAATGATGATAAGGAAAAATGTGCAAACAATACTTTATTGACGCAAAACACTTTCATAAGACATATTGCGTCTTTAATACATAATATGCTTTATTTTTTTGAATAATGTTTTGATGAATTATTGCTATTGCTGGATTCTCATATTTTTTGTTCTATTGGTTGTATTTGATATTTGACAATCACCCTACTTTGCTTCAAATGTTTCTTGAATTATATTGGTTTCCTTTTTGTAGGTTGTAGATGAACTTGAATTAGGAAGAGGAAGGAGTCCTATGACAATGATTGAAATGGCCTATGCAAGGCAGGTAAGTAAGCAAATCGTTATTATAAACCCTGTTAAACTCGCTAATAGCATTGATATGGCAAATAGCATGCCTTATGATGATGACAATTTAGATATGATGTGGCATTCAGGGCTTTTACCTAGCAAAGACCATGATTGAACAACGTCTGATTTGCTTATCCTTCATTGCTGCCCATTTACTATTAACACATTCTTAACAATTCAAAAATCAACATAACCCAGATTGTAATTTTTCAGATTTCTAATACATGACTTTTTTTCCTCAAGGTCTATATTTGCAATGAATGTTTAATCCAGGGAAGAGATTGTAACTATTTAGAAGCATTAAAACAAGTAGTGACCAAGGTAAATGACAAGGTAGGCAATGCTTTTTGTCTCTCTCTGTGGTCACTCTGTATATTCTCATTTTTTACAATTTGTTGATTCAACCCCCTCATTTAATTAAGGTGCTTGATCAAGCTCCTAGATGGTTTTTGTTTCTAAGCGAAGTAAATCTAAGCGAAGTAAATTTGTTTCTAAGCAAAGAAAATTCTGAACCATTTTCGAATTATGCACTCTTCAAGCTCACATTGGGACAATCTATACAGAAATGACTCGGCTTTATAGGGAACATATGATATGAATGGGCATTGAGTTTTTTGATCTGCTATAAATTTCTTTGTTATTTTGGAAAATACGAGCAAAAATATAGTTTATCGTTATGTTAGAGCCACAGAAAAGGCTATGTCAGATTGTTGATGTCTATTTCTTTTGCAAACAATATATGCAGTTCTTAAATAAAAAATGTTTTGAGCCAGGTGCTTAAATAACTGAGCTAGAGTTTTCAATGGGAATGTAGAGGTTGTCTGGCTCGATCGAGTACCTCTCGTTGTTTGATGGCCTGATTTCTCAGTTCTGATGTTTTGGCACATTTATGCAAAGCTAAGAATTTATCTTTGCTTCATTTATGGCTGGGCCTATATGGCACGAAGCACTTGATGCCAGACAAAATGCTGGACAGAAAACAGTAGTTTTTTAGTAGATAAGATGCTATTTATTTTTATAATCTTCTGACACTTCGAGTATGCTATTCTATGACTAATTTTCACAATTAAAATTCTTTCATCCTTTTTTCATAGCTGATTTTTTAATTTTAATAAGCTTTACCAGCTTTCATTTTTAAACCTGAAATGCTCTTTTGAAACAGTGAATATGTTTTTACCATTCTAGAACCTTGAAGATACTTGGGAATTGTTGAAGCATGTAATATTGGACTTGCCATCAATTGCACGAAGCCCATTGCAAAACAGGTGAAGAAACTTTGAGTCAAACAGCACTCTTCTTTTCTATAAATATATACTTTGATTTTGACATTGTGTATTCCTCTATCAGCAACCTATATTTTCGTTTTAACTGTAGTGTGCGTTGTACAGTAAAAGTTACAAGTTAGACTGTGATTTTGGCCTCATCTTTTTTCGGCCCAGCAATAGTCTTCAGAAATTTTAAATGACTTGACATAATGTGTCATATTTTTGCTTATAACAATCATCATAATATGAGTGTTCCTGTCTCCTGCATTTCTTACAGGCAATCACGAGAAGTTCAGGCTGCCATGGTCAAAAATGCAAAATCCTTCCTTGAAGATAGGTTAGTTTTACAACATATGCTTTATATAGCTTAATAATACTTGATTTAAAGACCAAAGGTTGGTTGTGCAGACAAACTCTTAACAAAAACCTTTTAGAATGAAGAATTTACCGTATGGAAGCTAGGTGACTGTACACAATACTATATTATTTATTCCTACTTTGCAACTTCAGTTTTTATCAAGTATCTAAGTGGTTTCAATAGCTAGCGATTCTCTTGTCATCAAAAAAGGCTCTCAAAGAATGATGGTATCTTTAATTTTATTGCATTTTGATCAAACCTATTTGTAAAATATTTCAAACTGTTCATATATGATCATTAACTACAATCTTGTGTCAATTAAATGACAACTTAAAAAGGATTACTTTTTTCATTCAGATGTTGAATATAATTTGCTTTTTTCAATCAAACATCTTCCAATTTTTTTAGATATTTACGCTATGTCGAAAAGACAGTTCACGACAATACACAGCAAGCAAGACTTGGTGGTATTCCAGGCACATTAAATCTTGTTAAAAGTTTTCTCAAAATCAAGTTACACCCAGCTACCCCAGGTCTTGAGGTAGGTTGCGAGTTCATGATATTTTTTTATTGGTTTCAATATGCTTTCAAATTAATATGAAATGTGATGAATTTAGAAAGATAAGTTCTATATGTTGAAAAGATACCATTTCGAATAAACGACATTTTCAATTTTTTATGTGTTTTAAAAGCCTACTCTGGTGTCATTAATACTCCCTGAGAACCATTTTAGATTTTCTGACAGAAATATCGTGAATTTGATCAGGCCTAATGATGATAAACAAGATAAGACCCCATGAAATATATATAAAGATTTCTTGTACTGTATTTTGTATTTATTAATACCTCAGAGGGTGAATCTAATGAAACAGAGAAACTATGCCTATCGGGCAGTGCAGTGTCCTTTGTCTCGATGTGATCATGCCTCATGATTCCTACGCCTAGAATTACATGGACCTAATGACTGCCCCTACTCTAAGTAAAAGATTGGCCATGGCAATTAATTGAGCCCCTGTTTCTGTAGTCCGCTACCCTAACCACTGAGCCATCCTCTTGATTGGCTGACAGTGGGTTTTAGAGTAAAGATATAATTGCATATACAAAAGTATAAAGGTTTCCTTGTTTAAATTTGCAACATCAGTTTTGAACATTTTCTTCACAGGATGGCAAGGTTGATGGTATCCCAATCTGGGCGTTGATTTATTACTGTCTACGTTGCGGTGACGGCAATGCTGCACTTCAAGCTGCCGAAGGACTCCCGTATGTACTATACAAATCTTTTTTTGAAATTTGTTGATAATCATCTAGTAAGTGTGTAGCTAGATCTAAAATGACAGAAAGAACTTTTATAGATTACTAGCAGGAAAGCGAAAGGTTGAATTTCAGCTTATACAAAAAATTGTCTTTGTCAAAGAAAACTCATTTTAGCAGTTGCATTACCAAAGTGTGAATTATCCAAGTTAGTTTACTTTAACAAGTTTTAGACCAACTTCAGATTCTTCACACCCCTACCCGATGACCTTCTACTCTTTTTAAAAACAAATATTTCCTTTTTATATTTAAAAAAGCTAAGCCACACAATTATTCTCAAACGCAGGCTTTTATCAAGATTGAATAAATTCTAAAATGAATGAATATGTCCTCCGTTAGTATTTGTATTTCAAAGTAGAAAAGGTAACAAAATGAAATGAAGATGAATAACTGAAAAATTGTTTTCCTTTACGTTTTTTCAGACCACAGTTTTCAGAATTTCGGGAGACTCTTAAGGAGTACTTTGCAGATGGAAACTGCAGGTATTATTCTTTTAAGAACTGTTTAATTTGTTTGTTGATTTGTAGCATTTGTAGATGTTAAAGGGATCGTTTTCATATCTTCACGGAACATGATTCTTTGCAGCGAAGTACGTCATAAGAACCAGGTGTTGTGTTGCTTTGCAGTGCATAACATGTAAACATCTTACCTTTAATATGTTTTCATTTATTACTTTCTGATAATTAATGCCAAAATGTCTCCTAGGTTAATGCCGAGTTCAGAGACCAAGCTGCGAATGCAATACAAAAGAAGCATCCGATCAAGCACAGATCATTTCAAAAGGTATGAAGTCGAGAAGAACTATTTTCTTACTGATAAAACGTTTGAAGTAGCATAAAACAAACGCTTTTGTGAAGACCAGAACGGTTTTAAAGCTTCATGTTTAATGCAATCATCAGGTAGCATTTTGATAGGCCAGTACACTGGCATTTTTGTCATTCTTAAACATTATGATGATGATGATGCTAGATGGTGAGGTTTTATGTTACTAATCTCTGCGTTTGTCTCCTTTGCAACAGTACATCCAATTATGAGAAATTTAGCTAGAATTTTAACCAAAAAAGCAGAAATCAAGGCAGTTTTTTAAACGGTTGTTACATTGGCTTTAAGGATTGTCTTTTCGGTGATTGGCTGCTGTGATACAATGGATAACCACTCAGAGGTCGCGTCCAAGAGTGATGATTACATCTGGCTCAAAGTAAGTAGACTAATAAGGATTCTGTTATGAAGCATCAATTTTAACTCGAGACGTCACATCCATGTTTAAGTTGTGATTTCTTTCCTGGTTTACTCAACTACAATATTATCTTATTAATAAATGATTGTTAATATGCATCCTTGCTTTCATCTCAGTAACCACAGGGGGTTGCTACGTTTTTTATTATCCTCTTCAGTTGCAGCAAATTGGTTTCAATGACCATGAAATAAACACCCAGGACAAAGTCAGCTTAGCAAAATTACAATCGTTGTTGCTTGAAGAATTCGGTCAGTACCATCTTTATCCTAGAGCATTTTTTAATTTGATTTTCTTTTCAAATGGCAAGTTTTATTATATATAGTTATAGATAATTTATTATTAGATCCATTTCTGCGCAATAGTTTGTAATCGAAAATTGAATACTCCACTTTGGCGGTGATTGTCTTTGATGACGATAATGCTAAAACAATTTAGGACAAGTGGCCTTTTTCTTTACTATATCAGAAGTAAGATTTTTAGAGCTTTTATGGAGTGAAATATTTTTATGACGTCACAATAAGAGCTTTCTGTCATTTTGTAGGGCCGAGTCATTTCAAGGCTTATCAACAGCCGTTCCTCTACTGCCAAGTTCTCTTTCTAACTGCCCAATTCGAAGCTGTGAGTTATTTAGAGTTGTCTTTCAATTACACGTTATAGCAACTAGCTCCTATCATTCTCAGTATATTTGTTATCTGCTGGTCTCTAGTTTTAATTGTTTGTCCTTCTATGCTTTTGTTTCGACTTAACTTCAAGCATTGAGCAAGCCCTGTAATTTCTGACTTGTTGTTTTGACTAGAGTTGAATTAGAATAGATGTTTTCAGATATCAAGAGGTTTCATTTAACTTTTGAACCTCACTGGTTGCAAACTGTATATGATTCTTTATTGACTTGAAAAGCTTTGGCCGAAAAATTCATTACTGTTTAACAGCAACTGATGTCATTCCTGGAGCCTATCAGATCTAAATGAATATGAACTCACCGTATCAAAATACCATTAAAGACACGTAACCTTGTTCGTTCTCTGCAACAACCGTGAGTTACAAAACAGAGTGGAAAACATTTAGCAGTTTACAGTCCAAGCTCCCATAAATGTATATCCTACGCTAACAAAGTTTTTATTTCAACAGGGAATTGAATTTCTTTCGACAATAGAACGACTTCGCTGCCATGCTGTTCATTTCGCCTTGGTGTTGCGTGAAGCCGGCCTCCTTTTGATGCCTGACGTCATCTACTCAGGGCTGTGTAAGTATTTTCTTTAGGCTGGTTTCTGAAATCTTTTGAGTTATCGCGATTGATGATATGTGGAATATCACCATGACATTTAATCATGTGATCGGACAGAAGACAAAGTAAAGACAAAGAACAGACCTATGTTCTGCATTGTACTTTCCACTTTAAGAAAGGTTGCCATTATTGTCATCGGTGGCGTACCCAGGGCTGTAGCAGTTGGGGGGGGGGAGGTGGTTGAAGGGCGTGGTCCAGAATTTTTTGGACCACACCCTTTAAACACTCGCAAATGCGGGGAAACGCCCTTTTTGCAAATTTTTCCCCATTACTTGATTCATGTTAGCTACGGTAAATAGCAAAGCATTTTACAATTGTTATTGACACAAGCATACCGTATACTACACTCCCCCTGAGTTTTACATCGTTTTTGGACAAATCTCGAGGACCATATATTGGAAAAGTGGGGGGTCTGGACCTCTCTATTCCCCCCCTTGGGTACGCCACTGATTGTCATGAAATGTTTCATTAGCGTTAAACCATTGAATGGAAATGACCAATGCTTATCTCATCGACTTTTTCATAAATCAAGTGGCATTGCAACAGTGTAGTGCCAAGTTAATTCGTTATAGGTTTTTTCAGTACGTTTATCATAGTTTTCTTCGGATGTTTCTCTTGCCATTGAAAAATTCCTAACTCTCTGCTTACAAGCAGCTATCTTTTTGGCTATTCAATTGTCAAATAAAGAGAGGTTTTCTAAACATAAGTTCTGATAATAAAAAGTAAGCTCTTTTTTACTCTTCATTTAAATGTTTGATTTCTGACATTTGCCAGTATCCGTGAAGCCATCTGACCCGAAGCCAATGAGAAGGCTCAACTTCGCAAGACTTGTGATGACGTACACGAAGAAATTCCAAACGACGGACCCACGTGAAGCCCTTGAGTATTTTTATTTGCTCAGGTATGGAATCTAACATCCAATGGTTTTTTAAACAAGCCTATTGAATTCAATACTCCAGTTTCTTAAGCTGCAAAACACGTTTTTTTAATGTCGTTCAGTTGCCCAGATTCATAAGATGATGTTTTAGTGTACATGATTTATTGGGATTACATCATGGTGTATATGATGTATTGTTTTTCCAATCGACATGCCTAGCTAACGGGATCATCAGACACATTCATTTCTTATGTACGAGTTTATGCTTCTCCTAGGAATGTTGATAGTAATATGAAGCCTTTAAGCTCATTGAGAATCGTACTGTGATACGCGAAAATTGTTCTCTTGTTGAATTGTTACTTGGTAAACAATGTTGTTACTTGATACCAAAGTTTTTTCAACATCAAAATTGATTTTTGATCAATAAAAATTATACATTTTAGCAATCAACCATAGTTTATCCCTACTTATTACTTGTTATTTATTCCAATAACTAAAGTCCTCTTTGCATTATCTTGTACAATAACGGTTTTTTTGAATGAGAATATTAATTTCTTAGTAGAACTGCGTTATCAGGCTACTTCTGGTTTCCTCATTGCTTTCATCGGATAAGCTGACAACTGGCCTATTGTGTATTTCCAATCCTTTTAATCTAACTATCGTCTAGGAACATAACTGGAGCCAACAATGAGAACGTTTTTGCAAGTTGCGTCAGTGAATTGGTGCTGGAAACTAGAGAGGTACGTATTGTTTGCCTTTACGTCGTAAACGCATGACTCAATACACGTTTGGTAGCTGTTTACATTTAAGCGTGTTATTAGTATTTTAGCAGATCTTCATTCTAAAGCCATTAGCTGCCAAACAGAATGCTTTCTTTACGTAACACAATTCTTATCAAGATTTTGCTAATTTAAGCAACACAAAACAATCTTGAAGGTATCAGAAGTCCAGAAAGTTGAATGCCATTTCCGTTGAATGCTGGGTTTCTTTTTGTGGCTTTGAATGCAAACAACAACTTCTTTATGTTTAAGCTTTTTTTGAAGTATTTCTTCATTTTAAGCTTTTATGATTTTTTTAGGATTGATAAAAACAAAATTACCACTTGTTTTTCACAAAAATTACTTAAAAGTCTGATTATTATTTCATTGAAAATATTCACTAGGATGTGCCAAGATTTTTTTTAAAAGTTTTTGTTTTTCGTTTCATTCTCCACAAAAATTTATGCTAAGTCATCAACAACTGCAGTTTACACATTCTAGCCACTTGCCTTGCAACTATGTTTAGAGGCAGTCCTTTATGTAATTGCTTATTGATTTATGTAATGCCAGACTGGTGCTTGTTGCTCACTTTCTATAGGAATATTTTGCTCCTCTAATTTCAGTTCGAAATGCTGCTTGGTCGTCTGAATGAAGATGGGTCAAGAAAGGTTCGTAAATAGTTTTTAGACATCTACACTACCTGCTCAATGAAATATGACTTGAAATGGGACATAATATGCAAGAAATGTTACTTTCTAAACGAAAATCCTATTGGACTTCTCGTGTTTCTCTAATATCATTGGCGCAATATTTTCGATTCGTCTTTCAGCCTGGCTGCGTTGAAAAGTTCAATCTCGACACATCAACAATCATTTCCCAAGTAGCTCAGGATGCAGAAGCTAAAGGTCAATTCGAAGACGCATCCAGTTTGTATGACCTTGCTGAGGTAGGTGACCTCTGGATGACCTCTGCTTGCATGACATTGGACCCTCCTTATTGCCAGCTCTTGAACTGTCCGTTGAACAACAAAAACTTATGCACATTCTCTAGAATTCTTATTATTTTTTATTCTTTCACAATATTTGTTAAACAGATTTGTATTGTATAAGCATATTGGAATGTAATTTTATCAGATAGGTTATATTCATTTAATAATATGGTAACGTTTTGAGTCTTCAACATTACCTGCATCGAATTATTTTAATTTATTGGCAGAATTTTGTGAACCTATCCGTCGCTCAAGATATTATGCTAGATATCGCTTGTAGATTGTTTTCGTTTTATCCCTTGGCTTTTGAGCTTGATCAAACATAATGGACAAATATAATTTCCTCTAAATCATCCTTTAAAATGTTTTTCTTTTTCTTTCAGAACCATGAGAAGGTACTCGAAATTCTAAACGGACGCCTCAGTCAGGTGAGTATCTATTTTGCATACCTAAATTCTGAATTGATCAATATGAAGTAGCTGATCTTTGGTTTTGTAAGGCTCGTGATTCCATATTGCAATTGTTTTTCAGTGAATTTCATCAATGAATCACGCAATTTTCATTTCAACTGACTTGAGCTTCTATTTTTGCTTGTTGTTTTTTAGAACAGATCGATTTTAAGTTGCAATATCGATTCCATCTAATGCTTACATTTTTATGGTTTTTAATATGATACCGTAAGACCCTTTTTATAAAATTCTCAGTGGTTGTCGACCGACTTAGCAAAAATTTCCCGTTTATTTGATAGGGGAACTTCTGTTTTGTTGACTGCCATTGCTTTAAGTTCTAGGTATCTCTGAATCTAGATGTTGAAATAAGCTTTAAAATTTTCCTTTTGCTTCTTGACACCAGGTTGTGTCTCTATCAAGTGGTCCACATTCTGCGAGGGAGCGATTACATACTCTTGGTGTATCAATTGCCTCCAGGTTTGTGTTTTTAAATTAATCTCAAGTTAAGCTCAACTTATCTCAATTTCTTTACTGTTGAAATATTATCCATTCCGGTTTCTCGCCATTCGAGATAAGTGTAGTATGCTTATGTGCAGTGGCCTTCTCGCCCACGCCCTTCAGACTCTTGGAAAATCCTTTTTAGTATTTCTATCTATTTTGAAATTTTTGGACAAGCAACTTTCTCAAGCAGCATTTTTCGTAACGGTGGCTTTTTTGCCAATGCGAAAATCAAAATCGATCTGATCAACCCAACTCTCCCTCCCAAGGTTTTTCAACGGATTTCGAGAAATTAGACAATCGACTTCTGGGAAAACTGGGGTGGACTTACCCACCCCAGTCCACCCCGTGGTGACCCACTGCTTATGTGATATAATTTAATGTTTGATCATTTTATATTAACTTTGTTTGGCACTTCCGGTTATTAGACAAGTACCTTGCCAGGCTCGGTTGGAGTCAGGACAAGTTTTGATACTGCCTTGAAAAAAATATTCATGATAGCATTTTGTAAATAAGCTGTGCCTTTTCATTGCCTTGGGAATAACGCAGCCAAGCTTTAGATTCGTTTTGTTTGTGGTTTTTAAACAGCAAGCAATTATTACCGACTATGTATTTAATGTATGGCGATAGGTAGGTTAGTAGCGTATCTTACCAAGTCGACGAATATGTCATGTTTATAACCCCACTCAGGGTTTGGGACAATGTCCCTTTGACTTCGCAATTTCAACACTTGTTTACATGCTGGAACCTTATGAGAAGAAATCTTGCTTGACTTGTATTTTCCTAAAGGTTATTTTGTGATTTGTGACCAGGCTAGTTATTGTTACTTCAAACCATTCGTTGTGACTTGTGGCTTTCTTTTTCATTTGAATTATAGCTCTCAATGCTTAGCATCTCGACGGGGACGGGTTGCTCCCAGCCATACGTATTTATAACCTACAGGTTATGCACCAAATAAAGAGAAATCATATCTTCATTAGGTACAAAAGCCGTGGCTGCCAGGCATCGAAGCTGAGGAGCAGTACGTTCTATTTACTGCTCGACCTGATGTATTTTTTCGATCTGTACCACGCCCAAGAACACGAGCAGGCCCTCGACGTGAGTCTTCGATGTTACTCATTTGGCTTATGCATTGATCTATATCCCTGACATCTTATTGTCTGGATGTTACGCTGTGAAGTTTCAAACTCTTCAAGCCAACATTAGTAGGCCCCACCAATTCTAACCTTCTTTAGATATGCCAAGATCAATTCACAACCAAGACTTCATTAGCAAGGTGAAGTCAAAGCACCTATTACTTTAGTGACTGCTGTAAAAGGCTCCTTTTCTTATATATTTTTTAAATTTAGCTAGTCAATAATCGAGTACACGGCTGATACAAATTATTTCATAAACTTCATGGAATTTTGTAGATCTCTTCTTGTCATTTTATTTTCTTTGTAATAAATAAAGCATTCAATTACCAAGTACAATTATTGGCTAACGTTTTTTTCTTTTTTAATTTGTAATTGACAACCCTTTAAGCTTAAAAGGTACTTAAGTAAACATTAATTGCATCGCTTGTTCATTCTTCTTTCAGACTATGAAGAAAATAAAACTTCTCCCTTTCTCCATGGAAAGCGTTGAGCAAAAAGTAACAGCATTCCGGCAATATTCGGATGAGGTGCGTGATAAGAATATATTTTGAACTTAATTAGTATGCCTACAATCCATTTATTGTATCGTAATTTCCTCATATCGTAAAGCAAATATCAAAACCTCTTGAATAAGTAGCTAAAAGGAAGATACAGCGTATAGAAATGTAATTGATTGATCTCAAACGAATGTTTAAACTAAATGAGATGTTATGACGTTAATGGGTTTTCTATCGCAGTCTTTTATTTCAATTTGAAAATATGACATGAAGCAAGGGATTTGTTTTCCATATTAGAGCTGAAGCAAATTGAAATTTTTCCTGCAATTTGTCTGTAGATCAAGCAATGTATACCGGATTTGCTGTTGGCAACTATGAATATTTTGTATGCAAAATACTGCAAAATGAGGTGAGTTGACTTTGATATCCCATTAACATCTGCTTTGCCTTACAATACCAGTCTTTCATAAAGAGTTATTTCCTTGCCACTGAACAAGTATTTCCCCCTGAGAAAAGAAAAGAAATTCAAACAACAATAACAAAGAATAAAGACAAAAAATTGTCAAAAGTAGGTAACTGCAATAATTCCATAACTGGTTAAGTTACTGGACATTTGAAAAAATGAAATATTCAGTTATAAAAATTCACGGTACTCGCTGAGGCCAGTCAAGATTTTTTCAGTGTTATCTCATGCAAAAAGGCTCTTTGTTCTTAAAGCTGTGTTAAACGAAAGACTGTGCTGTATTGCGTAGATTTGCCAAATAAGTTAGATTCTTTTTCTTACAATACCAGTCTTTCAATACCAGGACATATTTATCTATGTTATGAAAGTGTAGACCTACTCACACAACTGCATGTATATATATTTCCTATATTTCCTATATATATATTTTTGAACCTCAAGATTGCGTAGTGAATTCACTCTTGTATCTCCTCTGACGTCATCTGTTTAGGTCTGAAGAAGATGTCACAAATAGATCGTTTAGAAAGCGAGTTGAATCCGAGAAGCAAAGTGTGAGTAACATTTCTGCCTCCAATGATATTTTGTTCTATAACATAATTATGGGGATCATTTCTACAACAGAAGATGGCGATTAATTCTATGCCAGTGGTTTTCGCAATGGAAGGGTAATTAAAAGCAATTTGTGATTGGTATCTTCATTTCTTCGATACGTGAATTTTACGTTTTTAAGATGACAGCCTAATGTGCGGCACTCCTTCTTAGAGAACATTTTGACATTAGAAGATTAAAACTAGAATTAATATGAAAGTATTAACATTGTTTTGTAATCAGAGTTTGCAACGGTGAATAATAAGTCTTACCTAATTGATATGCCTTTAATTTGCAGTACCTGAACAGTCTTCGTGCTGATGCAAGGTCAGTGGTTACATTTGCTGGTTTGTTGCCATATCGTCTACCTGGGGACACGAACGCAAGACTGGTGCAGTTGGAGGTGCTCATGAACTAAGTGGCAAAAAGATGTTGACAATTAAAATTGACTTGTAATTAAAACGCATTAGGGTCGCAGGGTCACCATCTCTTACCACTTTGGCAAAAACATCAAACATCAAAGCCCCTCTTGGCTTCTTGCTAGCCCATTTCGATACCCTAAGATCTGTATTTAATTTCACATGACAAAGTTTTTATATTTGCCAGTCTTTGTGAGTTGATATTACTTCCTATTTTAAGATAGACGTCACTTTGCGGTCATCCGATCGTCAACTATTGCCATTATCAATTCTTTGAAGTGCAACACATACACCTGGTGTAAAAGAGAGCTCTATTTATGAAAAGATCTTTCCTATCAAAATATATTTTTGTACTTTCCTAAGATGCTAGCTCTGTCATTTTACCAAATAAAACATTTGTCCAATTTCGAGTTAAAGCTATTGTTATGTCAAAGTCCAAGAAGCTCCATTTAGTGCAAATTTAATTACTTTTTGTTAAGGTCTTCATTCGATTATCTCTGCCTTGCTTTTATTCATTATTCACATTTAGGTCTTTAAATGTAGTGAATAAAACTTCCATTTTCCGTCTAAGGCAAATAGCAAAGCCAGGGCAAAGTTTCTATTGGTGATTTTTGTACTTAAAACATCAAATATTTAATCAAGAAAGTTTCTTTGTTCTTCTCAAATTAACTTTTTAGCGACAGAATGAAAATTTTATCAACAAAACGATCTGTTTTGGTGACAACATATAGGATTCGAAAATTAGGCTTAAACCTTGCCGACGTTTCTTGGAAAGTTTTCCAAAAATTATCCAAAATAAAGCTATGGGCTTCCAAACATCGATCTATTGAGCAAAATCCAGCCGTATCTCAATATAAATTTTCTTCTTACCTTTGGTCATTCTCCGATGTTAATCTTCTGAGGTCTGTCGAACAAAAACTACTTTATTGTGTCATGTTTCAGCGTCACCGTGGTGTTTTCAAAGTTTGCGATATCAAGACATTTCAGGAGGCAGGACCATTTAAGAGAAACTTTCTACTGTACAAGAAGCAAAGAAGTAGCCGTATATGAGTCATATATAAAGTTCCTGTCTTCTCGAGGATGTCTATAAATAAATTTGTTGGAAGCAGGAGTCAGTTTAGGGAAAATTTTTTTTCATGAAATAGTAACTTATATAGCCTTTGCAAAATGATAGATATTTTGTGAATTTTTTTTTGTTACAAAACCAAAAAGATGAGCAAGCTCAGAGCTTCTTTCGACTTGTAGTTGACAAGAAAGAGGTTCTATTGAAGAAGGGTCTGTTTAGAGAAACACAATTTTTTAATGACAAAGGCTTAGCAAAATGGTCGACTTTGAGTAAATTTCTCAGGGAACAAGAGATGTAAAATAAAACCTTCTCTGACGTCTCTAGTATGTCTACAGAGAAATTTATTAGCAGCAAGAGTCAGTAATAAGAAGGAAAATCATTCATGAAATGTTCTAAATCGTCTAATAGTGATATTTCCCGTTAGTGTCGTCTCTAGTATGTCTACAGAGAGATTTATTAGCAGCAGGAGTCAGGAAACAGAGGCAAAATTATTAATGAAAAAGTCAAGGCTATAATCTTAGCAAAAGGGCCAATATTTTGTGAACTTTTTAAGGACCAAAAATAATTAAAACTATCGTCTAATAGTGATATTTCCCGTTAGTGTCGTCTGTAGTATCTCTAAAGAGAGAATTATTAGCAATAAAAGACAGGAAAGAGAGGCAAAATTATAAATAAAAAGTCAAGGTTATAGTCTTAGCAAAAGGGCCAATATTTTGTGAACTTTTTAAGGACCAAAAACAATTAAAACTATCGTCTAATAGTGATATTTCCCGTTAGTGTCGTCTGTAGTATGTCTAAAGAGAGAATTATTAGCAGCAGGAGTCAGGAAAGAGAGGCAAAATTATTAATAAAAAAGTCAAAGCTATAGTTTTGGCAAAAGGGCCAATATTTTCTGAACTTTTTAAGGACCAAAAATAATTAAAACTGTCGTCTAATATTGATATTTCCCGTTAGTGTTGTCTCTAGTATGTCTACAGAGAGGTTTATTACCAGCAGGAGTCAGGAAAGAGAGGCAAAATTATTAATGAAAAAGTCAAGGCTATAGTCTTAGCAAAAAGGCAAATTTTTTGTGAACTTTTTAAGAACCAAAAATAATTAAAACTATCGTCTAATAGTGATATTTCCCGTTAGTGTCGTCTGTAGTATGTCTAAAGAGAGAATTATTAGCAGCAGGAGTCAGGAAAGAGAGGCAAAATTATTAAGAAAAAAGTCAAGGCTATAGTCTTAGCGAAAAGGCCAATTTTTTGTGAACTTTTCAAGGACCAAAAATAATTAAAACTATCGTCTAATAGTGATATTTCCCGTTAGTGTCGTCTGTAGTATCTCTAAAGAGAGAATTATTAGCAATAAAAGTCAGGAAAGAGAGGCAAAATTATTAATAAAAAGTCAAGGTTAGAGTCTTAGCAAAAGGGCCAACATTTTGTAAACTTTTTAAGAACCAGAAACAATTAAAACTATCGTCTAATAGTGATATTTCCCGTTAGTGTCGTCTGTAGTATGTCTAAAGAGAAAATTATTAGCAGCAGGAGACAGGAAAGACAGACAAAATTATTATTAAAAAAGTCAAGGCTATAGTCTTCTCGAAAGGGCCAATATTTTGTGAACTTTTTAAGAACCAAAAACAATTAAAACTATCGTCTAATAGCGATATTTCCCGTTAGTGTCGTCTGTAGTATGTCTAAAGAGAGAATTATTAGCAGCAGGAGTCAGGAAAGACAGACAAAATTATTATTAAAAAAGTCAAGGCTATAGTCTTAGCAAAAAGGCAAATTTTTTGTGAACTTTTTAAGAACCAAAAATAATTAAAACTATCGTCTAATAGTGATATTTCCCGTTAGTGTCGTCTGTAGTATGTCTAAAGAGAGAATTATTAGCAGCAGGAGTCAGGAAAGAGAGGCAAAATTATTAAGAAAAAAGTCAAGGCTATAGTCTTAGCGAAAAGGCCAATTTTTTGTGAACTTTTTAAGGACCAAAAATAATTAAAACTATCGTCTAATAGTGATATTTCCCGTTAGTGTCGTCTGTAGTATCTCTAAAGAGAGAATTATTAGCAATAAAAGTCAGGAAAGAGAAGCAAAATTATTAATAAAAAGTCAAGGTTATAGTCTTAGCAAAAGGGCCAACATTTTGTGAACTTTTTAAGGACCAAAAATAATTAAAACTATCGTCTAATAGTGATATTTCCCGTTTGTGTCGTCTCTAGCATGTCTACAGAAAGATTTATTACCAGCAGGAGTCAGGAAAAAGAGGCAAAATTATCAATGTAAAAGTCAAGGCTATAGTCTTAGCAAAAAGGCCAATATTTTGTGAACTTTTTAAGGACCAAAAATAATTAAAAATATCGTCTAATAGTGATATTTCCCGTTAGTTTCGTCTCTAGCATGTCTACAGAAAGATTTATTACCAGCAGGAGTCAGGAAAAAGAGGCAAAATTATTAATGAAAAAGTCAAGGCTATAGTCTTAGCAAAAAGGCCAATATTTTGTGAACTTTTTAAGGACCAAAAATAAATAAAACTATCGTCTAATAGTGATATTTCCCGTTAGTGTCGTCTCTAGTATGTCTAAAGCGAGATTTATTAGCAGCAGGAGACAGGAAAGAGAGGCAAAATTATTAATGAAAAAGTCAAGGCTATAGTCTTAGCAAAAAGGCCAATATTTCGTGAACGTTTTAAGAACCAAAAACAATTAAAACTATCGTCTAATGGTGATATTTCCCGTTAGTGTCGTCTCTAGTATGTCTAAAGAGAGATTTATTAGCAGCAGGAGTCAGGAAAGAGAGGCAAAATTATTAATGAAAAAGTCAAGGCTATAGTCTTAGCAAAAGGGCCAATATTTTGTGAACTTTTTAAGGACCAAAAATAATTAAAACTATCGTCTAATAGTGATATTTCCCGTTAGTGTCGTCTCTAGCATGTCTACAGAAAGATTTATTACCAGCAGGAGTCAGGAAAAAGAGGCAAAATTATTAATGAAAAAGTCAAGGCTATAGTCTTAGCAAAAAGGCCAATATTTTGTGAACTTTTTAAGAACCAAAAACGATTAAAACTATCGTCTAAGAGTGATATTTCCCGCTAGTGTCGTCTGTAGTATCTCTAAAGAGAGAATTATTAGCAGCAGGAGTCAGGAAAGACAGGCAAAATTATTAATAAAAAAGTCAAGGCTATAGTCTTAGCAAAAAGGCCAATATTTTGTGAACTTTTTAAGGACCAAAAATAATTAAAACTATCGTCTAATAGTGATATTTCCCGTTAGTGTCGTCTCTAGCATGTCTACAGAAAGATTTATTACCAGCAGGAGTCAGGAAAAAGAGGCAAAATTATTAATGTAAAAGTCAAGGCTATAGTCTTAGCAAAAAGGCCAATATTTTGTGAACTTTTTAAGGACCAAAAATAAATAAAACTATCGTCTAATAGTGATATTTCCCGTTAGTGTCGTCTCTAGTATGTCTAAAGCGAGATTTATTAGCAGCAGGAGACAGGAAAGAGAGGCAAAATTATTAATGAAAAAGTCAAGGCTATAGTCTTAGCAAAAAGGCCAATATTTTGTGAACTTTTTAAGGACCAAAAACAAATAAAACTATCGTGTAATAGTGATTTTTCCCGTTAGGGTCGTCGCTAGTATATCTAAAGAGAGAATTATTAGCAGCAGGAGTCAGGAAAGACAGACAAAATTATTAATGAAAACGTCAAGGCTATAGTCTTAGCAAAAAGGCCAATATTTTGTGAACTTTTTAAGAACCAAAAACGATTAAAACTATCGTCTAAGAGTGATATTTCCCGCTAGTGTCGTCTGTAGTATGTCTAAAGAGAGAATTATTAGCAGCAGGAGACAGAAAAGAGAGGCAAAATTATTGATAAAAAAGTCAAGGCTATAGTCTTAGCAAAAGGGCCAATATTTTGTGAACTTTTTAAGGACCAAAAATAATTAAAACTATCGTCTAATAGTGATATTTCCCGTTAGTGTCGTCTCTAGTATGTCTACAGAGAGATTTATTAGCAGCAGGAGTCAGGAAAGAGAGGCAAAATTATTAATGAAAACGTCAAGGCTATAGTCTTAGCAAAAAGGCCAATATTTTGTGAACTTTTTAAGAACCAAAAACGATTAAAACTATCGTCTAAGAGTGATATTTTCCGTTAGTGTCGTCTGTAGTATGTCTAAAGAGAGAATTATTAGCAGCAGGAGACAGAAAAGAGAGGCAAAATTATTGATAAAAAA